AACAGCCCGATTCAAAAACAGTCCACCTTAGTAATGAAGCAACAAAAGTCAGACAGGCTTTTTTTTTAGAAAATTTATCAGACATTAGGTTCAATGACGATACCTACAAAGCCTTGAAAGCCATCATTGATGTAAGTAGGATGTATGTACCTTAACTTTTATGTATAATGTATTAATATAACATCTCTTCTCAGAAATACTTGCCAGAAGAGTTCGAAGTGAGCGACGTTGAGTGGGAGAAAGTGGATTTGGATTGCAAAATAGAACTACTACAACTTGCAAAAAAAGCGAATATTTATGATAGAGCTGGTATTGAGGCCATTATTAACTTGTAAGCTTAATACGTTATACTGCATTTGTGATAATAACTAACACTGGTACTTGTTATGTAGTCTCACGTATTCTAGCAACCATAATATAAAACTTTCAAGTGAAAGCCACCTTGAGAGTAACTTTGTACATCCCATCGTATATCCAATTTTCAAGTCGTCTATTTCTGTTCCACATAGGTATGACAATGCTTTGTTATCCATATGCCATAGATTAAAAGCTCTGACTTTTGTTTTTGGATAGCTCGAATAAATCAATCTCAAAGCAAAAAGAATTAGATCCAAGTAGAAGACCAGACTACGTTTCTGATTGCCACTACAACCGAGAATTTGATTTTACATCAATGTTTGGAGAGCTTAAGCATTTAAATAGTTATGATCAACTAGACTTGTACCGTATTGCTTATTTCTGCCAGAAGACAATGCACGAAAATGGTTTAAAAATGTCAATAGGCTTTCAAACAAAGAGTAATAAGACTTTAGCATAAAAAGAGGTACACAATAACTAACTTCACTTCTAGGAGACAAAATGCGCTTTTTTGCTATGCAAGAACAATTCGGCATTGACTTTTTTATTGAGGTCGCAAATACTCATGTTCCTCTTAGAAGAAGCGATGTTAAAAATATGTTGTTGGATTTGAATGGGTATAGCCGATTATCTTATTTACAGAGAAATTATTGTATTTCAGATGAAAATTTAAAAGCAAGAAAAAAGCACCCTGTTGTAGACATGCACTTGTTTAAAACTCTTATTGCTCAAGACAAAAAGACAAAAAACTAAATCCCAGCTGGCTCCACCCCGTCTCCCAATGTGATATATACCCGCGCTTGGTACCTTTCCTTTTGGCAATCTTTAGTTAGTTCATTTATCCCTCCCCTTAAAATACAAAGGAGTTTATTTAGTTTTTTAATTTGTATAAAAATTATCCTTCGCATTGCTTGACTTCGTTTCGCCAACATTGGCATTTGTTTTTTATAAAAAAAGTTATTTACCTTTATAATACAACAATGGAAGACTTCCAAAATTACAAAAATTTAAATTGTCAGTCGTGCCTATGACAATCTTGGTTGGCTCGACTCCGATTAGACGTGGTTCGGCCGCCAAAAAGTTTCTGTGTACTTTCTTTGCCACGAACATGTTGATCTCTTGGTCGATAGTAGTAATTTTCAAAAGTTGAAGAGTTTTGACTCCAATTTGCATGGTCCTTGACTGCTTCGAAAGACATCCCTAGATCTACTGCCTTTGTGCTTGCTGCTGCACGAATAGAATGAACTGTGTATTTCTCCGTATCTATCCCTGCTGAATCCATTATTTTCTTCAGCCAACTTGCTATAATTCCCGTTGCTACTGATTCCCATTCTGTTTTTGAATCTTCATGTAAACCTTTCAAGAATAATTTATGGTCTTGAGTTGAATGTTTTCGCCCTTCAAGTGTTGCTTGACAGAAAATCCATCGAGTATGTACCGGGCACTTGGTTTTGTTTTGCAAGGCTCCAAATTTGGAGCTTTTGGTTTGATTTCTTTTGGTCGTCTAACTTTCAGTGTTACTCCGATTGGTTCTGTATTACTATCTTTCATAACGAATTCGACATCTCTCCACTGCAAGTTTCCTATGTCTGATCTTGGTCTCCACATGTTTGCAATGGTGACCCGGGTGATTGTTTCTCGTTGTAAGGTAAAAAAGCTATAGTTCTTCCGATTTTCCCTATGCTATTACGTGGTTTACTAGAAGTTGAATATCGAATGCTTCTGTGTGTATGTTAGGGAGCTTGTCATCTTTTCTTCTCTTTGCTTCAAAAGTTGTAATATCATTGTGTGAGATGCCAAAGGTGGAAGTGTTGGGTGGATCACTTTGTATACTGAAGCTATACCTGACCTCATTCCTTTAAGTGTAGAGTATGACATATTGTTGGATTCCACCAAAAATTCAATGACTCCTTTTGGGCTGTACTGTAAAGGATCAGACGGTGGTTGTTTATCTCTGTTCCAAATAACCCATTTCTTCCAATGTGAATCGTATTGTCGCTGAGTACCCGATCGATTAGCTCCTTTCAAATAATCTAGGGTTTGTTGATTTAACCCGTCTTTACTTTGATGTTGTTGGATAATTGCCAGGCGGCCAAACAAAGCGTCTTGCTTATCGGCATTGTCATCTTTTCTTTGCTGTTCTTGAGCACTATGGGCTACCAGAATTGTCCTATCCAATTTAGTGTTACCAAAATCGCCTCTCTAACCTCGTCTTGTTTGAATTACCTCAAAACTGACGGGATTAACTTCCACGGTGGGTGAAGGTAGAGACCTTTCTTGGGCCAGGTCAGTTGGAAGGCATCTACGCCTGCGTTCTGGGAGTCGGCTTGAAAGCTCCAGAATGTTGGTAATCTGGTGTTGATTCTCGAAGTAAATGCGTCTATTTTTCTCCTGCCCCATTTCTGTTGAATTTTGTTGAACCATCTGCGGGGTAATGTTCATTCGTAAACTGGTTTTGTTATGCTTCTCAGTCGATTTGCTGTGATATTCTTTAATCCAGGTATATGTTGTATCTTGATTTAAATGTTGTATTCCGCTCGAATCTCCTATATCTCCAAAGCTAGTTCGTGCAAAATTACTGATGCTGTTCCACTGTTCTTGGCCACATATATGATTGCTGTAGTGTTGTCCGAAAAGACTTGGATGGTGCAATTTTTGAACTTTTCTTTGTGAAGTTGAAGTGCAAACAGGATCGTCTTCAGTTATCTCACATTGATTGATTGTTGTTTTCTTCCAGAGACCAGTAAACTAACGTTTCCATTACTGGCAATGCTACTCCCCATCTTGAGTCGGAGGCATCGATATGTATTGTTATTGCCGTTTCAATTGACTTGTCGATTTGTTTTTGAAGTGGTAGACCGTTCTTTGCTGTTGCTTGGGTCTTCCACCATATCAATTCTTACATTGCCTATGTTGATAATCCGCATGGTTTGTCCCCTTGTTATTGTTGTTCTTTTAGATTTACCGCTAAATCTCTTTGTAAGTAACGCAGGTGTATTAGCGTTTCCTCTATTGCTGGTATCAATGAGGTCATCTTCCCCAATAATCCCGTTATACGACGGCATGAGTACATCTTCCAGCTCTCCGTGGTTTTCTCCAATTGTTTGATTCTTGACATCAATTTGTTCATCTTCGCCTGAGGAACTGTGATCTGCATGTTCTTCGTGTTGAATGTGAATCCTGGAAAATCTTATATTTGTTTCGTGTGGAGAAACTTTGTTTAACACAGAAAAAATTAGATAAAAAACAGGTAAATAAAATTAATAGTGCTTGTAGGTTTTTATTCTTATTATTAGTTTTAAAACTGAATGACCTTGTACATTATGGTAGAAGGTAGGGTATTTATAATTATTGGGATCTGTGGTTTAAACGGTTATCTAGTAGTTAGTGAAGGTACCATTGGGTGGTATCATACATGTCCGATGGTGCCTTAAATTTAAGCAGTCATTGCCTTTATGATTGGATTGATTCGTAAACAATGATCTAGTCTTATTGTTCTGTCAGAATTGAGAGGACGATGGTTCTAAGAAATCTTATGCAATCTGAGTTCTAAAGTAGTAACTCAGTTTTTATCCTTGATGTTCTTTTCTTTTATGATATTGTATTTGGTATATGAGTCGATCATGTGGGATCGACGATTTATTTATTTTATTTTATTATTATAAGTGCGATTTTAGCACATTTCAGTTCTAAATCGCTCTTCTCCCAGCATATCAAAACCTAATTGTGCTAAGTGTGATAATACCATTTGAGTTGTTTCCTTCAATTCTTGTTTCATCTTTGAAATCAAACAAATATTTTCAAGGTAATATACTAAGCGAATTCCATTTTTCCTCAGTGTTTCTTGATGAAGAAATGTGAGGTATTTTTGATATTCTTGATTGATTTGCACTACAACATAAGCATCCTTCAAATCTACCTTTACCATATAATCGCCATACTCTAGAATTTCTCTAAAAGCAGGTATTCCTTCCATCTTGAAATGTTGGCATTGAAGATATTGGTTGATCATACGACAATCTAGAACTGGTCGAATTTTGCTCGGTTCCTTTATCGTGAAGAATTGGGATAAGAAGCTTAGATCCTTGGCTGGGCGATCTTTTTATCACTTGAGCTATCTTGAGTTTTTCTACTGCATTGTCGACTGCTTGTTGATCGATGGGAGATAATTTGATTGGTTTCAATTTCCATGGGACTGGGTTGGACTGGAATTGTAATTTGTAACCCTGCCCTTAAATCGACAACGGCCATTGATGAGTTGTCTGGGAAATGATGGAATCGACCTCCCGGTGCTATACCATCTTTTGGGATGGTGTAATGTTGGTTTTGATGTTTTTGTGTTTTCATACTTATTTGTTGGTTTTGTGGTTTTTTGATGATTTTTCTAATTTTCTGGTGTCGATGGCATTATTGATTTTTGGTAATGGATTTCTCAGTACTGGGGTAGTAGCACTGGGCTAGTTGTTGATTGGGGGTGAACAATTGTCTTCCTTCACGTCCCCTGCCTCTTCCAAAAAAAAAGAACTTCCTCGGTGTGCTTCATTTTTGTAATTACCTCTTTGTTGGCCTCTTGGCTTAAATACATATCCTCCAAAAGACTTATTTGTTGCACTCTTGAGAAAAGAATCTGCATATCTAGCTTGCTAGATTTTTTCTACATTTCTGGGAGAGAAGACCAAGTCCTTGTCGTATTCCTCTGTGTCTTCAAGGTATCGGATAGAGGCTTGGTGTCGAAGTGTTTTTGTTGTAAGTTCTTTTGCGTCTCCGTCCATTTCCTTGCTGGTGGCAAAGCCATAGATTGTAAAACGTTTAACTTTTTCCAGGATGTGTTGTATGTCTTTCTCACTTTCTCCTTCATTAATAAGCCATTGGTCATTGCTGTAGATTTCAGCTGCTGCCCTTGATGCTGGTCGTAGTCTTTCTGCGCCTTTGTGGATGACCGCCACAGTCTGTGTCGCATCCACGGTGAATTTTTCAAGTTCGGGGGCAAACATGTTGTTGACCGCCCCTGATTTTGTCCACTTTCCACCTTCATATCTGATTGTGTCTTTGGCAAAGCGTTTGAGCTTGTTCTTGAGTTCAGAATTGGGATTTTGGTCCTATTCATCGTATATCTCTTTTGGAGGTGAAGGGCGAGCATCTCTGTCGGCCGTTCTTCGCTTTCTTTGAGTCTTTGGCTAGGCTCGAGTGATTCTTGTATCAGGCCTGCTGTGAGTTCATTGGCACTTGTCATTGTTATTCCACGTTGCGCGGCTTAAAAAGGTATAAAGAGATAGATTATATTTTTTATTAAAATAATTATTTATATATCATTACTGAGAATAAAAGCGCCTATAAACCACGTCTAATCGGAGTCGAGCCAACCAAGATTGTCATAGGCACGACTGACAATTTAAATTTTTGTAATTTTGGAAGTCTTCCATTGTTGTATTATAAAGGTAAATAACTTTTTTTATAAAAAACAAATGCCAATGTTGGCGAAACGAAGTCAAGCAATGCGAAGGATAATTTTTATACAAATTAAAAAACTAAATAAACTCCTTTGTATTTTAAGGGGAGGGATAAATGAACTAACTAAAGATTGCCAAAAGGAAAGGTACCAAGCGCGGGTATATATCACATTGGGAGACGGGGTGGAGCCAGCTGGGATTTAGTTTTTTGTCTTTTTGTCTTGAGCAATAAGAGTTTTAAACAAGTGCATGTCTACAACAGGGTGCTTTTTTCTTGCTTTTAAATTTTCATCTGAAATACAATAATTTCTCTGTAAATAGGATAATCGGCTATACCCATTCAAATCCAACAACATATTTTTAACATCGCTTCTTCTAAGAGGAACATGAGTATTTGCGACCTCAATAAAAAAGTCAATGCCGAATTGTTCTTGCATAGCAAAAAAGCGCATTTTGTCTCCTAGAAGTGAAGTTAGTTATTGTGTACCTCTTTTTATGCTAAAGTCTTATTACTCTTTGTTTGAAAGCCTATTGACATTTTTAAACCATTTTCGTGCATTGTCTTCTGGCAGAAATAAGCAATACGGTACAAGTCTAGTTGATCATAACTATTTAAATGCTTAAGCTCTCCAAACATTGATGTAAAATCAAATTCTCGGTTGTAGTGGCAATCAGAAACGTAGTCTGGTCTTCTACTTGGATCTAATTCTTTTTGCTTTGAGATTGATTTATTCGAGCTATCCAAAAACAAAAGTCAGAGCTTTTAATCTATGGCATATGGATAACAAAGCATTGTCATACCTATGTGGAACAGAAATAGACGACTTGAAAATTGGATATACGATGGGATGTACAAAGTTACTCTCAAGGTGGCTTTCACTTGAAAGTTTTATATTATGGTTGCTAGAATACGTGAGACTACATAACAAGTACCAGTGTTAGTTATTATCACAAATGCAGTATAACGTATTAAGCTTACAAGTTAATAATGGCCTCAATACCAGCTCTATCATAAATATTCGCTTTTTTTGCAAGTTGTAGTAGTTCTATTTTGCAATCCAAATCCACTTTCTCCCACTCAACGTCGCTCACTTCGAACTCTTCTGGCAAGTATTTCTGAGAAGAGATGTTATATTAATACATTATACATAAAAGTTAAGGTACATACATCCTACTTACATCAATGATGGCTTTCAAGGCTTTGTAGGTATCGTCATTGAACCTAATGTCTGATAAATTTTCTAAAAAAAAAGCCTGTCTGACTTTTGTTGCTTCATTACTAAGGTGGACTGTTTTTGAATCGGGCTGTTCTGCTATCCTTGTTACCACAAAAATGTTTGATAAAGACCTATAAGGATATAGCGTGAGCACACTTTGAGCAGTTTTACAAAAAAAGAAAAGAAAAAAGACTTACATCAGTGAACAAACGTCTAACTCAATATTAATTGCATGGCCCTTTCTGCACCTGTCCAGCGTCTCTTTCTTCAACTCTAGAAACTCCTTCTTCATATCCATTTTTTCTTCGATGACTGAGTTTATTGACTGCTTCTCGTATCCAACTATCTCATTTTCCAACTCGTCCAACGTGTCTCTTAAACTTATTAGCTTTCTAATAATGAAAAAAGAATTAGCAAAGGCTTCCAAATGAAGAAGAACGCCACTTCATATATAATGAGCAAACCTTTTACGCGTCTTTATTTCTGGTTGAGCATTTTCTACAATTCCTTGGACTGGCTGGCTTTCTTCATTCTCTTCCGCAACAACGAATTCTTGCTCAATGGGTTCTTCCTCAACAAAGGATTCGTGATCAGTAGCAGTGTCTCTCTGAACATTACAGCCTTCCTCCTCCTTACTTCGGCCATGACTGTCGGAAACCTGACTATATTAATGATAACCATATTCAGCAGCTGCAAATTGTAATACGCGCATAAAATATAATTTAAATATTACTTACGCTGAAAACTCTCTTGCCTCGTCGATAACTGTATTTGACACGATTTGCGAGTATTGGGTGGTAGCTTTTTCCTAGGCATATATTTAGCATCAGCAAAAATTTAACCACGTTCCTTCACAATTACTTACGAAAATCATTCTTCTACTTGATGGGCCAGAACAACTGTTATTTGGAAGTGCATCCTTCTGTTGACCAATTTTACACACGTTAGTTTGATCGAGTATCATTTGTTATATCGAGCCTATACTTACTTTTATTTTTGATATGTATGACTTTACGCTCCGGGGTAAGTTATGCATGGATAACCAATCTAAATCAGTTTGGAACCACATCTTCAGCGTTTCATAATTTAAAGAATCTGCTTCTACCTGGTTGTAGCGAGAGTACTCCTCAAAATTCCAGTGTTTAGCAGAATTCTCAGAAAAGAATTTTCTTCGATGTAGGTCTGATTTTAGGACGAATATGGTATCTTTATATTTTCGTGGACAAGACATAAAATATGGTATTAACAGAGGTACGGTTCGACAACTTTACAAAAGTTCGATCATAAAAAATTGAAAAAAATTGAAACTCTCGACCAATTGTGTTCTTGAATAGACCCACAAAAAAAATTGCGTCATACGTAAATCCAAAACTATTTTTTTGTTTTGTTTTGTTTGATTACCTTTTACGCATCGTTTACAATGGCTTGATCGCTTACAAGATGACAAAAGGGCTACAAGTGCTGATAGGACTTTGTGAGGTACTTCTTTAGCCTGCCATGGAGCACCCCAAGTACTGCTTTGGTCTCTATCCTAGTGGGACGACAAATTCCTACTACATGATTGGAGATGCTTTGTTAATAGAGCATCTTTTGCTTGTACTTTAGGTAGTAGACAGGATGCGAGATGCAACTGAAACCCTGGCTTGATCGCTTACAAGATGACAAAAGGGCTACAAGTGCTGATAGGACTTTGTGAGGCACTTCTTTAGCCTGCCATGGAGCATCCCAAGTACTACTTTGGTCTCTATCCTAGTGGGACGACAAATTCCTACTACATGATTGGAGATGCTTTGTTGATAGAGCATCTTTTGCATGTACTTTAGGTAGTAGACAGGATGATATTGTTTCAGTAATTATGATAAAATTATTTATGAAAATAGGTAAATGGAAGCACAATACACTTATATGCTCATACTCTAATATCATTTGCAACTGCATTTTTATCAAGCAAACTATTGTCGCAACCCAACCTTCATGTTTACCGGATATAAACTAAAGGATTTCTACCGCCATAAAAAAACTACCTGCGTTATCATTTTGAAAAATGTCGTGGCTTTTTAGAACCCACAGGGAAATTCTTCGTATTCTTACCAATGGTATTGATATATACACACTTTATATCCAGCCTATAATCTACTTGACATTTAATAGCAACCCAGCACTGAAACATAGACCATTTAACTGATCAAGGTATCAATGTCTACTTCCAATCCACGCTCCTATCTGATCTTCCCGGATGTTTGTCGTCTTTTGTAAATTATACGATTACTACATCTTTTTGGAGAAACCCGTCTTAAACTCTTTACACTTTTACATTTCAAAACTATATTCTCTTCTCATCTGTCACTGCATAATTATTAATTTACATTCGTTTGTCATATCGATAATTTTATTGTTCAAGATTTGTTCAGAAATATTCTTCTTAAATAAATAATAAAATCAAGTTGACATCCAAAAGTCTGGTGCTCACGAGTATCATTGTCATATGATAATAATTGTCCAAATTCGTGCTAGCGCTATATCAAGGTCAAACGAAAATAAGTTATGATTTCTTTGATGAAGAATAGGTCTCCACGTTATTGATATCATCAATTGTAGTAAAGTATTGATTGTAAATATATGCATCTGATAAAGTTCAGAACTCGTTACTGTTGCTATCCTTGAGCGTACATCTTTTTCACAGTTAAGCCGCTGAAGGACGTAACTAAGTTAATTTGAAAATGGTTAGCAAGTAGTTTTGAACATTTGATCAACTTGGTCTTTTTTTGTTTTTTTTAACGATTTCACTTATAAGAAATGCAAAAAAGTAGATGGTAAATTTTCCAAATAGAGATTAACACAAGTGGCAGTGGTGTTTACCAGGTAATAATCAAATTAGTAACCTTAGTCTGTTGTGTAACTCTTCCTGGAATAGATACATTATACAAGAATCAATTTGGGTGCTACATTGTAACTAGCATTATGGTGAACCTTATAATTGCAAGATAACTGCACAGCATAGATGATTAAAAGTCCTAATTGGTATAATTTTAGATAATGAAGTCAAACATGTATATGACAATAGTTCTATGAGGGGGGTTTTATTATTAAATTATAAAATGTAACTGGCAATACGTATTAAATATCTTTTTTTTTTTTTTGTTCAGAGAGAGCCGAATTATTTAATATCAACAACACTGGAAACTTCTTTTCCAATCTCTAGGTCCTCCAATGTACAGACATCTTCCTCGTCTCTCTTCGGGAAGCATGTATTAAATGTTGAAAAAATTAAAAAGCAAGTGGCCACAATTAAAGGATCAAAAACATATAAGGCCCATTCATGTGTAGCGATTATTCCAGTACCGCCCGTGGCAAACTGAGCCAATCGATATATAACGCGAATGGCCATTAAAGCCAACACAATATAAATGCGAGTAATTACTTTTTTCTTTGGATTATCTACACCTTTGACGTAATACTGAATTGAGTTTTTGCGGTAAACATAAGTGGCCAGAACAGTGAACAAAACGAAAATCGACAATTGCAATGATAGACCTGTGATAGCCAATTTGGGTCCGATGACTCTATACTGAGCCAAAGCCTGGATACTTCCGCCAACAGCTTGAAACATAGAGGATGTAATAGTACAAGCAATGAAAAAGATGGTGATGGGCTTGGATTTGAGGTAAATTTTATCTGTTTCGATATTCGCCAAAGTAAGAATATGTGCTATAGTGTTGTAATTGACAATAGCTAAGATGTTGGGTGCAAGAAGCATGAATATATTCATGATCAAAAACTTTGCAAATGTAACATCAGTCTTGATACAAAGTATTCGAATAACAAATCCCAAAGTTTCGACAGTTGCCAATATAATCAATTTGAACATGAATGATGGTGCTTTTTGTGTAATGATACGTAAGATCAAGTAGATGTCAATAATTGCGAATATTGCCAATGCAACATAAGCCACAGGTGCGTTGGGGTAATAATGAAAATATAGATATACAAGGTCCATCAGTTACAGTTGTCAAACGAAAGGTAGTGCTTTTTTTTCCTTTTGAAAAAATCTGATCTCCCCAACAGTTATATACTTTTTTTTTTTTTTCGGTAACCGGTTATAAAATTGATCCGAAGCCGTGCATCTGAGTACGGAAGTATTAATCCACAGATCCACCGATCCACCGCACACCGCGCGGGAGTACGGCTTTGCTGTTTGGTCACAAATATCCACATTTGTCTACACGTTTGTAGATCAAATCTGATGCAAGATAGAAAAACTGGTGACCTTAAACAATTGTCATTTTTTATTCCCCACAAAAAGCTGAATATTTATGGTAACGTCTACAACGGTCTATAGAAGACTATGTTTTAATCTATTGTCCAAATCAACAATACAGTTTTCAGACTTTAAATTCAGACAATGTTATTTCTTTTTCAGACGAATAAAAACTTACTTTCAGACATTGACTTACCTTTTTCAAACGAAATAAAATGTAAATTCAGACATAAATGAAATCAGTTTTCAGACAAGCTTAGAAAAGATAATTTATTTTACCTGCAGTTATCTTTAAGCTGTCACCGATGACGGTGCAGCAACCACATTGGAGGTGGCGCTTTGTCTTTGAAAGACACTTGGAGACCCATTACCATTCCAAATAGAGGTAGCAATAGGAACATATTCTTCGATGCTAAGACGTCCCGGTTTTAAAAGATATTACAATTGTTGCGGTTTAATATTTGATGGATTTTGTGACCACCACACTTCAGATTCTCCAAGTTCTTTACGAGACAGCCATTGCATGTCTACAAAAAAAAAGAGCTTTTATATTAATACTTTTGCAAAATGAACATCTATTTACTTCACCTTGGAAGTGTTGTACTCGCCGATATCAAGCAGTAATAATTCCAAATTCTCACGCCGCTTTAGCTGTCTGTACAACTTATCGATTACTTCATATCTTAGTCCTTTATATCGGACATGCGACTTGTTTTTTAACCCATCTCCAAATAATATCATTGGCATTTTGCTTTTATCCCCTTCTTCGAATTTTTCTTAAATGCCCTTTAAAAGAATAAAATGATAAATGCTTCTAGAAAGAAATAAAAAGCACTTTTACCTCGCCGCTTGTTTTCCTTTTTTTGACTGCTTGGTGTTGGAAAGATCTCGCTTATATCTGCTATTTAATTTCGTCTTTTACGTTTATTTCGCCTAGTGTTTTTTCTCCTGTTATTGTTGTACTTTGTGGAACCGTCAATCAAAATATTGATAGCCTTTTGGTTCCGGATATAGTTGGACCACCGTATTCTAGCAGTTTGGAAATCATAAAAAGTGACTAAGACTTCAAAGTGTTGGAGCATACAAATTAATGTGCCTTTTATAGTTTTCAGCGCCAGTTGTTTCTGGGGAAGGGATTCTGGTTTCAATATATTCGATGTTGTTACTCTTCTTTCTTTCTAGTTCTTGTTTCTGACGATTGATGACTCCGTTCATATTGTATTACTCAGAGCTAGAGAGGCGTCTTACATCATTTTCCCCATGGTATAATGTAAAAGCATCCTTCCTATTCATATTGACTGTACATGGCCTGAAAAATTGTTTGAACTCTTCGCTATTGAAGCTATTTAAGGTCAGAGTGACATTTTCCAAAGATGAAACAGGTTTTTCTTTTCTACAAAAAGAAACTCTACATGTATAACCATCAGTATAAAAGCTGTTCAAAAACATCTGACCCTTCTCATGCAGTGATTGTAATTCAGCCAGACTGTTTATGTTAAAGGAAGTTGCGTATTGTACAAAAATATGTTGCAAGCTTACCTGTTTATTTTCAATTTTCTGAAGTCAAAGCATTCAAAGAAAGATCTTTGTGTGAAACAAAAAGGTGCTGTCGTATTTGACGCCTAAATAAATCGAATACAATTACTATTTAATCTGTCTTGAGTTATAATATACTTCATTTATTATAAGGCGAAGGTTCACCAGCTGTCTAACATTGCCGTAAGTTGCCGTGTAGGAGGGAGAAGAAAATGATTTAGTTATAACGTAGAGAAATCGTTATATGAGATATAATAAAATTGACTAAAACCACAGGCAGCAATTTATTGTACTGTTATGCGACAAATCGAGCGCATTTCCAATTTTTCTTTCTTTTTAAACACCTACTAAAGTGCAATACACCTTTTCGGGTTTGCACCTGTCAAAACTACTTCTTTTCATCTTTTTCTTATCCTCAGATCTGTGACCTCTTAGTAGGCGCAATTACCTCAATCTCTTCTATAAATTTCCCCAATTTCTTTAATTTCAGTGAGTGGATTATACGTCCATCACTATAAATAGGCATCCATAAGACCTCTCCTAAATAAAAATCCTCATCTATTATTTTACTCATATTTCAACACTTTGACTTATTAGTTTTATATATTATTCAGCTCTATTATCATTCTGATTGATCCCTTGATTACACTTTTATCATTGTATCTTTTATTTATAAGCATATAAGCTATACTTAAATCCATTTATTTTCTAACAGTTCAGCTTCTGTTTAAACTAGCTGTGGTGCTCACTCAACTCGCAATTATAAAGACCTTCTTTACTAAACTCTATTTTATTTAAAGAAATACTCCTTATCCCGCCAATACTACTCGTATACTCTTATTTCAGTACTCTATTAATCGGTACAAATAATAATTAAAAAGGCTGTCAAAATAATGTAATTTAAAGCGTCTTAGGTTATTGCTCTTAAATGTGTATTGAGGCTTAAGATCATCTTAAGTGTGTTTGCAGTTTAGTATATTTTATAGCTATGGTAAATTTCAACTTGTATTTATGGACGTTTAAGCGTTTAATTACTAATTGAATGGCTTAAATGTATATTGACTTTTATTTGTATTGCACTGCTTATGTTTACACAGCTTTTTTTTCAATCTCGACCGGTAGACTCCTTCCATATAAAGTATAAATCATTAAATTTTGTCCTTCAAAACATTACTATATAAACGTTACTATGAGTAGACATATCATTAATATAGTTGCAATAGAGATTATTTCACTTCGTTTGTAATTTATATTGATGCCGGTAAGAAAATTGAAGACGTTTGGAAATTGTGAACGTATATAGTTGATTATAAGTTGATTGCGAATAATTTTTACATGAAGTAAATGGAAATTCTGTTTAAAACGCAAACGTATCTATTCGGCGTTTCACAAAGTTGACATCCCTGTTTAAACCAACATAGTTTTCAAGATGTAAAATCCTTTTAATATTGTTATCCCTAATTTACGATTATCAAAGTTATTGCAAATATTCATATAACAACATGGCTTTGAATTGCATACGACATTACCAATCTTCAATAATGTTATTTTGAAATGTATTCCCGTTAGACAAAGACGAGAAAACCAGTAATTTGGGAAGTCGCTTTGCACTTAAATAAGTTACTATGTAAACATAAGCCATATCAACAGTGACTATCTGTAGAATAAATTGTTAACTTTTTGCTTCGTGTCATTGGATGTTCTAATTAACTATCTCACGTTAGGTTTCACCCGATAAGCAAAAACAACATTTTTACACGCAGTAGCTGTTATAGAAGCCGTACGTAATACTGTTATTTCCTGTATACAAATCATTGCGACGTGTATACAGTTAGTATTGTAGAGTCCGTTCTATGTGTTGGTTTATCTGGCAGAGATATTATTTCGAAATGCTAAAACTCAGTCTGACTATTATTGCTTCTATCTTGATGTATCAATTTGGTATGTTGGTTTATATAATTTAAATGTTAAAAAACAAACTGAAACAAGAATATGCGTTTATAAAAGTTCAAAAGCTTAATTAAGTAGAAGATATTTACTTATTAAATTTTGCTATAACTAGAGCTTTGTAGTTGGCGATTCCTGTTATTTGTTCCTCGTGGACAGGGTAGAAATGATTTAACTCGCTGAAAGCGTGTTGAAGTTTGTACAAATTTTTTTTTTTATAAAACTTGAATCCACTGTAAAAGCATCAATGGTATCAAAAAAAGCCAGGCATGGACCAGGTTAAAGATTAACATAATAAAATAATACTGTATTTAATCCTCATTGTTGCAAGGCGTGTATAATAAATTGTCTTCCTTTTTTATTTCTGAATTTCTGAATTTCATAATGCAGAACATTTTTTTTTGTTGTATTACGATTGAAGATTTTAACTTTCCAGAAATGTTAAAAACATTTCCTATACTTGTTCTTCTTTGCTGTGTGATATAAATGGGTACACAGTTTTTTTTTTTTTTTTTTTGGTGCCCAGTCGAAAAAAAAAATTTATCAGTAACAAATCATTATTTTTTAAAGTCATTTGTGTTAGGAGAAATAATTTTTTTATTGGAAAAAGGGACGAATATCAGCTTGTTCTTTAAAATTTTCTACTTCAGCACGAGATTCAGCCAATCTCATTCTAACACGTCTATGGAACTGATTGTCCAAGTCATCCAAAGGCACATCCAAGGCCAGAATCGTCTCATAACCTTCCCTCAACCGTTTTTTACAATCATTGATATCGACGTATATCTCCTCTTCAGGTATCATTGGGATCTCCTCCTCTCCGTCCATCACGATCTCCTCATCATCGATGATAAACATCTCGTCAGAATCCAGATCCAGCTGACTGACATCAGTGATCTCGTTGTCTGAATTACCAGGAAGATCGGGCAACAAATTGTTGATCTCCTGGACAACGTTATCTTCCAGAGGCAAGGGGACAGTGGGTGGCAAAGCCAACGCGTCAGGGTTTTCTTTGAATCCCAAGATATTGGTATGCCTCCAACAATTCTTTATTGTCTCAGGCGTTACCTTTAACCAAGCATTGGCCAAGAAAAACATGGCTTGCACCTGATTCATGATGTAAACATCCAAGTTATCTAACTGTTTGCTGGCGAACAAATCAAGACTTCTCAAGTACTGTTGGGAACGAAAGTAAGCCTTAAAGTTGGCAATAATTCCTAAATAAAGTAAAATAAAATTAGTACTTCGACTTAAAAACAGCACCCTTGTTTCTTTTGTCTACCTGCATCGAGAGCTTGCAACATACTTGTTGTGTTGGCAGGAAGAAACACCAACTTTATGTTCACCGGCTTGAACTTCCACTTATGCACTGAGGCATTGTCTAAAAGAAGAGCCACTTTTCTACCCTCTCGACCAAAAGCAATGTCCAGTTTTTTGACATAAGCCGAGAAGATCTCGGTAGTCATCCAAGCTTTAGGTGAGTGGTGGTACTCTACGTATCGACGGGTACCAATGACTGTCATTGAAAGCATCTTCGGGTTTTCCTTGAAGCAACGAGGGCTTTTGAATTGCCCAATTACAATGTGATGGCCTTTGTACGTACCATCCGCATTGCAAAGTAGCCCCACAGTCACACGGGTCTTACTCTTCTTTAATCCACCAAGTGGTCGCGAGCAAATTGTTCTTCTTGGTGGTTGATTGTAATACAATCCTGTCTCGTCAAAGTTCATGATATCAGCAAGAGGATAATCCATCAGTTCTTCCCGAATTTTTTCAAGCTGATCTTGAATGCTTTGTGAATTGACATCAACAGAAGCACATTCACCATGGGTAGGTCTACATTTTAAACCAAGGCATTTAAAGACCTTGGAAAGCCATCCATCAGAAAAAGTGATATCTTCAGTGATAGAGTACTTTGACGAGCGATACGCTTAACATGCTCGATGAGACAGGCACAGTTTACTGGTATGCTGCAGTCATTCACATGGTTGACGAATTTTTCCACTTCTTCGTCAAGTTGAGGATACTTGGGTAGCTTCAAACTCTTGCTATTCTTGATAACAACAATGTTAGAATACAACTGATCGGCATTGTTGAGGATGTTTGACACAGTTTGTTGTGAAAGAGGTTTTATAAAATCAAACTTTTTTTGTGCCCATTTTCCGAGCTCTATCTGATTGGTGTTTCCCATTTTAAACTGATCTAAAATTTCAATTTTTTGGGAAATTGTAAGACGTAAAGGTGTATTGCTCATATTGAATAAAATAAAGATATGCAAGGATTGACAAAGTGTATACAAAGTTTTATTATTTAAGATATTTAAGATATTGTTGTATTCGAGCAGTATATGCACCACATTTACGGTAACATACTTGCACTCCGACCATTGAAGTAAGTTATCATCTTTCACCTTTTGGCATATATCAGATGCTATTTCATAATCCACTCACGGTAATTTATCTTCCCGTTTGCTGTTATTCTGAAGTGCATCCTTCTGTTGACCAATTTTACACGCGTTAGTTTGATTAAGTATCATTTGTTATATCGAGCCTACGCTTACTTTTAATTTTAATATATAGGACTTTACGCTTCAGGGTAACTCATCCATAGATAACCAATCTAAATCATTTTTGAACCACATCATCAGTGTTTCATAATTTAAGGAATCCGCTTCTGCTTGGTTGTAGCGAAAATACTCCTTGAAATTCCAGTCTTTAGCGTTGTAAGATACAGGCTTACAATGCCTACAACGGGTAATGGGAAAATCTTCATTATGTAGAGAAGTCTAGCCTTAGCCGTGATAATAAAAAATGGGAGTATATCCCTTTTTTTTTTTTTTTTTAAAAAAAAAAAATAATATTTTAGCGTTTTTATAAAAAACAAAAGTTGTTATTCTAACCTTTTCCAAATTTTTATAACTTCTCCTTAAAAAGATGGTGTTATACAGGATATGAATAAAAAAGAAGAGAAGAAGGGAAGGAAAAAATGTTTCGAATGGGTTCTATTTGTAGACCGATAAACAAGAGCTGACTTATGTCAGGATGATTCAATTTTTTATTTAATCAGAAGATCATGTGAACGAGTTTTATTTATATAAGCTGATAAACAAGAGCGGGATTATGTCAGGATGATTTAATAGTTTACACGCCCAAAGGACCCATTGCCTTTCCGGGTTAAGTCACAAACGGAGGAGCGATAAACATAAAAAATAAGGAAAGCTATTGGTAGATTTTTTTTAAAAAAATAAATAATGCATATTATCCCCCCCAGCTTCCTCATTGAGGATAGCTTGTGCATCCTTGTGATTGATTTTGTTTTTTTTTTGAGATCCCCCCTCCCCTCCATTGCCCCCAAATGTCCCACAAATGTCCCCCCAGAAGGTGACCAGAAATTTCCTCGTCACATTTCTTTAAAACACTGCATTAACAAAAACTACTCTTTATTGCAAAATAAGCCATAAACGATAACAATTGACGATAGGGTCACGGGCTTGCAAGTCTTTTCAAGTCCCAGTCAGTGTTCAACAACCACCAATAGCTACCAAACTTTGACTTATTTATGCTTATAAACATCCAGGATTTATAATCTGGAACATGTATTAATTATATACTCATCATATTGACTCCTGCCGCGATTATGGACTTCTTTTTCATGGCGAGAAAGATTGCTAGGATTTGCATAATTAACCCTACAAACCGTACAGGAAGATACACTAGGATTGACTGGGAAGACAGATTGAGACATAGTCAATAATTTAGGTATAAGTGTTTGATACGTGAATGTAAGACTCGAAAAACAAGCTTTCGTTTTTTTTTTATATCACTCTTCAGTGTAACGAAAGGCTGAAACATAAAAACTTAAAAAAAAAAGAGGAAAAACGTATCCTCTTCTTTCTCTTCAATTTCTCTTTAAAATGCGATAAATATATCCCAGATAATCAAAGTGTACTTTATTTGCAGATAACCAAGGTAATATAGTCAATGGGTATAAAAAAACACACCATTATTAATTATTCTTCTCGTTATATGTCATGAAATGAATATCGACGTTTTTGAGGGTTTCGTTAAGGTAATATAATATTCACTCACTTTCTTGCCAATGATATTATTCATAAACTTTAACACGTTTCCCCTTTTTTGAACAGTTGCAATTCATAGTAAGGTATGTGGATCTTATATTTTTTATATCACACTAGCCTCTAACACCAACTTATTTTGTTAGTTGTTTCTATCACTTTTGGAACGATAGGGTATGTGTTTTTTTTGAAACTATACTTTATATTATTTTCTAATATACTTTTAGTGATAGTATTTTCCGTTTTTTTGTTTTATGCCTTCACTTTTATCGCGTTACAGAATATTTTCATTTAAAGCAGCTGTTTTTTTATCACATTTTTAATCCAATAAAAATTTTATTATTTTGATATCACATAATACGCCTTTTCAATGCTTTTTTACCCCCCAATCGACCGCTTAAAAGACCTCCCCCAACACCCCCAACACCCCCCAGCTCCCATCCCCCCATTTACTAGAAAGGAAATCTTTTGATCCATGATGTTTACAAATAAACCTGCAACCAAATCCTCTGCGTGTGTATTTAATCATCCATATGTTTGAGCCTTCACATACTAGGAAACAGCCGTATTCATAGACGTAAGGAAATAGGCCCATAAAAAAGTACGTAGAAAATAAAATGCCGTAGAAGATAAAAGTACAAAGAAAATACGGGTCTCTTAGGGACAGCCAAAGTGCACGTAGTCATGGCCCAGGATCGGGTACATTTTGGCTGTCCCTAAGAATTAGATAATAATCTCATTTTTTTAAGAGAGCATATAAACACCACTTGAGATATACCATATGCAATGCTTTCTCTTATATACTACCTTCGGTCATTCACAGGTCATTGGGTATCCAATAGGTGGAAGAGAAGTCATTTTTGGTGGCTCTTACTTTAATATGATAAGGGCAATTAAATTTTCAACTGTCCTTTCGACGTTGACAATTAGTTTCGGATTACTCACGAGTGTTAAGGTAAACGCCAGCTCTTTCACATTGAAAATGAATTTTAGTTTCTGAAGAGCGAACTTAAGTCAATTCAAAGTTGTTTCCAAGGGCACAATTTTTATTGATATCGGTAGCAATTCATTTGGTAACCTTTGGTAGTTATGTTTGCAAAGGATCAGACACTTCTAAAATTAAATTCGCCATTTATTTCAATGTTAAGAGAAAAGAAGAAGTTGTTCCATTTTTGACAGTTTATGGTGCCAAAAGTTACCCGATCCTAGGCCATAGCTACGTGCACTTTGGCTGCCCCTAAGAAAAGCGTCTTTTTAACACATGTTTTAGTTATGCGTGCAAAGTCAGTTGAATAACAGGTCCAGCGAGTGGATCAAGCCCCCCCCCCCCAAAAAAAAAGGTTATGATTCTATTTTTCAGACTTTTGTTATTGATGATGGTACAAATTATTTATTGTTTGGTATATATTAGTACTACCTTTGTTGCGGCACACTAATGGCCGTTTTTTGTTTTTGATGTGCTTACCACAGCTGTAGCATTTTCGGTACCCTCTAATTTCAACAAATACTTCCCAAAAAGAGGCGAGAAAAACAATGAACTATCAGGAGATGGCGAAGAATTTAAAGAAACAAGGAAGGTTTAAAATGTTCCCTCGATTATGTTATTAATATAGGCCTTGATTATTTAAATTTATGCAATAAAACTATTCTTTTTACTTTTTAACACGATGAAGCACGAGCACTTCCGACTATAAAATAATATAAAACATGAAGAGTTTCTTTCTAAAAGACTAATTTTATTGCGAAATATTTTTTTTAAAAAAAAAAAAGCTATATCATCAATGTAAAATAGCGATTTCTATAAAATGTTAGGGAAGCCAAAAAATCCCTAGCTCTTGACATTGAACAGCTTTACTGTAAAAGACGCTGATTTCCAAGAACACGAGCATTAATCAACTTCTTACTAGGAACAGTATAAAAAGTAACAGAGTTCAATTTGGATTCAATCTTTGAGAGTTCTTCCAATAAATGCCAACGTTTTGTTCTCAAATCCAATTCCATCTGGTAATAGCGGTCAAAGAGATGTTTGACATTATCCGTCTCATTAAAAATGTCTTGTTCCTTCTTGACCTTGTTGATAACCGTTGCATTTTCTTCACTCTTTGTCTCATCAACCGTGGTGGGAGTGCTTGGTGATGTCTTGGTTGGACCTTGAGATGTTGTCTTTGTGGCACCGTTTAATGAAGCCTTTCTTGACATTTCCAAAGCTGCCTTTTTAGCCTGTCGAAATCTCATGCTTCTGTTGGATACTGGCTTGATTGCGCCCATCGAAGCAGATGAATTGTAATATGGAGAAATGCATACATTGGATGTTGAAGCAGGACACATACCGTTATCTACAAGGCTCAAACCGTTGTTTAATGCCACACTTGTATTATCAGATGTCAGTTGTGCAGAACCGGGTAGTAACAAACCTACATTTTGCCATGGAGAAATGGTGGGAACCAATGCGTTTCTGTGACCCAGATTAAAAATATTTGGAGCGCATACAAGGAAAGCAAACAAGGTAGACCAAAACAGTAATGGAGATTTCGTATACAAGGATGGAAGATACTTCGTGGGAAGTAAGATCTTGCAACCAATGACGACTACAAAGGCTAGGAAAATATAAAGGAACCAACCCAGCATTGCTTCATTCATGGTGAAAAAAAAGACGCTGATCCAAAGCACCACATCGATGGATGTATTAAGACTTTTGGGCTTGACAAGATCACTGTATGTGCGAGGCAGCGTGTATTTATGGTCATCCTTTCGAGCAATGTACTCAAAGTAGTCCATGGGAGGCTTTGAAGATCCTTCCGTTTCCTCAGAAGGTCCAGCAAAGAGAGCATCATAGTTAAAAGGTTCGTATTCTTCTGCAGGGAAGGTTCCACCCTCTTCGATCATTTCGGGTAAATCAACTGGAGCAAAAGGTGAACAAAGTAATTGCATTTTTGTATTAAGGCGAAATTTAAAATAAGAAGAGCAAAAAAGTGAGATTGTTGTTCTGTTGTATATTTTACTTAAATTATTATTTCAGTATTGCTATTTATATTCTTTTTTTTTTTTTTGCACAGTGATTCACTCATTGATCGCAAAAAAAGGTTAATTGTACACTTTGTGTCAAACATGATGCCATTATTGACACTTTCAGGGGCCTATTGTATTCTTTGTGGTTGATAGTGATGCATTCAAAATATAAATTTATGATAAACTACAAAGAGTAATATATTAATGATTTTTCCCAACCATTAACGTAACTAGTGTTATTCTATCCGATATTCTTATTTCAATATCGTACACGAACAACTGATAAGTTTAAAAAGCCGTGGCGGACCTTCAAGTGACCCAATCTTCACTTTTTAGCGTCCCAGTTTTAGAGTCGTTTGTTTAGTCACTCTCTTTTCCCGCGACACAATTAATTTTTAAAATGGCATATCCCGGAAGCTACGGTACTCATGGATATGGTGAGCCACCTCAACAACCACAACAAGGTTACGGACAACCCCAAGGTTACGGTCAACCTCCTCAACATGGTTATGGCCAACCTCCTCAACAAGGTTACGGTCAGCCCCCTCAACAAGGCTATGGTCAGCCTCAAGGCTATGGTCAACCCCAAGGTTACGGCCAACCACCTCAACAAGGTTATGGTAATTACCCTCCTCCTCCTCCACCAGGTTATCAACAACCTCAACAAGGTTATGGCAGTTATGGAGCTCCTCCTCCTCAACAAGAACAACAATACGGTTATCCTTCTCCACAGTACCCATCTCAACAGCAGTACCCATCTCAGCAACAGTACTCGCCTCCCCCTCCTCAACATAATTATGGAAACTATCCTCCTCCTAGTGATAATTCGGTAAAGCTGCTTTTTTTTATCCAAGTTCTTCAACTCAACATATATGCTTATTTTGTAGAATCAACGTGAACAAGGTGGTGCCATTGCCCCTCCCGCATATACAGGTACCTTTTGTCATCTCGAGAGAAAAGAGAAGATGCACTTACCATGAACCATATAGGACCTGACCCTGTTTTCCAGCCTACCGATCCCAATATGAATCAAGCTAATTATCCTCAACCTCCCAATTCGTCTCATAATCAAGGACCTCATGCAGGTAACTGAGAGCAGTTTCTTATATATTTTTATATTTTTTTGATGAGCTAATGCGAGCAAGCTAGTTCCTTATGGTCAACAAGGAGCTGATGCCAGTAACGTTGTAATGCATGTGAATCCTACCATGCAAAACCAAAGCCCACCCAACTTTCAACTCTCTAACTGTAAGTAGTACAAGCATTGTTTGTGGAATAATTAGAAATTTAATGCAGGCTATTTTTTTTTTTTTATTTAGGTCAAGGAAGAAAGAGAGCTTTATTGATTGGTATTAATTATGCTGGTACAGCCAATGCTTTAAACGGATGTATCAATGATGTTCATAACGTGAAGGAGTTCTTGATGACGCTTTACAACTTTAACGCAGAGGACATGGTGATTTTGACAGATGATCAAAGTGATAGTAAATTTATTCCTACCAAGCAAAATATCCTGAGCGCCATGCAATGGCTTGTACGTGATGCTCAACCCAACGATTCCTACTTTTTCCATTTCAGTGGACACGGAGGCAGAGTCCAGGATACCAATGGGGATGAAGATGATGGCTATGATGAGACAATCTATCCTGCAGATCATGACCAATATGAAGGCGAATCGGGACAGATTGTGGATGATGAGATGCATGAGATCATGGTGCGTCCTTTACCCGCTGGTACACGTTTGACATGTATCTTTGATAGTTGTCATTCAGGTACAGCAATTGATTTACCTTATGTGTATTCTACATCGGGTACGGTCAAGGAAGAAAGTATCTTTAAGGATGCAGGATCTGGCTTATTAAGCGCAGGACTTGCCTATGCAACAGGTAACAAATCCGGCGCATTATCCTCCATCATGGGACTCGGTAAAAGTTTGATGAGCCGTAAGGGAGTGGATGAACGAGTCAAGAAGTTCAAGAGTTCAGAAGCAGATGTGATTATGTTTTCTGGCTGTAAGGATAACCAAACTTCAGCGGATGCGATGGAGGATGGTAAATCCACCGGAGCCATGTCCTATGCGTTTACAACTGTTTTACGTCAAAATAAGAATTTGACCTATCTTCAATTGTTAAATGCGGTACGTGATATCTTGAAGGATAAGTATTCTCAACGTCCTCAAATGTCTTCTTCTCATCCTATCGATGTCAATCTTATGTTTATCATTTAAAAAAAAACTTAATAAATTATGTATACATATCATCATGTTGGGTTTAGTGAGGGGTGGGGCCGTACCATAAGCCACAAAGTTAGCTGTCACAATTGCCCAAATTTTCAAATTAAAAAAAAAAGTTGACCCAAACGAACACCTTTTGTTTTTTTATTAGAACAATTAAAAAGTTAAAAATGGCACCTGCATTGAAAGAAGAAGATAACACATCTGCCACTGTTGATCAACAAGAAGAAATGGATGTTGATGAAGCCAGTGATATTGAAGAACAAGAAGATGACGAAGAGAATTCCGACGAAGATATGGACGAAGAGCCTGACTTGGTTGTTAGTGCTGATAAAGTTGAAATTGTAAGCAAAGGACTTATTTTTCTTAATAGTCTACCTCAGTTTTTACTCATTGTTTAATTAGGTCGGTACTCATGGTGACCCTACTGCCATGACTTTTTGTTTCAAGGAAGAGGATCACACCCTTGGTAACTCTTTAAGACATGTCATTAACAAGAAGTAAGTTTCTCTTTCTAATGATACACGTATATATTTATTCACCTTTCTTTTCTCAGTCGCGAAGTCGACTTTTGTGGTTATTCTATTCCTCACCCTTCCGAAGCTAAAATGAACGTTCGTATTCAAACCACAGGTAAGGACGATTTTTTTTTCTCTTCTGCATATTGAAAATACGCTGACTTTTATGGATTATAGAAAACACAACAGCAATAGACGCTTTGAAGACAGGTCTCAGTGACTTGCTCGATATGGTTTCTCATATCCGTGATTCTTATGCTGCAGATTTAGCCAAAAAGGAGTATGTTGAATTTGAAGAAATTGCATAGAGAAAAGAAGAGGAAGGATGAAAGAAAAAGAATAGAGGAAATTTATACATATATATATATATTTTTTTTTTTTTTTTTTTTTTTTTTTACATACACATGCATCTCCATTATACGATTAATGAAATAAATACAAAATCTACAGTGAAAATGGAAACGAAGCAGTACATCGAGAGAAAGCATAGGATGATGTTGCTTAGTCGCGAAATGCATGGAGCAAAATTATTTGGTTTTTTTATAGCAGGATGGAAACGCGACTGCCTGAAATAGAATTTGACATCAAATGTAGTGATCGCTTGCGCGAATAATACATTTTTGGGATTATACCTTTGAAATGTTTTTATTGTGTTATTTGGGAAGCAATGTCAAAATGTCAATTAAACCACACTGCACTAAATTAAAATAGTGACCTTTTTTTTTGATATATTTCCATAGCCAATAATAAGCTGCAAACGAAAAATAAGAGGCAATATAATAACGCTACAAGTATTTTTCTTTTTTCTGTCCAAATAACTAAAAACGATGAAGAAACCCATTTCATTTTTGTTGGCGTTTATTCAACTGCTTTTTATTGGACTTGTTTCAACACAAGATGTAAAGAAGGAGAAACTCATGTCTCTTGCAGATAGCAACACAGGCGTCATCAAGTTAAACTCTAACAGTTACGAACGATTCACCGAAGGAAAGCGTAATTATGGACTTGTTGTCTTGTTAACTGCTCTCGACTCACAGTTTAACTGTGTACCTTGTCGGTAAAGCCTCATTCTCACCCAGATGAATATATTACGCGCGCTTTAACATTCTATTTTTTCGTGTAGTGAGTTTGACCCTGAATATACTTTGGTTGCAAAGACTTTCCAAAAGAACAAGGCTAACAAGCAACTCTTTTTCGGTCACTTGGATTTCAAGGATGGCCAAGCTGTTTACCAAAAGGTAATAGATATTAATTGACATAAGTCGCTTTTATTAAACAGTTTCTGTAGCTCAAGATCATGTCTGCACCCAACGTTTTCTATTTCCCTCCCCAAGAGGCTGGTGAAAATAAGGAATATGTTAAATACGATTTAGCCAGAAGGTAAACAAATCAAAAAAAAAAAGAGAGAGGAATGTTGTTATTAAAAAGTGATGTATAGTGGATTTACTGCCGAGAGCTTTGCAGAATTTTTAAGCAAGGAATCAGGCCATAAAGTCACTGTGAGTCGACCCGTCAATTATTTACACCTCGCCACCAAAGTCTTTTTAGCAGTAGGCGCCGCCGCTGTACTTAAGCTTATCTATCGTCACTTTGGATTTATCTTTTACCACAAAACCACTTGGACTGTCATCTCCATCTTGATTGTTTTGACCATGAATTCTGGTTACATGTGGAATCGTATTCGTACCCCTCCCTTCGTTATGCCCGGTAAGAACGGAGAGGTGAATTATATTGCTTCAGGGTAAGTTGTGTCATTTATAGAAAAGCAGTAAAGAAGAAACTCATCTTTTTTTTTTTTTTTTTTAGTTTCTCTACACAATTGGGTGTTGAACCACAAATCGTTGCTAGTATATGTAAGTGAAAAAATAGGATGTAGAAGAAGTAAAGAAATTAACAAAGCATATGTGTAGATGGTATTCTTTCCTTCTCTCTTCTCGCATTAATCAAGTCTGTGCCTAGTTTCGATGACAGCACACGTCAAAGATTCGGTGTTTATATTTGGACTGTATGTATTATTTTCGTCTTTAGTAGTTTATTGGCCATCTTCAAGATCAAGAACGGTGGATATCCATTCAAACTCTTACTCTAAATATAATACCTTCCTTTTTTTTCATGTAACAATGTGGTATTTTTTATTATTTAAATAATTTACAAAAATCTACTCCTCTTCCTCGTCTTCTTCATCACTTTCTTCAAAATCGAAATCTTCTTCCTCATTCTTGGCTTCAATATCAGCTACATCGTCACCTCTTTCTAATTTACGCAAGTAACTTCTTCTTTGACGAAGTGTCATTCTATCCAGCATGCGCTCCTTTTCTTGAGCTTCTCTCATTTCATCAGCATTTGATTTGAATTCGTCCTTACTGTCACGACAAAGTTTAGTCATCTAAAATATTATAAAACCTGCTTTACCAACTTACGTATTTAAGATCTCTTTGGATTCTAAACATTTAGCACAAACACCCTTTGTACGAGCACAGTTATCACAGAGAACATGATATGCCTCCTTGATGGCTTTTTCCTCACAACAAGTACTAGAAAATAAGGTGAGCATAAAGTGACAGTGAACACGAAGTAATCCTCGCTTACCATTTCTTGACAGTGGTTAAAGGCTTATACTTCTTGTACTTCTTACGCCACAAAATAACGTCGGTACAACGTTTACAGAGACCGTAAACGGGTAAGTTAGCGATCTGCAATGACTTTTTGGAGTTCTTGTTGGCTTTCCAACTCGTCGAGTTTTGATGGGCTTGACCCTTCTTGGCCGTATTACCCTTACGGCTCGAACCCTTATTTTCGTAAGTTGACATTATAAGGTTGATCCTCGAACAATGAAAAAAAAAAAAATGAAAAAGAAAAATGATTTAAACTTAAAGCTTTTTTTTTTGTGACTGAACTATAAACAAGTCCGCTTTTTTGTGTTTTTTTTTTATTGTTTTTCTTCGTCTGCCAAAATAATCTCTTGTTCAGAGGTTGAAAAGATATCAATACCAGCTTCTAAAGAGTCAATCAAGATATTTAAACGAGGTCCATTCAAGTTGGGTTCCTATGCAAAAACGAGTTAATCACTGAAAGAAAAAAGTCTCTCGCAAAAGTCTATTTACCTGTCGAATAATATCCAAGTCAGAACCAAAGGCTTGAGTGACTTTGCTCATGTAGGAATCTCTGAATCGCTTTGCTGTGCTCTTTTGTTCAGAGGAGACAGGCACTTCCTGTTCATCCTCCTCCATCTTTTCCTCTTCCTCTTGTTCTAATGTCTCTTCTTCGTCTAATGCCTCCTCTTCTTCCTCTTCTTCTTCCTCCTCTTCTTCCTCCTCTTCTTCTTCAGACTGACTGTCATTGTTCATTTGATTCATAATATCATCCAAAACTGTAGGATCCATTTCTTCATCGAGGTTATCAAATAATCCTTCACTCTGTTCCTCTACGAAATAGAGAAAAAAGTTAACACGAGTCCGGGATCTTTCACGATCTTTGATTACCTTGATCTTGTTCAATCTATTTCACAAAAAAAAAGGTTTTTTAAAAAAAAGGACACGTCAAAAAGAGAATGGTTTACCTCTTGAACAGGCTCTTGTTCTGTCTTGGCAGCTTTAGCAGGTTTAGCTTGGATTTTGTTGGTGGCACTTCTCTTTTTTCCCATTGCTGATTTTGTGTTGGCCATTTTTGATTTAAAAATTATGTGTATGTGCCGAAAAAAAACAAAATTAACGCGGGGCTAAGATTTAATATAGTAGTGGACGGGGGTTTAATTATTTGACAGGTAGGTGGTTTGGGCTAGACAGAGCTTTACTCATATGCTTTTCTTTAGGATTAGTTAATGTCAAGGGTCTTTTTCCTTCCGAATATACATTTTATCGGTTGATACGCTATCTTTAAGAGTAAAAAGGGTTTAGTGTCATGGAACGAAATCAGTAACTCAAAATGTGGTACACGATATCATATTGAGTCAACCAATAGAGAAAGACTAAAAGTAACAAACAAGCAGAATATCTCTCTGAGGTACTGTTTATATCTATTGTAATGCTTCTCGTGTCAACCAAATGAGATAAAAAAAAAAGTGGAAATGCCCAAACCTACATATCTTTAAAATCACGCGATCTTTTCTTTTTATAAATAGTGTTTAAACGACATCTAAGCATGGTTACGTGTTTCTGGCCTACCATGATCCAAAACTGAAGCTAAGAACCGCGCTTGAGTCTACACACACAGTATAGTGATGGCTAGTTGTAAACGTATTATCAATCCTCTCCCAATATTATCAGAACGCAGCCTTTCTCGTATAAGAAGATATGCGCCTACATGACTTATTATCATGTTTTAGCATTTGCTTAAGAAAATTAACCCATTATTAATTAGCCTTCCCTTATGAATTTCTTACATCCGTAGTAACTTAAATATTGTTGCTTATGCAATCTCTTTAGATACAGATTTTTTTTTTTTTTTTTTTTTTCAAATTTCACTAGATGGAAAGCTGTGATATTCACATAGTTATTATCACGTCTTTTTACTAACATGCTTAACGCTTTCTTTGACACATCTTTTTCTCTCTTTGTATCTAAATTCTCGAAAACAAATGAGATATAGAAAACTGTCTCTTCGACTTGCTTTCTCCCTGATAATATATCCAACAAGGTATTTACTATTTTACAAAGAGATGTGACGTTTTTGTGATATGTGTTTGCACAAATTATGAGAAAAAAAAAATGCACAGGTGATACCGTCATTGCTTTGATCTCCGCCCAAAGTCTGCTTGAGCAAATGGAGAGAGAAAGGGAAAAGGGCTGATAAAAAAATAAAAGGGTGTCTTTCTTTCACTTTTCACAAGATATACCTATAAAAAAAGATGGAAGTGTCCGATTATATCAATAGTGCAAAGACGTTTGCAGAAAAAGCAGCGAAACTTTCGCAAAAGATGTCTCAGGGGCTTGTGGACAATGCGCGTGAATTAGGGTTCCCTGGTAGCGAGAGTGGAGCACAGTATTTCGACACTTCAGAAGAAAAGATGCGCAACATTAAACGACAATTGGATTCAAAAAACGATCGAGAGAAACTGGATGGCCTGAAACGCCTGATTGCCGTAAGTTTTTTTCTTCTAGTCTTCATGTCTTTTATGAAAGTCTTAAAATAACTGGGAAATAGATGATATCCAAGGGCAGAGATGTGTCCGAGTTTTTCCCAGATGTGGTAAAGAATGTGGTCTCGCAAAACATTGAGATTCGAAAACTGGTGTATATTTTCTTATTGCGTTATGCCGAGCAAGAACCCGACTTGGCATTGTTGTCCATCAATTCGTTTCAAAAAGATCTCAGCGACAAGAACCAGATCATTCGTGCCATGGCATTACGTGTTATGAGTGGCATTCGCGTGCCGGTCATTAGTCCTATTGTCTTGCTCGGTATCAAGAAGTGCATTACCGATCCCAGTCCCTATGTAAGAAAGACCGCAGCGCATGCTATACCCAAATGCTACAGGTACGAAAAAAAAAAAATAGGGTCGGACGTATGAATAGACGGTAAACTAACAAAAGGTGTATAGTTTGGACTCGTCTCAAAAGGAATCACTTGTCGAAGTCATTGCTACATTATTAAAGGATAGATCGAACATAGTGATTGGAAGCACGATCATGGCATTTAACGAGGTGTGTCCCAACCGCTTTGATTTGATCCATCCTTGTTTCCGAAAGTTATGTTCTTTACTGGGTGATTGTGATGAATGGGGACAAATGTCTATTCTGGGTGTCCTGATACGTTATGGTCGAAATCAATTTTTAAACCCTAACCCTAACGTAAGTCATTCTTTAAAAAAATTGAACAAGTAATGTATTAACTCCCTTGTTTGTTTCTCAAGGGCGAAGATGAATCTCGAGTACAGCCCAAGAAACAAATTATTGCCAACAACAAGTCATTTTATTCGTCTTCAGATGATTCGGACAAGTCAGACACAGATGAAGTGGAGATTGATCATGTGGTAGAGCTGGATGTAGATCATGAGTTGTTGTTAAAGAGTTGTATCCCCTTGTTACAGAGTCGTAATAGTGGTGTGGTATTAGCAGTGGCTAAATTATTCTATTATTTATCCCCTGCCACAGAAGCAGAAAAGATTGCTAAACCCCTCGTACGTCTCCTGCGATCACACCGTGAACAATCCTATGTGGTGCTTTCCAACATTGCCACCATGTCCCTTAAACGTCCTGTAAGTTGTGGGTTTATTTAGAGATTTATATTTTTTATTTACTCATGATATCTTTTTTCTAGTATCTTTTTGAATCCTCGTTCCAACATTTTTATACGCAATCCTCCGAACCCGTGTTTATACGTGATACGAAATTGGATATACTGACGACGATTGCCACGGAAGCGAATATTCATACGTTATTAACAGAACTTCAGCAATATGTCAAGAGTCCCAACAAGGATTTTGTGGCAGCTACAATTCAAGCGATTGCACGATGTGCTACGACTGTACCCACAGCTTCTGACAAATGTCTTCGTTTATTAATGAAACTCCTTCGTAGCCGAAATGGTAAAGGGCAATTCTTGCTATGTTTTTTTTTATTACTGTGGACTTACGCTAATTCATTTTATAGAACTGGTGGTGGCAGAGAGTGTGTTGGTGTTGACGCGTTTGTTACAGGTACCCAATGATGAGCGATCGAAATCAGTGATTGCGCTTGTAAAGTTACTAGAGACACTTCAGGTGCCTATGGCGCGTGCGAATATTTTGTGGCTGGTAGGACAATACGCCGAGACATTACCTAAAGTGGGACCTGATGTATTGCGTCAAGCGGTCAAGAATTTTGTAAAGGAGGATAATATTACGAAATTGCAGATTTTGACACTGTCGGCCAAGCTGATTTGTTTGAATCCAATGCATGAGGTATTGAATCTTTTGAATCAGTATGTGCTGAATTTGGCTAGATACGATACGGATTACGATGTGAGAGATCGCGCACGGTTTTTACGTGCGTTGACTATACCTAATGGAGGAGAAGGAAAGGCTGGATTGATTCAATTAAAAGAACACCTGAAGGAAATTTTATTATCCAACAAGGAACCTCCTGTGATCGAAAGTGAAGTCCAGAGTAAGTTAGTCGCATTTGTATTTTATGTTGTATATTAATCACGTTATGATGCTTAGGTGCGGCAGATTATAATATCGGCTCACTTTCATTATTGGCGCACCAGCCTCTCCCTGGTTACGAGCCATTGCCTGATTTCCCTGAAGAGCAACCTGATGCCAGCACACGTGATGTAGAGGAAATGGAAGGATGGAGTGGTAGCCGAACGGTGGTGATGGAATCTGGATTTGGAAGCGAGAGTTTTGACAATAAATATCGCAACAGTCGATTCTCGGGTGCAGGTGGATCTACCGCCTTGTCTAATATTGAAGCGATGGGTAGTTCATCTATGTACTCACCTTCATCCTCTACTATGAAAAAGAAGGGCAATGACTATGATTTAGATGCGTTCTATGATGAATCTAGCGAAGAAGAGGAATCGTCGTCAGAGGAAGAAGAATCATCGTCGGAGGAAGAGAGTGACTATAGTGATAGCTCAAGCGAAGAAGAAGAAGAGGAGGAAGACGAGAAGAGCCATAGGAAGTAATGAAATAAAATAATAATAATAAAAAACAGAAGGTTCTAGATTTACATAGGGAGTATTGTGTTATTGTGTGATCAGGTGAAAGGGAATCTGGAATCTCGAATAGACCATCGTTTTGTGAAACAATCAGAAAACGATGTGTTCTTAAAGGCGTAAGATAAAACGACGCAAACTAATATTTATTACGTATTCTTGTTTACATACAAAAAAATAATGATGGTCAGGCTTTTTTTTTTCTCCTCCATCGTCGTATCATGGTTATTTAGTTCAACTTGATTAAAACCCGTGCAGTCTTTGTACAACTTTTCCTCCGTTTTTTTAACCCAGGTTTTTTTGAATCCCAATAAATTTTTCCCTTTTCACAAAAACAGTTCTCTCTCTCTCTCTTTTTTTTTTGTTTTTTTTTTGTCAGCATTTCGTTTTGGCTATTTCATCCAATCTAGTTGTTTCGGGAAGCTCACTATCCGGTTTGGATAGGCGTAAACGTAGAAAGACTTGCTTGAACACCACGGCGGCAGTAATGACACAATCGCGATCAGTGGTGCCATCTTCAGTTGGCACGAATATTAATAATAATACCCATAATCATACTAATAAATCAACAAAATTATCAAGGCCAACAAAGTCATTTTCAATCATATCAAAACCACCTGTAAAAATAAATTTCCCTGATATTGTTCATGATCCCAATAATTGTATGTTTAAAGTCGCCTTAAACACAAACGGAAGCGCCGGTAAGTAGTCGGAATGTGCCTGGCCCAGACTGTGACTTAACCCTCTTCTTAGTGGCTGCATTGTGTTATTTACCCACTCGATACAACAATGTGATTGAATTCTACCACATAGTAAGTCTAGACACTTTTTTTATAGACCCGCCCCCTTTCGCCCCCCAACCCAAGTATTAACTTATTTTCACTAGGAAATACCGACTGCATATAGAAATCAAGGCCTAGGTGATCTGTTACTAGCAAAAGCATTTGAATGGGTAGAAAAGAAGAGCATGCGAGTTATACCGACTTGTCCATTTGTATTGGGATATTTAGAGTCGCATTTCCCAGATAAAAAGACCGGCAGTTGGTCATGTATTTTTACACAGTGCATAAAATAACCAGCGAGAAAGAAAAGAGAGCTCTTTTCTCACTCCGTCATTGGCCACACAAATTGTCATGCTTTTTTTTCTCTTTAATCATGGTTTAATGTGAATTCTCTCACAGCGATACCCGCTACACCAAAACCCCTTCTTTTTTTTTTCAGAGCAAGTCTATGGCATGATTGTTAATAAAATACCCTTATCCCCCCTCCCCTACTCTCTCACACACACTTACTCTCCCTTACCCCTCTTTTTTAATAATTTTTTTTTTTTTTCAAACACAAGAAAGTGTAGCACAAAGCTTTTCTCTAAAAAGAAACAGAGCATACTTTTTATTTATTTATTTTCTTTCTTTCTAATCTTTCTACATGAGTGCTCAAGTGAAAAAGTCGAGCTCAGAAGTAACCCATCGACGAAAGTCAAGCTCCATCTCTACCACCAACCGAAAAGACGGTGTCAGTCGTCGAGCATCGGAACGTCAACAAGTGCTAAAGATTCAGAATTATGTAATCTATCGAAAAACCATTGGCGCTGGATCGATGGGCAAAGTCAAACTGGCCGAATGTCTTGATGACACTCACAAGCAGAAAGTAAAAAAATAAAAATAAAAACCCATTCTTTTATCAAACACAAACACACACTAAACACCCTTCATAGTATGCTGTTAAAATCATGCCCAAAGTCGATTTGGTTGCTTTACCGAATAAACCCACAAAGCCAAAAGACCCTAAAGACACACCAGAGGAACGAGAGCAACGCACAATCCGAGAAATGGCAATTATGCGTTTATTGAGACACCCCAATATTTGTCAGTTGAAGGAATACATTGCCGAAGGCGATAAATATTACATGTTTCTGGAATATGTCGATGGTGGTCAGCTATTAGATTATATCATCAAGCATGGCAAATTACGAGAAAAGCAAGCACGAAAATTTGCTCGACAGATTGTGAGTGCACTAGGTATTTAAAAATAAACTTTTTTTTTTTGGGTGTACGACCGAGATAAATTACTCACACATACATTTGATAGATTACTGTCATAGAAATTCAATTGTTCACAGAGGTAATACAAAAAAGTTATAATTAGTATCACTGGAAATGCTCAAACACATGTTTTAAATAGATTTGAAAATTGAGAATATTCTCATCACCCAATCTGAGCAGTTAAAGATCATTGATTTTGGTCTGTCCAACGTGTATTCACCCACTGAGCAATTAAATACCTTTTGTGGCTCACTCTACTTTGCTGCGCCCGAGTTGCTCAAAGCCAAAGAATACACAGGTCCCGAAGTAGATGTCTGGAGTTTTGGTGTCGTCTTGTACGTGCTTGTCTGTGGACGCGTGCCATTCGATGATACCAATTTACCTGCTTTACATGAAAAGATCAAGTCGGGTGTGGTGGAAGAGTACCCAGACCATCTCAGTAAAGAATGTCTCGACCTCTTATCCAAGATCTTTGTTGTGAACCCAAAGGAACGTATCACCTTATCAGCCATTCAAGCCCATCCCTGGATGAACAAAGGTTATGAAGAACCCATCAAAAATTACCTGCCTCATCGCCAGCCATTAGAATCCATTGATATGGAGATCGTACAAGGCATGCACGGCTTTGGCCTGGGTCAACCCGATGCCATCCATGCAAAATTACAGAAAATTGTTTCGTCTGCCGCTTACCAGGTCGCTGCCCTGAAAATCGATCAAAATTTCCAAAAAAAAGTAAACGATGATCAATCACTGGCTGCCAAACCACGTTGGAGACGCACCTTATCCACCAAACGAAAAGTTCAAGTACATGATGATTTCCAGTCTTTACCGGCCATGTATGATCCCTTGGTGTCGATTTATTATCTCGTCAAAGAACGAAAGGAATCTGATATGCGAAAGACCATGTTGTTAAATGCAGAAAGTTCTCCCATCACCATCAGCAGATCGACCAGTACCTTGGTAACAAATACACCCCCCATAGCAACGCAATCTCCTTTAGTAAGAAGACGTACATTTGACGCCAGCAAGAAATTGCCCGAATTACCTGCTGCAGCTACTGCTGCTGGTGGTGGTGTTAATATCGCCAGTGAAAAGAAAAAGGCGAGCAACCGATTGTCCATGTCGTTTGATTTATTTAATAAAGCACCCCATCCAACCCCTTCCAAGAGCGAGACAACACCTGCGCGAAGAACAACGTTATTAAGACAAAAGAGTTTGCAGACCATGAAAAAGTTTGGACTGAAATTACATGGAGGGTCTTCTTCCCGTTCAGCCACAGCGACACCCGCAACCGAGGGAGACAATCTATCCTCGTCTTCTTCCACCACTACAAATGAAACAAGTAGTAAGAATCGACCGAGTAGTATTCACAGTAGCAGTAAATCACATTGGCTCAAATTGGATTTGAATAATAAAAACAATGGGAGTCAGTCAGCAGAGAAACGGCAATCAGGAACATCCACCGCGAGTAGTAATCAAACGAATAGTCGACCTGCGTGGAGAAAGATGTCTATCAGTAGCAGTAGAGCCAAGCGTCTTTCCATTGATAATTCCACAGGTAATTTACCAACACCTGTGGATCCTATGCTTACAAGTTCTGAGATTGCGAATAACGAGGTGCCCGTTGTTAAAGGTACTACGCGTATATAGATGGAGAGAGGAAAAAGAGTATGCTAAAAATAGGTTTTTTTTTTCTGTAGTAGATCCACCCACGTTACGAATCACACCTAGTAAGTCCGAGGGTGTGTCATTCCGAAACAAGAAACGATCGGAGCAACCCAAGAGCCTATTTCATTTCAACCGAGCCCATTTGTTCCGTGTGACACCAGACGAGATGATGATGACATTACAGAAAGTGTTAACGAGTCTAAAGATCCAGTGCAAGGAGACGGGGTTATTTACGTTACGCTGTCAGTGTTCTTCAGCGGTATGGACACGGTTTGTAAATACGAGCATGTCGGTTAGAGATGAATCGTTGGTACGAGACAGTGTAGTGTATGAGGACGATCCCAACAACTTGGAATTCACTGTGATGGTGTATGAAGCAAGGTGGGCAGGCGGCAAAATCGGGTTTAAAATGAAGGACGATGAGAACTACGCCAATGTCACCATTCAATTATATATCAAGCAAATTTCGAAAAATATTTACAATAGCTTATTGAATGAAATTGGCCACATATACCATTCTACTTAAAAAAAAACCTTATTTATTATTTGCCCTTCTCTCATATTATATATATACTTCTTAATGTACAACAATGTTTACAGTTGTTTTGAAATAAAATCATATCCCCATCTTTATTAAGAGTCACTTGTTACGCTAGGCAATTGACATTCCTGCCCCTCTTTTTTTAAAAATCTCAATGCAAAAACACTGACCATACCCGGGATTCTGAACCCTGTTTATAAGTAGTCATTTTTGGGCCCCTCAAGAAAGGGGCCACAATTTCGAGCCTGCAGGAGATAATTGGCAATAGATACAATGGAACACCATTAGGGCGCTTGGTTAATTCATTGTTTATACTTAAAAGGAAAGGGGGGCCTATTTTGTTAAGGGGTTGCAACTCTGGCAATGCTTACCTAGAAAAGATTATGTGTATCTGCAATGACGTAAAAAAACTACACTACTGCTATTAATCATTTAAAACTATGTCTTACATACTATATGCGAAGAAATATTTATTTGAAACATTTTATGATAATTTGAAAAGGATGTGAGCAAATATGCAATAATCAGTTAGCTAAAAAAAAAAAAGATGGATCAGGATAATGTTTGCAAGTATAATTAAAATGCAGTATTTCAACTTACTAAATTGTAAATCCCAGGATTTTAAGACCTTGTGTCTTGTAGCGTCTTCATACGACATCACGGGTGTACCGTATGTCATAGGAGCCAAAAATAGATAGACTACAAACTGCATACCCAAAATAATAGTAGCTGCCAAATAACTTTTCCAGCTGAGACGTGTTTGGTCCAAACTGAAGCGTTTTTTGGAGGGCTGGAAAGAAACAGGCGAGTTTACACCATCCACAAAAAAATACTCAAAGACACTACCAATCAAGAGATAGTTACAGGCCATGGCAGGTAAATAATGATGTAAAAATAAGGAACGACCCATCAAAAAGAAAGGTAAATAATGCATGGCCCATAACAAGAGAAAGAAACCACCTGTTCGGAAAAGTCTAATTCGTGTAGCTAAAATTAAACTGTAAGTACCTTCTTCCTCCTAGTTTGATAAAATAAAGACTCACTGGTTCTCATTAATGGATAGCCTCGTTTGGCAAGTCCTTGATCTGAAACAATCATCATAATGAAAAGACCAATACAGACAAGACCGCCCCACCATCCAGCAACGTTTCCAGTCATATATATTTGATTTCTGGTCTCCATATCTGTCCAATAATTAACACCGCGTGTCATGAGTGGCCAAGAAAGAGGTCCTGACTGATATGGATGGGCTCCTACCAATTGGCTATTCTGTACAATCATCTGTTTCTGATATTCATAGAATTTAGAAAGAAAACTCATACTCTGTACTTGTTTTTTATCTTTCGCAAGATTAATAGCAACGGCTGTTTTTTTTAAAAAAAAAAAAGATGCGATTAGGTTTTTTGCAATTTTATATCATCTTTTTGTCCTTTTTTGCTTACCATCCAGGCCTAAAATATCTGTGGCAGTCCAATAATTATTAACATCCATTGCAACCTTGTTACCATTCACTTCCAAGTGAAACTGGCCCCATTCAGGCAATTGTTTTGAAGTACAAAAGAGTCCAACGCCCGTCTTGACATGCACCAGATTCACAGAATTAATTACGGTATTCCAATTTGTACCAGAAGACAAGTCGCCTAACACAACTTTAAATAAAGTGTCATTGTAATAGATTTCATCATACACGGTGGTAAACTCCTGATTTGTAGGGGTGAAAGGAGCAGCTACATTATGCGTCATCAACTTTCCTCCTGTGGTGATATGTTCAAGTCGGACAATATCATTATGATGGATATATTGGTTAGCGACCTCTTCAGAGCCAGGGGCTACTAAACGCCAATAACTGTTGATATCCGGGTTCATATTACCAACCACTTGTCTACCTAAAAGATATTTATCAATGATCTATTCCTTCTGGGCGTTTGGCGCCCTATCCCACGAGTTCAACGTTTTTTATATGTATTATTTACCTCTGGAACTGAAACGACCATCTTCATACTGCTGGGGATAATTGAGATTATAAGAATGAAGGAAAGCGCCTGTACCTCGGTGTTGAATCTTGATGGATTGGTTGAACATAATATCTAATAGAAGGTGTTAGAGGATAATTTAGAAAAACAATTAAGGTGAGGAGTGTTTGTAATCACCTAAAGATTGTAATCGACTAGGACTATCAGCTAAAGTACTTTGGAATTTGGCACTCATGTACATATCACCAGGGCCTGATATCGTCAAAATGGCAAAATGAATGTAGAACCAAACCAAGTAAATAAGACTAGGGACAATGATCAAACCAATGCATCTAGCACCAAAATGTTGAGCAAGTGTTTTCTGTTTTATTTTAAAAAATCGTTAGTAAATCATGGGCATTTTCTTTTTTTTAAAAAAATAGGGAAAAGTCTTACGTTAGATAATTGATGTTTGACATCCAATAGGTCCCAGAGATCCATCAAGACTGCAATACCAATAACTGCAACCATAAACACACCAACCATTTTGACGCTAGAAAAAATGTTACACACGGAAATGACACGTTTAAAGTGACAACAAAATTTTACCTGAGCGTAAGTGCCATACAAACACCTGTAGCATTTAACCAGATCCACCAAGACGAGGTAAAAGGGCTAAAGAAAGTATTATTTTAGAACAAACTATGCTAAACTTTATATCGCCATATATACTTTACGTGTGTCTTAATTTACGGAATCGAATATAGGCATAGATGGTAGTCAGCATGTAAAAGATCAAAATACTGTCTAAAAGAATCAATCTATTTTGACTAATGAACGCGTTGTCTGAGCCAGTATATAGGAAACGTTAGAAAAGATCAATGAACATATACTCTAATTTTCACCATACCTAACAAGTATAATGTTGCAGTTAAAAAACACGTTAATACAGAACTTCCGGACTCTCGCATAATGTTATAGACGAGAGCAACACCCAATACGTGTAAAGAAGCGGGTAAAGCGCGAAGACAGATATAAGGAACGTGGTTTGCAGCATAACTTTCACCGATGTTTGAGAATTGATAGACACCGTCAAAGCCGACCATGTATCCAACCGCTGCCAACATAAGTTTTGCGAGGGGAGGATGGACATCAAAGAAAAAGATTCTTTGGATATAGTAGCCTGCAAACTTTCCAAAATGAACTTCATCAAACCTATTTCAAAGTTTAGAAAACGCGGGAAAATGAGAAACGAAAAAGAGCTGTACTTTACACTACGTTGGCAGGGAACCAGATCATGTAAAATGTAGCGAAAAAGGACATGATGGTCACGACCGAAGCAGCAACGGTGTGTTTCAATTCAATTTGATTATCTCTTGAATTGTACTTCAATTGCTATTTGCATGTCTGTCAGGTTTTATTCAAGAATGTGTCAACTCTTTTGTTAGTACTTACCTTTTTGATTTCATCAATGTCTTCATCGAATGCGCTGTCTTGTCGAACTTTCTTTGGACTATGATCCTTTGCCGACTTTCTCCTTCTTACGGACTCTTCCTTTTGAACATCCATCATGACTTTTTTGTCTTCCAAAAAAAAAAAAAAATATAAAAAAAAAGAAAGTAAGAGAGAAAAAAATTAATAGGTATTTGTTTGCTGGAAATAAATAATCGAACGATAGATTCTATATTTGGACAAATGAAATGAGTACATAAACAATCTGCAGAAATTCGCAGATGGGTGTTCCGAGTGTTTTTCTAAAAAAAAAAAGAACTATATAGCGTCATTTGATAGCAATGTACATCATCCATCATGCCCTTGTATCTTCTTGTATGTAAAAGAAACAATTTTAATAAGAAATGTATAGATATACATTATTTGAGATAATCCTTCAGTATTATTAAAAAAGCTTAAATTAAAACCCCAATATTTTTAGGGACCACGCATAAAGTTTAATTTGAATAAAGTTTTCACACGTCGAAGATTTACAAGATAATCGATTTTTTTTTGAAAGACTGTATGTGTAATCCTACAATTCTTTGTTTAAAGCTTTTGCCACTACGATCAATTGAAAATATTCCCCTCGCATGAACAATGGGCCCCTTCAGAGGAGGTAAAAATAGCAAATCGAAAAATCCGATTGTGTTACCCTCATATGCTTCGGTCGCTTTCTGATTGGCTGTGCCTTGACTTGTTTCATCTTTGTTACCATTGGTAACTCAAAAAGTCACATGAACTGTGCGCCCAATATTCTGTTTGCTTTTTTTGAGGTACAACAAAGATTGCTGCTTCCGAAGTTAACTGGGTTAAGTTGACACGATTCAGTCAGGCTGTTTGTGATGACAACTTAAAAGTAAAAATTAAATGGGGCCGGAGAGATTAATAAACACGAATAAACTACATACGAACTAGCGGGACAATGCAATGCAGATAAAATAAGCACCATAAAAAAACAATATTTGAAATAAATGGCAGAACCAAATAAATAAATACATAGTTTAGTGATGTACATTAGGATAAGCTATAGACATTTTGTCTCTAAGCTTCATTTTAACGCAATTGCTTTTGCCACGTCATTATTTTCTCATACGGGAGCACCAATATACTAGCACTAATATAATAAAATTGAATATGGAGAACCATGTGTAAACAATTAAGATAACACTGTTAATAGAAGGCGATGCATGCGCAGCTTTCTTTTTTTTCTCAAGAGAAGAACAAGCCAATTATAGTGTTACGGTGCTTCCAAATTTCAATTTTCCACTGGCATTTAGGGTTAGAACATTTAACTGCTTAGTTTTTGGGCTTTTTGATCATTTTGAAATGATGCTGTTCCGAGGGTTGGTGGGACTAAAATCATGTCAGAAGGGACTGTTGTAAGTTTGTTTATATTAAGGGCTATTATCCACATCCATGAATTCCACCATATACTGCTATAATGGCTAAGTTTTATTGCTACTTGTTAAGTATTTTTAGATAATATATTTTTTCTAAATCATAATAACAGAATTCAGAAATGCTTGAGTGGAATACTTTATACTGCATGATCTATATACACATACATATGCGAATTCTTGTTGTAGCACTCAAAACCTGCGCATAAAACATGTTAGTTTAATGCTATGAGTATACTTTTAAACAATAATCTTAACGCATACGACGACGTAACTGTTCACATATTATTTTAATCACCGCCGATTACTAGCCACATCTACTGTACTCTCATGACACTTTGCCACATTGTAAACAACCCATTTAAAGTAATTTTTATACCCTTATTTATCGAATAATAAAATTACAATTGTAAGGCTGCGATTGCCACAATTCATCCCGCTTGCTTTTAATATAGTGAAATGGGTGTTAATTTGCAGTCATGTGGCGTATTCATACGACGGCTAATATGAAATTTATATTACATTGCTTATTGAGGCAACAGACATCAAATGTAATATTAGAACTGATCATGGCTTCATTTCATATAAAAAGAGGCCCCATTACACCTTCCCTTTTTCATTATTATTCTTAACACTAAACAATTAACACAAGAAGAAAAAATGGCTTGTATTCAATGGGTTTATGCTAACGGTAGTTGTTGGGTTGCACTTGATAGAACTGCACAGAGTGATATTGAAGCTTTATGGTCTGTCAATTCTTCTCATTGGATCCGCTGCCCTTCTATATCAAAGACCGCTGTGTATGTTGACGTAGAAAAAATGGTCATGCTTTGTAATGGCTACTCTTACACTATCGCTCGTCGTAGAACCTAGTTTTCTCTTTTCTTTTTTTATACCCATCATCATAATTACCATAACACATAGACCTTAGAAATACAATAGAATTTTCGATTACAATAAAAAATCATACATTTGCTTTATAAATCTTTAAATGTGGTATTATTCTTCGTTCTTGTAGTATGCTATCTTGAATAATATGAGCTTTAATCTTTGAAAATTGTGCATTGGTTTTTTAATTGCGATTAAGATATCTTAATAAAATATCGAAAATCATTAATTGCTCGCACCGTTTCCATAGTGAAATAACAAACCGGAACTGTGAAATACCTGATTCCGCATAACCCCCAGTCACAATGTTTTTTTCTCTCTCAGTATGAAATAAACTGGGGAAAGAAAAAAGATGTTTCCTATTGTTTTTTTTTCATATAAAGCATTTGAATAATGTCCTCTAGTGTTGGTGCCGATTGTACAGATCTCAAGCAAAGATACGATACTTGCTTCAACAAATGGTACTCTGAAAAGTTTTTAAAAGGAGACACTACACCTGAATGTGAAGACCTTTTCAAAGATTACAGAGCATGTGTCATGGTAAGTTCGTTGTCTTTACTTAAGTTACTTTCTTTTCTAAAAAGCTCTCTTCATAGTCTACCTTGAAAGAAAAGGGTATTGATAAATTATTAGACGACTCTCGTAAGGAAGCACCCTTCCCTTCCACCGACAAGCAAGAACAAAGTTCTGAAAAGGCTGCATAAAATACACGTCTAAAATAATGACACTCCCAACTAGACTTTTTTTTTTCTCCCGATGTTGATAAAATGAAATAAAAAGATGTATTGCTATCCAATACGTTTTTACATGTAGAGAGAGAGAGAGAGAGGGATTGAGGGAGACAGAAAAAGCTTAAAAAGGGTAATGTGACTGCTGAGTATGAGTAGAGCATAGAGTGAGAGTGAGAGAAGCCTTATAATTTTTTTATCATTCAAACAATTTATAATGGCTTCAATCATCAATTCGCTTGCAGTCCCTTCAACTTATCGTGATCAGTTATATCAGGTGAAAAATAAAAATAGAGAAAAGCCAACATGCTATATAAATATATATTAACGCGTTTTTTTAATACCTGAAGGGTTCTTCCAACCAACTGACTGATGATCTTTCTACAACAGCCACACTTTATGTTGGTAATTTATCATTTTTCACAACCGAGGAACAAATCTATGAACTCTTTGGAAAATGTGGAGAAATCAAGCGTATCATTATGGGTCTCGATCGTAATCAAAAGACACCTTGTGGATTTTGTTTCGTAGAGTAAATATACATATTATATGCAACCAACAAAGCATTTTTTTTTAAAAAAAAAAAACGAAAAAACATTCTATCCTTAGATACTACCACCGTGATGATGCACTTGATTGTATGAAGTATACCAATGGAACGAAATTAGACGAACGTGTCATTCGATGCGATCTTGATCCTGGGTTTAAGGAAGGCAGACAATTTGGACGTGGTAGAAGTGGTGGACAAGTCAGAGATGAATATCGTACAGAATATGATGTCGGAAGAGGTGGTTGGGGTCATAGAATGCGTTTACAACTTGAGCAAGATCGTGAGAGAGATTTGAAGCAGAATTATGAGGCTATCAAGGATATTCCTCAAGGTGCTGAAGAATACAAGAGTAGAGCCGCTGCTGGTCAAAGTATGAGATACACAGTAATACATAATTTGATATACTAATTTAGCTTTTATAGGTGGAAAACGTAAATATGATGATAATGAAGAAGATGATTCTCGTAAACGTCAAAAGGAACAGGTAAAAAAAAATAGTGTTTTTTTGTAAAAAAAAAAAATCATAACTTATTTTTTGGGTGTATTATAGAATCCTCGTTTCAGAGAAAATGAGGATGAGGATGAAGAGTAAAAACCAGTACATATATAAAATAAATAAAAATTTCCGCTCCCACCTTAATATCAAGATGTTGGATGCGTTTTAAAAGGAGGAGGGTCAAGATGTGGATTTTTTGGCTTAGACCATGATGGTTTTACCAATTGTGCTAGTGGTTGAAGGGATACTTTTGCTATCTTTGAAAGTATTTTGGATTTGGATTTGGTACTGACTAAATTTACAAAGTAGGGTGCTTTTTCAGAGTCATCGCGAACGTGGATGGTGGTATTAAAGGACTCGTGTAAAGATCCAAGGGAGCGTGCTCTTCTTAGAGAAGTGTTGGTGCTGCTAGCCAGTGATCCAGTTTCTCTATTGAAGTGCAAAGGTAAATGGGTTCGAATATCTAAATTTGTATTTATTAGATTAGATAAAGAAAAAACAAGGGGGAAAAGGAGGGAATTCTAACCTTGGGTCAGTAAAGGATGATAATCTTTGGGATATCCATATTTATGGTCAACATTAGATTGTGGCCAACGAATAAAGTTGTTGGAGTGTCGATTCATGTCTGCTTTTGTTGCTAATTCGATTTTCCAAAAGGTGTTTTCTTTCCAACTATCCACCGTAAAATCTTCATCTACACACAAAACGTTCTTCTTGCATTTGGATTTCAGGCTTGGTTTACGTGCTACTACGCGTCTGGCAGTTCGCAAACTTTGAGAAGAATCGGGTTGTTGTCGCTCTAAAGGGTTGGGACGCTGTTGTGATGGAGACAAGGCACCAGCTAATCGAACAATCGGATTAAAAGCAGTTAGAAGTCCAATTTGTTGCAGTTGTATCACATCGCCAATCAATAAGGGTTTCAATCGTCGAACGTGTTCATGAAAATTGAGCTTGATATTTGTTTGTGCATCCGTCATGTATTTTAACCCATTATCTGGGTACTCGATGGTCCAATCAATCTTTTCATTGGGGTAGTGCAACGAATCGTTAGATAATAGGCGTAGCGGTCGTAGTTTCGAATATTCAGATTGCTGTACGTTTGTTTCATGACGGTAGGGACGACAGGATAAAACCATTTTATGGGTCTCATTCATATCTGGAGCATCCTCCATGCGATCATTGATATGCCATGAAGCTTGTGGGTGTTTGCTTACGGAAGACGTCTGTTTGGGCGCTATTGATTTGCAAGCAGGATAGATGTAGACTTTGCTGCAGCCCCGAACGGTTTGAGGTCGGTGTTCTTCAGGATCAAACGTGTCGTCATGGTGTTTTTGTGCATTGCCAGTGGGTCGCCATGTCATTCGCCAAATATATTGACTTTCCGGTGCTCTACTGAGATCCAAAGGTTCAGCGCTGAGTGCACGAACGAGATAATCCTGGTGGTCACCATCAAAGGAAGGGTCTTGTCGTGCGTTACTGTAAGGATCCCAACACAGGTAACTATTTGTGTAAACATTAAAAATTTTGATGGGACAATAAACCGGTATTTGAACAAATTTTAAATGAATAATTTCTGCAATTGCATTTCGTGATTCCAAGTCGAAAAATTCATGAATGGGGGCCATATCGAGTCGTGATACGATGGTGGCATGTTGAAGAAAGTGCTCCAAGTCAAAAGGTTGGTGGTCTTTTTTGGGGTTTTCACGATAAAACCTTTCTCTCAGGATATTGATGTGATGATAATAACCGTTGGTGCTGTCATGACCGTCTTTAAATTTATAGGATTCTTTTAAATGTATTTTATAGCCCAGTACGATTTTGCGGGGCCATAAATAACCATACTTGTTCCATATATCCAATAACTCTTCCCATTTGGAATTTAGATTTGAAGTTTCATCTTTTAATAATTCTTGAATGCGAGTTTGGAGTTGGCTTGTTGGACGCAATATGTTGTCTACTTTAAACGACGCATGTTTGCGTAATTGCAGAGAATGTAACGTATTACAGTTATTTACCTTATCTGAAGCATGGAAGATCATGAAGAAATCAGACATGGTCTTCATCAGGATATCGTCATTGAGGTGACTGATGGCTCCACAATCCACTAAATTATCTGACCAGTCTCTTTCAGTAATTAATTCAGTTGTGACCACTTGTTGAGTGATCGAGGATTGATCGGGATGGATGGAGATGGTGGGTCTATTATCCAATACAAAACAGGCTTCCTTTGCAAGTGCACCGTTAGGGCAAATACCATTTCTCCATTCGTCCAGTCGTAGCAATAATTTTTTGGTGCTTTCGAATTCTAATTCCTGGATATCGATGGGTAACATGGTGAAGAAAAATAGAAATAAAAAATATATAAGAAAGGGAAAAGTACAAAAGCGGGAGAGGCAGAGTTTTTTGTGTTTTGTTTTATTTATTTTTCCCCTTTGTGTTACAAGCCGGATGACTGAATTAGTAACTAGTTTTCATGGCTGGAAATAGAAATGACAATAAACTTTTATTATGATAAAAACACAATCATTTAAATGATAGAATTCACCTCTTTTGATCATTTTAAATACACATTTATTATTTTGAACTTAAGCTGCTACTAAACCACCATCGTTACTACTTGACCAGGAGTAGACGGATGAAATCCAGTGATGAAGGGTGGCTAGTATACCCCGCTCATGCCAATGAATGATTTCTAATTCATGTTGTTCGACCTGATCCTGACTAAATATAAACTCTTTGGGAGAACCATTCAATTTGATAGCTTCATTATACAAGAGAATAGCTTCGTCCATATTTTCACGCATATATTCTATTCGCTCCAGACTGGGTGGATGAGTAGAACCAAACCAAGAATTGACCAGTGAGTCTAAAAATGCACCTAATTCAACACCTTTTTGATTTTCCTCTTCTTCTCCCGTGGCCACGGATTTTCTAGCAGCAATTACAGCGCTTGACTCAATCTTTGCGGTCCCATCTTTAGTTTCCTCGTTTTCGATCTCTTTAATCTCTTCCTCTAATGCTGCCATCATTTCCCAAACCTCAACAGCAATCTTTGGATCATAACCTGCTTTAGCCAATATTTTTAATCCAACAAGATCAGCCTATAGGATAAGTCAGCCTCTTTTTTTCTAGTGCTCTATAAAACTGACTATTTCATACCTCCTTTTCAAGTTTTCTGTTGTAAGTTGTTTCCGTTTCCAAGGCAATAAATGTAGAGATATATTCATTGATTTTTTGATTGACATAAGGACCGAAAGGTTCTGTAACCATCCAAAAGACACCACGTGTGATATCTCCCAGCATAAGCATGAGAGAAGAAAAACCACGTTGTTCTACAAAATGCCGTTGTAGGGAATGAGCAATTTCATGCGAGAGAATAACAGCAATTCTATTGGTATCATATTCCAAGTATTGAATGAGCAAGTTATACACAATGATATTGGAGCCGGCGCACATGGCATTGACGGTACTTGAATCCCAAATGACATCGACATCAAAGTTACGTCGTGGGATGGCAGGTCTAAAATCATCTTCAGTTGGAGGGATTGGTATATCCACGGGGTCTAAGGTAGGTACCAATTGGATTTCTTTGCTCTCTTGATTTTGTGTTTCTTCGCCGTAATGGCGTACAGGCAAGCGGATATCATCAACCGCAGCAGCGGCCAAATTATTCACAATCGTTTGAAGCCACATGACTACCTCATTATCTTTTGGGACAACAAGCCCGCTTTGAGAATCCAGTAACGCATCGATTTCTGCCTTGACAATTTCTTTTTCTTCTTCTTCACTGAGATAGACTAGACGTAATCTGGATGTATTTGGTGCCTAAATAATTAAGCTTTTTCAGTAAAAAAAAAAATAACAAAAAAAAAACCTTATTTTTAGAATGGTACCTGATCCAAGCCAATAACGAGCAGTAATGTAAAGCCAACTACGGGAATGCCCGCTAATACTTTGGCAATAGTATCTGCTTTACCTCCTCTACGGAAAGTATGAGGTAATAAAGTTAATGAAGTTTTCGAGGATAAGGATACAAGACTGACTAGCTGCCCACTTTTGAGTGCTCCCGTGATAAAAAGGGGAATAGGGATAATTGGTACATGGGTTGGCTTAGTTGTATGGAAAGGGCGGCGAGAGAAAAGTAATTTGCTAGGTAATGTACGCCCACTGTTATTATAGCAAAAAGTGCATAAGGGAGATGAACGACGTAGAATTGGCTTCAAAAAATGATGCATCATTTTTATCTAGTAGTCTTGGATTTGATACCTGGTCGTCACACCCGAAAAATAAAAAAAAGAATGAAAAGGGAGCGAAAAAGAGAGGAGGCTAATTTAAAACGCAAGAGACGAAAATAAACTCTAACCTCGAGAAAATGAATTTGTGTTTGCGTCACATTGAATAGATGTACAATCAATCACAAAAAGGAAAAATACTCATGACTCTTGAGCTTTCATCATAAAGTTTTATTAGCCTTCTTCATACATATATTTTATCTATACCATTATATACACTTTACATAAAAAAAAAAAAGAGCCAGAATTAGAACAGGTACCCTAGACATTTTCAAACGGTAGTACGGATAAATTGATACCGAAAAAGAGCGGTTTAAAAAGAGATCTTATCACACGCTTGACCTGCCTCCATACAGGCTTGAATTGCACCAGCGCAATGTTTGATTGATTTAAATAACTCACTCAACTCCTTGGGATCATGACATTGCTTGACTCTTTCAGACAATTCGTTCATTTTGGTTGAAAGTGCAGCTACTACTGCTTCGGATGAAAAGTAATCGGAAACGGCTTCCTTGACAGGTGTTACCAAACTGGTAGGTTTCTCCACCTTTTGTCGTTTACGATCCTCTGCCATTTTAGGTGAGACGGGTGAATGCACTGGCTTTACCTCTTCGACTGCTTGTGGTTGTTCTCGCTTCTCAGCCGCTTGCTTGTTCTTCTTGTTCTTTTCAACTTGTAACGCTTCGGCTTCTGTTAAGATAATATTCTCACAAATAACACAGTACATTTGCTTGGTGTCTGGGTTACGAACCAAAGGGACCTATCGAGTATGTCAATTTGAAATTCTTTCCTTCCACATACCATCCACTTACAGCATAACAAGATTCGTTGGGACAATGCTCGTTCAATAAAGCCCAACGTTGCAACATTTTTTGTCCAATGAGTTGAGATGCCTTGGAAGATTGTTCTCTTCTTTGACGACGGATCATTAATTCATCCTGCATATCATCTACCTCATTCTCTTTAGGTTTTTGTTCGGCAGCCTTTGTCTTATAACTCTCATTGGCGGATCCGCTAGGAAGTGAATCGTGAAAGGTACAGAATTGAAGGGATCGGTCCTTGGAGCTCATTAAAGGAAAGGAGCAGGACTCTACACTACAAATCTCATCGGTCATGATCTTAAAAAAAAAGGATTTTAGTATGCATCTAGTTGTGGCATGGTATTCCAATTACCCAGCCTTGAAGCATGTAGGTACCGAGAAGGTCACCCGCTTCTTTTTGCGTTCTGTTAGCTTTCAACATGTTTATTTTATAGAGAAAAAGAGAAAAAAAAAGTGTTCGAAATATTTAATAAAAACTAAGATTGTGTTGCAAGTCCGCTTGTTCCTGGTTTGTTTTCATGAAAAGCGATCCAGCCTTCTCGTCTTGGAGAGTTTCTCTTTGCCCATAGTTCAAGGAATTTACCTCTGTTTAATAATGGATCGTAAGCGGCCTTTGGTAATAAAGTTTCTATCATGTCATACACGCCAGGTGGTTTTGGCACGGTATATTCGTCCCTGATCCATTGTTCTTTCGGTAATTCAAAATCTATAATGACATCGGCAGAGCGTTGATGTCTCAGTTCAAAGCCTTCGCCCTATGTCGTGTAAGTTGACAAGATAAAATAGAACAAATATAAATTTACCTTCTTAAACATGAGTAAAATCTCTTTGGTAGAGCTAAAATAAGGACTGGGTTCATCCAGTTGAACATTATTGACGGATTTTTTAAACCAGACTAAATTTTCTACATATCTACATTGAATTGTATACATCATACGCACGATATCCGCTTGGATCAGCTTATGTGACCAAACAAAGATCATACCGGCTGTCATATGACTAGACACTTTTTCCATCAATTTCTGAAAGTTGGATAAATTCCAGGTACAAGCACCATCATTTTTTCCATCGGCCACATAGAATTCCCATGGGGGATCTACCAAGATACATTCTATTGCAGATTCGCGTGTATCTTCTAAGGGCTCTAACATGGTATCTAATATGGATGCACAATCATTCATATCGTTTAATTCTACATAGGTCATTTTACTTGGGTCAACCTTAGTCTTATTTGCTAAAGGTTGGATTCTCTTCACACCACTATATAAATCATTGGGGATTCGTACATGCGATATGAATTCGTCCGGGGTGTCAATCTTTCGTTTCTTGACACCTGTGAAAAATCGTGATAGTGAGGATTGTTGGATTTTAGCCGCAGGTTCTGGTTGCTGAATATTATTCGTTGTAAGTGGTGGTTGCAAAGATTTTCGAACCATGCTTTTCTGTAGTAACCTAGAAATTGTGTGGATATTATTAATCAATAAGAACTAGAAAAAAAAATATGGTTAAACTTACATTTCAGTGGTGATTAGACTTCGACGCCATTCTTGTTTGGCATACCAATATTGATCTCTAGTGTATTTATCATTGTATGGCCTTAAATATATAGATGAGTGTCAAAATGTGCTCTTTTAACCCAGCAAAAAACTAAGAACTCACGTTAAGAACTCCTTGTATCCTTGCAATCGCTTTGTCCATTCTTCTTCCCAATCTCTCGCTTGGATGTGAGCCACATCAGGCTCAGTTTCCATAACAAAATCATCTTCATCAAGGCCAGGTATATATTGTTTTTGAGGCATCTTTTTCACAAGATCTGTAATATTTGATCTCTTGACACTAGGACGATGAATGGGCTTTGGCTTAGGTGCTGCTATGGGTCTTGAAGTGGCTGTTTGTCCCGAACGACCATGTAATTCCTTAAGCCATCGGTCGATATTTTTCTCCTCTTCTTTGACCTCATCATCCTTCCATTCGGGGCCCAATTCAGTGGTAGGTATAATCCCGGATAGACGTTCTTTATGCACTTGCTTTAGCTTTCCATCTATTGTAATATAACTTTCATCCTGCAAAGTACCGTCACTAACTAGTTTACGGTAAAAGTTCATACATTGATACCCCACACGATGAGGAATACCACAACTGAATAAACCCCAAGAAGAACCGATTTTCCAACCATTCGCGATCCATTCTTTATATCTATTCATGAATAACTTTTGCTCTTGAGCTGACCAAACGCCATTCTGCTGACCTTCACCGGGGGCAACAAATCTATAATAAAAACCTTCGGGACTCTGAATTAGGAGGGGTTTTTCACTAAAAATTAGTTTTAAGCAAATCAAAGAACCGCAAAGAATAATTGTTGATTGGATAGCTTACCATGTATCTGTTTTCCCAAGCTTTAATACGAGAGCCTTGCCATTGTTTGACGGCATCCTTTGTAAAGACATCTTCGCCCACTCTCTTTCTTTTCAGACTGACAGGAGGAGGCGGAGAAGGGTCGTCACGCACAGATAAAGATTTAAACCGAGGTGTCTCTGTATCTAATAATTGATCCATATCATCGTTCTCCTTTTTAATAGGTTTTATATGGGTGACCAGGGATTCCTGTTTAGCTACTACTTCTTCCCAAAATGAATCATCCTCCATTTCAACATCTTCATTCTGTTGTTGTTGTTGTTGTTGTTGTTGTTGCTGTTGCTGTTGCTGTTGCTGTTGTTGTAAAATGTATAAAGGTTCCTCCATGCGACCTTTTCCTTTCCCCTTAACCTACCTTGTGTTAATGACTGTTTAAGACAAAAGAGTGGCAATGTTGAATTTTTTTTTTTTTTTTTAGTTTTTTTTACCTCTATTTCGGGTTCTTCCTTGATCGTCAGACTGTCCACAGTGGTTTCATGTTCTTCATGAGCACATTCGTGTTTAGTTTTGGATAAACTGATCTTTTTACTGCAGCCAATCTTTGGAATAGAAGACGACGATCCACCCCAGAAAGACATGATGTTTAGTAACAAAAGAAAAAGAAGATAAATTTTTATTTTTCAGGCGACCTTTTTTTTTTTTTTCTTGCGCGCGATGGGTTCGCGATTCGAATTCCGGCGTGAACCAACAATAACATACACTGGCGACCTTCTTAATAAATAATAAATAGCGCAGTCCTTACATTATTGGTACAAAAAGTTTAGCTAACATAGCCATGTGTATATCTTCTGTATACAGATAATTGCATTGTGAAATATGAAACAATCATTATACATTGGATAGATAATTCTATATCGAGCTGTCATTCATACATCATTTGGGCCGATCATGTAATATTTCATATAGAAGTCTACACTAGTATTAAGGGAACTTGTGTAAAATTACATATGTCTACACTTGCACTCAACATTAAACGGGTTACACACAAAATCCAATAGCTAAATGCAAAATGCCATGGTGTATATTCAAAACGACAAACAGTTGAAAGAACTACACAATAATTTCTATGCAAGTATGGATGTTGCAAAAACTGTAATGTATATAGTCTATTGTTTTCTTTGGTTATATCTATGCATAAAAGCATTTTTTTAGCTAAAGGTTCGTGGAAGTATAGTTCAGGGCTTTCTGGTCATTCAGTCCGTTCACAACTAAACGATTATCTAACACAAAAAATAGTTAGTGGAGTTCTGAATATGCCAAGACGTTGACAGCAGCAATTGAAGATTTGATCAAAAGTTTTGAAGGACTTACCATCAAAAAGCCAAAGATTGCTGAATTTATGAAAGATAAATGCAATCTTAGCATAAAGACTGTTACCCGTCACTCAGTTGTTGAATGAAGCGCTTAAGGGATCTACCTTGATGATTGCGTATGCATTGACAAGTCAGTATTTAACTTAAATATGACTCCGTCTATCAGAGCCAAATCAAATACTACCCTTGGTGCCATGTTGTCTTTTGGTATTGTCAATGTAAGTGTTAGTGAACCCGGTAATTTTTTTTTTAAAAAAAAGGAGAAGAGTAGCTGGTGCTATAAAGAGAAAGGTGCTGGATATGTACGAAAGAACCATTAGTAGGTAATGCATGCAGTTTATTGTTAATACGATGAATATCACGAACTGATTCCCTGAAATGAAAAGATACCATCTAATGATAGACAATACTCCTATTCTCGCCCCTATAATCATTGATCCTCTCATTATTAACCATGGATATCAACCTGTGTACCTCTTACCTTATTTGCCAGAAAAAAATAAATTGATCAATTCTACTCAAAAAAACTTGAAATACTGCGTCGAGAAAGAAGCTTCGAGACAGCAATACACCACTTGCCTTCAGAAGTACGGATGTATGTTACAAAGATACACTTTGAAATATACAAAGTTTTTTCCAATATTCCATTAATACTTTTTCCAGAAGCATAAATAAATTAACCACCTAATCCTTGTTAATTTGATCTAGACATTTCCAAAATGATGACATTAAAACCTAAAAAAGACTCACTGCTCGAAGTTGCATATTAAGGCGAAACGTTCCATTTGTCTCTCTACAATTGTCCCTGTTTTAAGCTTCCACATCTTTTCTTCATCCAAATTACTGTATAGTTTTCTTATTTTGACTTTATCCACATCATCAAGCTTCGTTTGTTTACTATTAATTGATGATGATGCGTTGGTTAAGGGTGCGGTTGAGGATGAGGATGAGGGATGTCATTGGCTAGTGATTTGTCATAGTGACCAAATCGTTGGCTTCGAGTAATAAATTATTTTCTATACCCAATGCTTTATCTATGTAGCAGAAAATTTTCTCGAAATTAATTTTACTTCCTGACTAAAGAAAATAATTAACGCAAGGCAGTGATATTTTGATTTAAAAAGAATAGATTTACAAATGCTGTGTCAGTTAATTGAAAAGTGGTTATGATTCTTTTGATCCAATCAGCCTTGTAAACGAAGAATGACATGTCATTGTAATTGTTCACTATAAAATGAGTCATTTGCTGAGCAATTGCATTGACAGAAACAGCTTTGCCTGCTGACTGCAAAGCAGATACTGCATGCCTGTCTTTTAATTTGAATCGGGATCCCTTAGGACTTCGTTTCTTTCTTTCAGGGATTCCCAATTCTGGGTCTTCTCTATACTTTTTTCTATAATTATAACCAGAGTGCAATCTGATACCAGTTGAATTACAGGCTGATTTCACATCGGAGCCAGCAGCGATCAAGTCAATGAACAATCCTATCTGTTCATCTTTATACTTCATGTGGATTCTTTTCTTTTTATCCTCGTGCTTAAATTCGGGCTGATTATAATGAAGGCTACAATAGTTCTTTACACGAGTATGTGCTTCTTCTAAAGTCTCATCAATGCGGGCACTGTCTTCGTCCGAACTTTTGTTGCTGCTTCGTCATTACTATCAGGGAAAACCTCCAAATCGTCAGCAATATCCTCATCTACTTCCATGCCACTTTCAGTAACACTAGATGACGATCCAGCACTTTTTTGGCGTAAGTGAACGTACAGCTCTTTAGTCTCGTCGTCACCTTCTACATCAAGATTAAGATCGCCCATAAAAACGTCAATGGACATGGTAAAAGTTTTTCGAAAAATTAAGGTTATGTTTTTGAAGCTTTTTGAAAAAACAGTGAAAGGCTTTTTGAAAATACGGTGGGAAATCCAGTAATTTCAGAGGGCAAAGTGGCTATTTTTAATTTTTGCTTTCGTCATTTCGGGTGGGAAAATAAGGGAATGCCGTTTTTTGTTTATTTCGTAGTCGTTACCTATGAGCGTAAATTGCCCAGGGAGTGTCGTCTTCTTGGAACGTAGATCCGTGGCAATTGAATAGATGTTTAAGATGATGGCTTTTTTTTTTGGGAGTAGAATAATCTCCACCTTCACGTGGTTACTCCTGTTAGTAGAAGTGTTTTGCTTTGAAGCCAAGAGAGATTACTTTGTATTAAGAATTGAAAAATAAAGCTTTTGTATTTAATGCTAAAACGAAGTTTGACAAAGCTAAACATAATTTAACGTGAGTTGACCTAAAAAACAAGTAATATAGGCCAGTAGTTTTTAAAAAAAAAAAAATGCGATAAGACCTTAGTTGTTATTTTATGTTTGCATTGTAGTTTTTTGAAGGCAAAAGGCTCACGGATTTTCTTTCTTGATAACACGCATTGTTATTCAATATACTTTTTGAGTTTCTTGTAAAGAGGCCATTAGAAAGTAACGTGGTCATTTGTGTAACATACAAATGCAAAATTAAAGTGAAAAACCAATAAATATTCAGGAACCTAAATAAGGATTTGTGAAAAAAAAAAAAAAAAAAAAGATCTAAATGATATAAAGCTACACACAACTGTCGAAGAGCCTTCCTTTCTTCTTTTTTTTTGCTTATTTCAAAATGAGTTCATTGGAATCGGAATGCACTGATCCTTCGTCATGTCAAACAAAGACTCGGCCTTCTGGAATATACAACCTATTTAACAATAGCGACAAACCATTAAATGCATTTATCATTACGTCAAAACCCCCACCAATTACCTATACAACAGATACAGTTGCCGAAAATACATACCACGACTTTACACCTTCATCCTTGGGTCGCTCCTCTGCTTATTTTACAGCATCGTTGCCAAATAGTGATACTTGGTCTTACCAAGATCAAGTAGACCCTTCCCTGTACGACTTATCCAGAACAAATTCAACTTCGAGCTATTTAGACAATCAAAGTGATTATGAAGTTATTCTAGACGACGGTTCAAGACAAAAACGTACAATTTCTTTGTCCACAATTAAGCAAATATCTTCGAGACAACACATCCCATCCACACCATCTTTTATAGATAATCTCATATCCAAAGACAGAAGCAGGCACAGGTACAAATATTATTTAATAAAAAAAAAAGCATGTAATCAAGTCACTCACAATAAATAAAATCAGTAAATCAAAGGAGACAACTCGATTGCTGCCACATGACGGCAAAAATCTTCATATGCCATTATCATTATCATCAGACAGCGAAGATAATGATGATGATGACGATGATAATAATATTACGTATCCTTCCAAACGATCTTCTGGTGGTATGTTGAAGCGTCTTTATCGAAAGTTAAACCAATGGCGACATCATCATTTGACATTATCGCACCAGCAGAAAATGGTGCTCAAATGTAGTTTTGCCTACATGATTGGATCGTTGTTTACCTTTGTACCTACCTTAAACGCCCTGTGTGGTACTCACATTGCTAGTCATATGGCTGCAACAGTGACAATCTTCTTTAACCCCGCCAAATCCGTCGGTGGCATGGTCGAAGCGGCAGGTTTTGGTTGGCTATATACTATAGCTGCTCTCACACTCAGTATTGCAAGCATGTACACCACGGATTTTTTCTTGGAACATCAGATGCCTACCATAGCGGCCGTAATATCTTTAGGTGTGTGGCTTGCAGGTAGTACATTTGTTATTTCGTACTTGAAAGCAAAAATCAATACACCAAGTATTTTGACAGGTAAATGTTTTTTTTTGGGCCCCTAAATAGGGAAGGTGCTTTTTAGACTAACCATGTGATATTTACATAAATAGCCTCTGGCTTAGCCTTTATTATATTGTTTACCGTAATTGTGCGTCAAGGTTCAGGTACAGAAACAGAGTTTGATTTTGACATTATCACCGAAACCTTTTCAATTGTTGCCATTGGTTCTGCCATTTCTGCCATTGTCTGTATCTTTATCTGGCCCATGTCAGCTTCACAAAAATTACGTTCAAACATTGATGCCAGTTTGTCATCGACCAAGATACTTTTAAAGCTCTTGACCAAGACATTTTTACTGGATGCTGATCTGCCTGAATTTGCGGCCAACAAGACTTTAGAAACAGCCCTCAAATCTCATCGTACCAGTTTCACTTCGTTAAAACCTGCCTTAAAAGAAGCTAATCTTGAGTTTTATAATTTGGCCATGAAGAAGCACGCGGATGGATATCATAAAATTGTGGAAAGTTTGGAAAGATTAGCACAACATGTAGGCGGGTTAAAAAGCAGCTGTGGATTACAGGTAGAAGTCATGCATCAAACAAGGCCAAGTTATTATGGTGCAATTCCTCCTAATTCCTCTTCACGACAAGAAAAAGAGACTTATAACTTGAAAGCAGGTCCTCAGCGCAAGAAAATGGAGACTGAACTGAAACGTGAAAAACAAGACAGTAAGACTACAGCTGAAGCAACTACATCCACATCTTATTTCGATATTATCAGTGAAAACCCTATTACAGGCAACGAAGGTAATAATAAAGGGAGACCTGAGAAAAAAGAAGGTGCGCTTGTTCAGTTTATTCAGACAGTCAGATCACCAATGAAATCATTAGCCTATACATGTAAGCAAACCATCATTCACTTGCAGGCGCGATTTTTGAAGAAGACCACACATGCCACACCTTCGTTTGTATTGATGCGACAAAACTTAGCGAGCGCTATAGAATTATTTGAAACATCTCAGCATCAAGCAATGATACGTTTTTATCAACGAAGGTTCAAAAAATACCACCGTAATATAAAGACAAGTGACAACTTGCATACACTTTTCTTGGAACAACAGCAAGAGTTTCCTGCGGATGACATATTTTTGGTTTACTTTTTTGTGTTTTGTTTATTGGAATTTGCTAAAGAGCTCATGACATTAGTGGAGAGTGTTCAGTTAGTGTTTGAAGATATGGAAGAAATGGATAAAACAAATAGTGTCTTTGCTTGGGCTAAATTTTTGTTTACCAAAAGTAATTTTTTAGCACAAAAAAACCAACTTACAAAAATATACTAACCACTACTTCTACACGTAGACGCTTATCGTCAAGAAGTGTATGATACCCAAGACATGTTTATTCCAAACAATAATCATACGATAAACACACTACATACTCCAGAACCTAAAACAAGGTTGCGAAGGTTTTTGCTGAAGCTTTGGGGCTTTTTCTCAGAATTCAGAACATACCGTGTAAAATTTGCATTTAAATCCATGCTGACTGCTGAGCTTATTTCGGTATTAGCCTTTATTCCTGCCACACGACCTTATTTCACAGACTTCAAAATGGAATGGACGTTAATTACTGTCATGGCGGTCATGATGCCGACAGTAGGCGGAACTAATCTAGGTGCTGTGTTGCGTATCTTTGCGACTGTCCTGGGATGTATTCTTGCCGCTGTTATTTATACTATCTTTCATGATAACACATTCATGTTATGGTTGTTCACTTGGCTCATTTCAATACCTAGTTTTTGGATGATTCTAAATCATAAACATGGTAGGTTTGGTTTATTTACCTTACTGGCGTATAACCTGGTAGTATTGTACAAGTTCAACCATAGTGATGATGATAGCATCAATGTATTTACATTGACTTGGATGCGATGTGCAGCGGTATCTCTAGGTGTGGTAATTGGGCTTATTGTCACAGCTTATGTTTGGCCTTATGAGGCGCGAACACAAGTTCGAAAGGGTCTCTCTGATTTGCTGCTACGACTTTCGTGGCTATACAAGCAGCTGGTGTCGGTGTATTCAGAGGATGGGGAAGAGGACTATACACAGCTAAGCAGACATATAGATACTCAATCTAAAGATTTAGTATACCCTCTATCTCTATTGACTAGACGTAACAAAGCACGAGCTATTGCTTTACAAAAGATTGAACTCTCCATCCAACTAAACATATTTGATCTTCAAGTGCTTCTTCAACATGCACCGAACGAACCTCGATTAAAAGGGCCGTTTCCAGCTAAAGCCTACGGTGCCATGATTGATTGCTGCCAGAGTATTTTAGATAAATTTTTATCGCTACGTATAGTGATTTTAAAAGATGTATGGGCGATCCATGTGCGACGTAATTTTTTGATGCCTGCTTCACACGAATTTATGGAGATGGCGGGTAATGTGTTCTTGTACTTTTATTTATTAGCATCGGCTTTGCAGTTAAAGACGCCGTTGCCACCGTATTTGCCACCTGCCGAAAAGACAAGACAGCTACTGATGCACAAGCTTCAACAGTTGCCATTGGTGATGGAAGAATCTATACAACAACATCGTCTAGGAAAAGAGAAAAGAGACGAATGCTACATGGTCTATTATGCCTATGTAGTATTGATGGAAAACATTATCCGTGAACTAGATATGGTAAAGCAACTATGGTGACATGCAGTCGGTTTTTATATTTACTCATATTTGTTTTTTACTATAGTTGGGAGGTCATATGAAGGATCTGTTTGGATCATTGGTTCCAGCCGATCAATGGGCGAGATGCTTTGGACAAGGGTTGGATTTAGAACAAAATGATTACATTAAATAAATACACTACCCTCAGACCTCCTCTTCCCCTTTGTGATATTTATGCAAATTAAGATAATATTTAATAAATCAGGATTTTTGTTTTTTAATTATAAATGAACAAATAAAAAACGTCTAGTTAGTTAATAAAACTAATAATTAATGGTTAATTTTGTTATCGATATTGATAACAACGGTATCTTGGTTGTTGACAGAAGGTGGTGGGGCAGGAACAGGGGCGGGGGCGTGGGCGGGGACAGGTGGCGGGATAGGGACTGCAAGAGCTAAGGGAGTGAATCCTGGAGGAGGCTGAATATGCCCAGATCCACCTTTAAGTCTGAAATCTGTTTTAAAATCAATGTCAACTTCGCCACAACATGCTTTAGCTCCTGATCTTTTATGGTGTCTTCTTCTACTCTTACCAGCACCACGTTTATTCATTTTAGGATCGAAATTAAAGGCTTTGCTATCAAAAGGTGTGTCAGCGTTTACAACCTCTCTCTTTTCAACAACAGGAGCAGCATTGACAACGACAACGACAGCGGTAAGAGCGACGAGTAATTCAATAAAACGCATTTTGCTTAACAGAACGAAAAATAAGAAACAAGAAAAATGTGTATGAATATAGGGGAAACTAAACGAAGAATAGCCCTTTATATAATGTTTGTTGTTTGAAATAATTCATGTTAACATTCCGTCTTCTTGTCACTTTTTAATACGACCCCCTTGAAACCTTGCCACTATTTTTTTTTTAATTTTTAAGCGAATTTTCGATTTTTAAATGTGTAACTTAAACTTAACTGGCTTATATTTATATTTCTCGTTTTAAGACTGTCAACAATGAAAGAAACTAAAATAAATCAAAATATTATTTTTATACAATAGGATCAGGAAATGATGAGCAAAGATAACATTGGAGAAATTAAAATAATACAAAGGGTATGTGCATAAAAACAATTAAATTCTTTTGGGGACAGTTCCGCAAAGAATTTATTCGGGGAAATAATAAAACTTTAGAATTGCTGTGCTATTCTTAAAAACACTTCTTGTCTAAGAATAGGTGCCAGGAACAACCTGCCTGTAGTCGTAAAGAACAACACCGTGAGTAAATTGCAGAGGATGCTATAAATTCCAGTCGGTTCCTTTTTAAATTTCCCTTTTCGGTATTTGACTTCCAGGGCAACCGCAATACCATGAATTAAAAAGAAGGCAGTTAATTCAAATGTAATGGTGCGTGCAGCCGCAGCAATCATGAAATCATGAAATAACCCGCTCAGAACAAATACCAAGAGTCCGTATCTCATGGCAGAAGATCCGCCACCTGTCTTGTCCTCCTTCTTTTTGTCTTGATCCATTGCCTTCAAAAATATAAATTGTCGAAATATACTATTGACCAATCGATTCCATCTTTTACTATATTAAAATTTAAGCTCGTCAGTGCAGATCCAAGGAGTCTAATTTTTTTTTAACTTACTTCCAAAAATCTTTTGGACTATCAAATAGGGTTAAATAATAGACCGACTTATACATACATTAACTTTCTTTTACCTGCTAGCCATAAAAGGGTTGTCAAATATATCTTTAAATCGTATAAGACAAGTGCACTGAACAAGGCCCATAATGATATCAGTGACACCCATCATACAATAAATTCGAAATGCCAGTACGTATGTGATGAATAATGCTCGAGGACTAAACACGGGCATGCCTAAAAGATCTGATAAATCTTTAGGAAGTAATCCATCCAACACAAGCTTCATAAAAACAAATTTTATCGATCCTCGAGCCACCTTTTTTAAACCCTGGATTCGTATTTCTCGGGAGGTATCTGTTGTTGGACTATCGTCTTGAAATGTTGCAACCTTGAAAAGCATGGCTACCCATTTCTTGATGGATAAGTCGGTTTTGGCAAGAAACACGATTTGCAATGCCGTCGTCCAGGGCTGTAACATAAAACTGATGTTGCCAAAGTCATACTTGGATGCAAAGACAATGGGTAACAAAAAGTGGTATACTGCTATCAAAACGCGAAGCTTCATGGGACTGATGATGGAAGCAAGCTTCGCATCATTCTTTATTAAAACGTAATCTATTGTCAACACTAGTACATACACTAAAGTTAAAATGACAGGTGGTATGATAATAGCTGGCGGTAGGTGGATATCTACCACATACGAGGTATAGGGGGAAGAGCTCATGCACTATTTTCAGGTGATGGCAAAAAAGGAAAAATAAAAGTTGTAGTGTTTGGATAAATGTTTCGCCAAAAAAGGTAAAGGAAACAGGTCACCCAATCATGAATGGAATGCATAACGATTCTGTCTAAATATGTTTATTGCTTATTTTATATATTTTTTAAAGGAGGAGGAGGCGTATCTATAACTTTTTTCAGAGCAGAATTAGAATGACATCTAAAGTTTTGTCGCACCTGTTGTAATTCAAATCATCCACGAGTGAGACAAAAGGTTACAACAGCTCATGTGTTGTATCGGTGTAGCAGGAGCTCTTTCAATTTGCAGTAATTGCAAAAAAGGGCACTATTCATCACAACCCCAATAATTTTAACTAGTTTAAAGGTCATGTTAAAAAATACTATACACTGTTATTATATTGGGGTACAGTGACGGTTCTGACGGCACCTTCAACATTATATCTTTTGCAGTCAAATATTGCTCTTCTTCTTTTAATACATGGCATTAGTATCCGAATTGTAATCATCTTCGATCTTGTAGAGTCTCATCTATTTTGAATTTAGCTGCTAGCACCAGTACAGAGCATCCCAGTCACAGGATTATCGACAGTAAAGTGTTAATTATATAGTCAATCTTTCGCTTTAAAAACTACGTCTATATTATAGATCATTTCCTAAAATGTATTGAGCATGGGTTTGCTGTGCTTTTCAGATACCATCAAATATTCTTGAGTGCTTCCCGATCATATATATAATAAAACCAATCTAACAGCTATAAGTATAAATTAAATGACCTTTAACTGATCTGGCAATTTATTCACTACTCGTTTGCTCTTAACCGTAGGCAGAAATATTAGTGTGAAGTCTAAACGAGACGTTTAAAGTAAACTGAAAAACACCCAGACATAATTAACATATGTTTATTGTAATGAACTTGTATTTACGTTAAGACTATAATTTAAATGGGCCTCTTGGTGTCGTGTAAGGTATCCGATCTTACAATACAACTACACGCACCCCGATCGTACCTGAATATTGTGCTACAAGATATACATAGTTTAAGGATGAATGTTATCGTTACTGTTATTGACATTTCATTATGGCTTTTCTATACGGGATCATTACATCCGAGTATTATCTGGATAAATCTACCCACGATTGTCATCAGCCCGTCTGTTATTAATGTCTGAAATAACGTGTAGATAAAGATCTCCTTTTATTTGTTTAAGAAAGCCTTAGTTAATTTTTGCAACTTTGATAATTTTCTTGTTTTTATGTATAAACTTCATCGATTTCCACACCTATTTATCAGATCATGCAACGGTTGCTGTAAAAGGTGCATACTTGTTTGTCAAGTCAAATTGGCAGTAGAACATAATAAATTATAGTGGCCCTGCATTGACATCATTCAGTGTCTCCGTACTGAGCGTGGTAGCTATGTTACCATGTCATAGTCTGATCACAATGATCACAACATCTTCAGGGACAAGAAAGCCAAGGTCTTGGTATCATCTTGTAGCACTTCAATGCCATCCAATGTACCACATGCGTACAAAAGAAATAATGGACTGATTGTCACAAGCAGCCTTCCCCAAGATTTTTGTGATTACGAAAGTCATAAGAGTAATATGCAGTCATATAATTCAAACAACAGTTAAGAAATGAGGTTTTGCCAATTTTGACTCAAAATCCCTCGTCGCATCTGAGCGCAAAAGCTGTGACTGATGGAATATACTTGTATAATCGCACTTCTCAAGTAATATTTGTCACTTTCGAATTATATGGGTGTCATAGTATATATATAATAATACAGTTCATTCAAGCGTCCTTCCGTTCGCCTGTCGAAAAACGCAGATAAATGAGGAATCGTGCTTTACGAGCAATAAAGTCTTATTTTTGTATATAGTACTGGATTAAATTGGGGCCTATTATCCAATGACTGGAAACCCAAGATGACTTGAGGAACAGCTCGGAATCGAACAATTGAGTTTGCTTACGTCTACAATTAAAATGGACAGTAAATCTTTTACGTTGTACGAGTCAGGAAGAAAACCGCAGTTCATCTAAATTTATTTCGTTCAGATAAACATCTTTTTTTTTAAGAAAAAAAAAAAATGTCTGAAGAATTAAAACAAGTGCCTGTTGGCGATCTTCATTGCCAAAGAGACACTTTTGCTCGTCAGTTTACTACTACTTGCATTGCCTGTTCCGAGAAACCTAACAAAAAAGGGTTATACGAAGTAAAACTTTACGATACAAGTAAAGTGTCACATTCTCGAAAGTTATAAATGAAATACTAAACATAAAACTAGTTTTATTTCCTGAAGGAGGTGGACAACCTGCAGACACTGGCTTTATTGATAATGTTCAAGTGTATGATGTTCAGCGTCAAAAGTTGGCTCATGTGCATTACACTAAACAGCCCGTGCCCGTCGGTAAAGAAGTACAATTGACTGTTGACTGGAAACGTCGTTGGGACCATGTGCAACAACACAGTGGTCAACATTTGCTGAGTGCTGTCCTTGAGCAAGCCCCTTACAATATCGAGACTGTCTCTTGGAATATGGGTGAAAAGAAATGCTACATTGAATTACCCACAGGCACTAAGAAGGTCGAGATCACACCCGAAATGTTAGCCCGTGTTGAAACAGATGTCAATGACTTGATTTTAAAGAATGCTTCCGTGATTACTCATGTACAAGAAGCAGATCATAAGGACACCGAGCGACCTGCCAGCTTACCTGCGGATTACGTAGGAGGTGGTATCATCCGTACCATTGAAATCCAGCACCTGGATAAGAATCCCTGTTGTGGAACCCATGTTACCTCTTTGGGTCAACTGCAAGCTGTCAAGATCCTTCACACTGAAAACGTACGTGGTGGTAATACACGTGTCTTTTTCCTGTTTGGTCAACGTATCCTCGACACTTTGGATTCTAGCTACAACATCTCACGTCAAATAAATGCGTTGTTGACTTGCCCACCTGAAAAATTCGTAGATAATATTGATAAACTTCAAAAGCAATCCAAAGAGAATTTAAAAAAGGCAAAACGTTTATTGGAACTTTTAGCTGTGTATACTGTGAATGATATCGAAGCGGATTTGAAAGAAAAGACCTTTGCGATTGTGTACAAGGAGGATGTAGATATGGAGTTTTTAACTATGGTGGCTAATGTTGTACGAGATCGTAAATTGTTAGAGGAAGGTACCCAAAAGGTTATTGTATTAGCTGCAGGTGAAAAGAACGTGGGAGGTCCCATCATTATTACAGGTGGAAATAATGATATTGTCCAAAAGACCGGAAAGATTGTCAACACCGTTTTGTCTGGCGTGAAGGGAGGTGGAAAGGGTAGATGGCAAGGTAAAGCCCAAAACTGGAATGGCATAGAAGATTTAGAAAAAGCCTTTGAGCAATTATAATTAAAACTTTTTTATTCTATTTTTCATGCAAAGAAGGGTGTAAGGGGGGTAAAGCGGGAATAATGCAATTTATTTGGTTTCCTGTATTTTTCTCTTCTTGGATGAATGTAAATCATCAAAAGCCTTGGAACTTGATGAACCGGGAAGAAGTTCACTTGCTACAAAAAAAAAAAAAAAAAAAAAAAGTCAATACACACATTATGTCTTTTTTGACCTATAAAAACCACTTACTTTCTTTCTTCATTAATCTATCGACAAAATCAGTTACAAGTCCACCTGTCAAAAACTTCATGGAGGCACCAGCAGGTAAAATAGGTTGCTTGATCAAATGAGCCAATTTGTTCTTTAAATTCAATGCCTTGACTTTAGCTCTTTCAAGCTCGTCCGAAGACTTTTGATGACCTTTACCCTGCATTGTATCTTCATCAAAATCAACGTCCATGTCCTTGGCCATGTTTCTCATCCAGTTAACTTCATGGACTTGCTTTGATTCTTGATGTTGAATACTATCAATTTCAGCTGCCAACTTGACACGATCCGTCATGGCTTTCAAAATGTTTAAGTCGATAGGGAAAAGAGGGTAATCGACACCCTTGCGAAGAGTTTGACAGAGCTTGTGATAAATACGTGTCTCATCAGGACCACATAATAAAAGGGATACACCATCACGGTTAGCACGGGCAGTACGGCCAGAACGATGTACATAGATCTCCCCAGAACGAGGTAATTGATAATGAATGACATGATCCACCAAGGGAATATCCAAACCACGAGCAGCTACATCGGAAGCAACCAAGACAGCCTTAGGGTTGGCCTTGAATCTTTCCAAGTTCTTGAGACGTTGCTTTTGTTGCATTTGAGCGTGAAGTCCCAACACTTCCAAATTCAACAACTTGAAGACAGGCACAAGACGACGAATTGCATCAATGGAGTTGACGAAAATAATAGTACGTCCGGGATAACGTGTAACAAAGTAGTAAACGTATAAATCCTTATCGGTATGAAGACAATCCACTCTTGCTTCTAATAAAGTAGAAGCAACCACATTATCTGATGTCATATCTACAAGAGCAGGATCAGAATCAGCAAACTCAATACGGCTTAAAAGATCTTCCATAGAGTTGGTAGGCTTGGCGGCAATCTTTCTTCTCTTAGCCTTGACATTGAAACGCAAATCCTTATTGAAGGTAGCGGTGAAAATAAAGGTTTGATGTACACCGAGGTCTTGAGGTAACGACTTCTTTTCGGTGCCCTCTAATTCTTCAGGCCATTCGGTTGTATCCTGTCTCTTCTTGGAAAGTGTATTCAATAAACTTGTCAATTCTTCAAAATGACCCTTTTCAAGCATACGATCGGCCTCATCCAATACAAGGAATTTAACATGCTTCAACATCTCCATATAAGTAGGGTTGTTGGAAAAGATCTCCCAAAGACGACCAGGGGTAGCTACAATAATATCGGGGTTGTTCTTGACAAGTCTTTCTTGCTTTTGAATAGACATACCACCCACAATAGCAACACAGCGAATGTCACTAAACACAGCCATCTTTTCAATATGTTCCTTGACCTGGATTGCTAATTCTCTGGTAGGTGTTAAGATTAAACCAGTGAGACCTTCCTTGACGTGTGAATCGAGGTAGTTGATGATGGGAATACCGAAAGCCAAAGTCTTACCAGAACCTGTCTCTGCAGAACCAATGATATCACGGCCCTTTAAAGCTAAAGGAAGTGTATTCTTTTGAATAGGTGTAGGAGCATTGAACTTGTTATACTTGAGGGCATTCACAACATTCTCACACAAGTTTAAACCATCCCAGGCAGACACATCGACACTTTGATCCACATCAGCAACGGTGGGACGCTTGCTCTTAGGTACAGGTTCTGCGATCTTCTCTTGGAGCTTAAGGGCTTCCTCTTGAGCCTTCTTCTTGGCCTGTAATCTCTCTCTTTTATTCATAGGCTTGGGCTCTCCGTTGTCTGCTACGACGGGCTTTTTAGCAGAAGCATCCGTGGTAGTTTTTACTTCGGCCTTCTTTTCCGTAGCCTCCATCTTTTCAACTTGGCTCATTAATCTTTCGATTTCTTTCTTCTTCTTCTCGAGCAATTTTTGGGCTTTCGTCTTCTTTTCGACGACCTTGGCTTCAGGGATTTCCTCAATGGCATCATCAATATCCATAGGATCATCGGAATCCCTCTTATTTTCATCGTTAGCATCCACAACTCTGCCATTCTTTTCGATTTCGTCGTCGGCTTCCTTGGCAGATTCCTTGGCGAGTTCCTCAGCAGCTAAATCCTCATCAAATGTATCGACATCGTAAAATACGCCTTCCATTTCCAAAGGCACAGTAGGTTGAGCCTTTTTACCAGCTTTACGATCCGCCTTCTTTACTCTCTGATAATACACGTTAAATGTTAATTATTTCAAATTGAAAAGAGAAGTTTTTTGCTTTTTACCTTGAACTTAGCGACTTTACCAGTAACATCGTCACCTTCATATTCGACTTCGACATCACTAATTTCTTCAAGACACAAGAATCCTCCTGCATCGTCTGAAACAAACGAATCGACACCTGTGGTCTCGGTCCAGTCCCAATCGTCGATCTTTCCTAAACTTTCATACTCAATGACACCGTCTACACCTTCTTCCAAAGCGGCAGAAGCCTTCTTGGTTTTCTTAGGTGAGACAGTCTTTTTAGGCGTGGCCTTTTTCGCAGGTGTAGGTGTAGCCTCCTTTGGTGTGGGTGCGGCCTTCTTTGGTGCAGTTGTAGTCTTCTTGGGAGTGACTACAGCCTTTTTCTCGGCTGGCTGTTGCTTTTCTACAAAAGTAGGCTTTTTTGCAATGACCTTCTTTGTTTTGGGTGCCATGTTAAATCAAGTTTACTTGTTAAAAAAGTGATCTTGGACCTCGAGAAGTTGCTAGAAAATATTAAAAAAAAAAGAAAATGCCAAAATTTAAAAAGTCGTCACGTAAAACAGGTCACTTCTTTCTACTGCTTTTAGAATGCAATATAATCCAATAGCGTCAGGCATTTATGAATCTGCGACTTAAATATAATGATAACATGAACTCATTCTTTCTTCTCAAATAATCTTTAAAACGCTACATAAAAATGTCTGAATATATCATTGACACGTGGAGAAATAATTTAACCAGTGCCTACAACCGGCTACGTGAAGTAGAAGAACAGACTCTAGAAGAATTCGAAGACTAATATGAGGACGAATATGAGAACGATTTCGAGGGAGTTATGCCATTTACGATGTACAATGATGGTTAACTTCTTGATATCCAGTCCCTCACTGACGAGATGGGTAAACATCTATTTAGATTTACATATCAGCAAATACAATCTGTAGATCTGGTGAAGTAATTGATAGTGTAATTATCCATATTTTATTTTTTGTTTACCTATGCATTTTTATTTATTCATTTAACAGGACTGTTTACAAGTTTAAGAAGAACATCACAAATACATCCGACACTGAAGATACCACCATTGCTTCACAGGTTCTTTTTTTAGAAGAAATCTTTGTAGCATCGTACGTAATCCCTTGTTTTATTTCAATATGTATGCATATCTGATTTAAATGTTTCCTTGTATTCAGATTGTAGTTGTATAAGATTTACGTGCCCTTGAATCACAATGAAGCCATTTTCAATAATTACTTTGTTGAACCAAACTTAAAGGCTGTTTGCAATTCCATTGATCATAGCAAATATAATTGGGCAAAACTAGGATTCTATGACGGTGAAGAAGAGTTTCTTTTCATGACCAAGCAGCTAAAACGAAAAGGGACATTTGTACAGTCGGTGTTTAAAAAGAATGATCCTCCATTTAAAAATTTATCACGAAAACTTCGTACCCCTTATCTTTAATAAGACACTTTTTATAAGCCAACAATGACCAAAGTTTACGAAATCACTCCTACAAGACTTGTAGATTCTGAGGGATTTGATAGCGAAGTTAAAATTATGAAATTAGGAGCTATTCACTAATTACAGCAACGGATTCAGTCAAGCGGCCATCGGCACAATGATTGGTATGCAGCGCCCAAACGTCCAAAATGCAGTAGGAAGAGTGGCTGAAACTGGTAGTCCTTTGAAGATGGCAACGATGGCTTTCCGTTTGTTCTTAGAAAGCAAGTAGAACGTTATCAGAGTTGCCGTGTGTTGCGCTCTGTGAAATATGAAGGTGGAAGTGTGATGATTTGGTCTTGTTTGTGGTCTGGGGGTTTTGGTCCACTAGTGTTTGTTGATGGAAATATGGATCAGGATAGTTACGTGGATGTTATGTAATGTCTAAATGGAAATGTCAAGAACTCCGTATTTTTTCCAAACGTATTTTTTAGAATCACGTGATGGTCTACACGTCAATTGATATGCCACATCGTCTAAACTTCATAGGATGATCGATTTCTGTTTTCCATAAAATCTGCTTCACTGTTATTACAAGCTACTACTGGAACGCAGATGGACAACTACCGAGCTTTGACTTGTTTGAGGGGTTTTTGCATATGTTTCTATTTTAAGTAAAGGCCCAAACATTATAAAAGATGAAACAAGCAATTAAATCATTCTGACATAAGCTCTTGTTTAGCCTATAAATAAAGCTGGTTCACACACACTTTATTCTCCCCCTCTTTTTTCCCTTAACATACTTCTTCTATCGAATGAAAGTAGCCGATAAAGTAAAAAATGTTTGTTTAGTAGTGACTCTTGTTTCTTTCAAGAGACGTTAAATCGAAAAAGATATTATTGCGGTATTGCAGCTGGGCTAGTCTTTGCTATAGGAGGGCGACCTCCTAGGCAGGGTTCTTGAGTTTTTTTGGAACTCACAGGCTGTAAATAGTTGGGATCATACTGGCCTGTTGGTCTTGGCCAGAATCTCTGTAAGTGGTACAAAAAATACGTTTGAAAAAAATACGGAGGTCTAGACATTTCCTTTCCAGATACCTGATTCCGTTTATCACGAAACTTCTCAGGTTGACTGTATTTATAAGACTGATGGTGTAGTACGTCTTCAAGAAGCCCATGATATCGAAATTTGCGTGGTAGAAGTCTCTAATGAATAATTGAATTAAGACAACAGAAAGATATACTTTGATCACCACAAGGCAAATTATGGTTGTCTTGCAATGCTAAAGACTATTGCTGATCAATACAAGTGTGCATCAGTTTTAATGAAAAGTGTTTCTATATAACTATAGTCCAAATTTAATGCTCTTCATACTGGTTATGTTTTTGGAGCAGTTTTGTTATTATCCTCTGTATTTGAGACTTTATCTTGCCCATGTAAAAAAACATAATTCGTGATACAAGTACGGTGGTGATTCTTGTTGGTGATTCAATGCTTAGAGGTGGTGAAGCTTGGAGGTAATAATTATCTATGGATAGAGCTGGTGGTAACCAGGTAAGATTATTTGGTGCATCAAGTTTTGTTCTTTTTGCGAGGTTTGATGTCTTTGAACAATTAAAAATATATTTCGTTCATGCAGCAGGTAATGTACATTCCGTTATGGCTAGAGCATAATCTAATCAACTCACTATTTAATAGACGACAAAATCAAGCTTTGGTCTCTCTCTTACCAAGATGCGATATTCCATTTCTGGAGAGAGGCTGTACTCAACATTGAGCCAAAGTTCCAAGATAAAGAAACATATCAACAAGATATAGTAACTTTTTATTGGACTTTCAAGGTATGTATATGCATCATATAAAAATTTAAAAAACAAAAAGTACATACTAATATGTATAAATATTTTTAGTACAAATTAGAGGAAATCTTGGATGCAGTAAAGAAGATCCAAGATTCTCATAAAATCAATAGAAAGAACATTAGATATAATTCTGGAGAAAACCCAAATTATTTTTACCTTGGCGCAAATATATTTTTAAGGTCAACGCAAAAAGTTTCTAATCCCAGCGCAGGGGAAAATGTAGTCCTTGATAAAGATCGCTGTGGCACCTCATTGTGGCTGATGTAATCTTCATATGTTTTCATATCAATGTTATTGTTTAAATGTTTGTCTTATACTTGTATGAAGGATGGCATAAGATCAAGCCTGCACATAAAGTAAATGATCAGTATTCAATATAAAGTATTAATAAGAATTATATTTAGGATTATCAAATGGAAATATTAAGAAGTGTGGATAGAGTCATATATTTTTAAGTGTATAGCCTCGATCAAGACAACAGTGACAGCAACAACAGCAATAGCAACATCAGACTACCAGGCTTACTCCACCGCAACCCAAAGAATCATTACATCTTCAAGTAAGTCAAGCTTTCGATATGGAGCCTGAAGTAAGCCAAGCTTCCTCGATGGAACATGAAGTCTGTCAAGCTTTCCACATGGAACCTAAAGTATGACAAGCTTTCCAGATAGAATATGAAGTCTGTCAAGCTTTTCAAATGGAACCTGAAGTAGATCTGCCCGTTGAAACTGAGCATGGAATATGTCAAGTCGCAAAAAAAGATACCATTGGGGAGTTACCGGAGCTTGTGGACGAAGAAAAGGAGGACACCTACGTTCTTTATTCCCGTTTTATCCTCCAGCCATTCCCATTTTGCTTCCTTATTAATCGTTATACGGTCTTCTGTACCACTATGTATTTAGTGGTACAGTTGAACGTATAACGATTGTTTTAAAATCTTTTTTAACCACGGCAAATTTTGCCGCGGTTGTTAAAATTGTAAATAAAAAAACGTTCTGTTTTGTTTAAATTACTTTGTTTGAGTATTACATATGATAAAGAAGTTAATGCGTGTAATTGCTTATGATATAGAGAACGACTTCACATTATAATACAGTTATTGATCACATTAACTTTAACAAATCCTTTAAAATTTACGCAGAATATATACCTTTATAGTTCAAACGGCTGAAAGGATATTTAAAAGCTGAAACATGCAAAAAAAAAGTATATCTTCAATTTTATTATAAAAAATTGTGGTGCATAAAGCTATGGCTTATTATTGAAGGTAAGGTAGTTACATACATAGTGGCTCATTATTAGCAGAAACAATAATGAACAATTCTTTTAGTAAACATATAAAAGGTGTCTTTACACTGTTTTGTCTCTAATGAAAAAAAAATGCTCATGTCGTTGTTTGATCCCCTCCCGTCGCAAGTCTTTCAAGATATTTTTGATTTATTATCGAAAGAAGATGCATATAATTGTTTGTATGTCTGCAAATTATTTCAAAAATATGCCCTCGTAGTATACTATAGAGAAATTGTATTAAACAAGGTCCGACTGGAAGATATGACATGCTTACAAAATCATGGTATTGCTAGAAGTCGTTTATACCAACACGGAGCTTTGGTTGAAAAAATTACAATATGTGATGACAAGCATGCCAATATAGCTCCAGGCCGTATTATTAGAGATTTAGCCCGTGTGCTTCCAAACTTAAAAACCATCGATATCTCTTCCAGTAACTTTTGTAAAGAATTTCTGTATTATGGTCTGAATATTGAAACACCCACAAACAACCTAAATCTTGAACAACTCATTGTTCCACAAAGAAAATGCGTTCCCGTACATGAGGATGCCCAAAAATTAACAGAAATACCCTTTCTATATAATTCCGCATGCAACAAGTTCCGTCAGACTCTCAAACATTTGGTAATTCGTGATATTGAATCACAATATTGGTTTAACAAAAAGGATATGTCTTATTCCCGTTATATTACTCAGTTTCCGAACCTCACACACTTAACCGTCTGGAATAACTTTGCGTTTAAGACCTTTAGCGGCGACGATACTACAGTTCTGAGTGTCATTCTCAAAGCATGTCCCTTCCTCGTTAGCATAGAATTAAGAAACAGCTTTGCCTTCGAAGGAAATTGCGACGCGAGTTCACAAGAGATGCTAGCCTTAAACAAGGAGATTCATCAACATGAAACAAATCGACACAACGAACAGCGTCTAAGATATGACATAACACCAGCTGCTAGTCCAGCTGCACCGCCCTTAGTTGTTACCAATGGTGTTCCAGCCTACAACACACAAATGAAAAGGGTACATCTTGTATTGCCTACAATTAGTGTCGTTGAAATGGATTATCTGATGACGTTTATTCCATCACACCAATTACAGAAATTTGAACTAAGACTCACGAGAGATACAATCGACAATTGGATTGAAAAAGATACAATAACAGCATTTGCATTTGCTCAATATCTATGTGTGGTTCCCAGCTTGGTATTTGAAGTGAGCAATCTGTCAATAGACGTCAACACAAAGAATCTAGGACCCAACCAAGCACGAAAAAATAAACTGTTAAAAGACTTTGTACACGTCTTGTTAGATAATCGTCGTCTCGAAACTTCACGTGCTGAAATCAACGTGTTCAATGGTAGAAAACCCGTCAAAAAATTCGTAAACTTTAGCTTCAATCTTGTTAATCATCGTACTTTGAAGTTTGAATACGCCCTGTCGTACGGGGATTTCATTAGGGAGCATCCCGAAACTACAAAGTCGGCTTTTTTAGAACTATTCGCTGGTTTCTGGAGCTGCGCCAAGTCTAATACTTTAGACTTGCAGTTGTCGTATGGTGACCCAACTGCAGTGATCAAGTATGCAACAAAAAAAATGAATGATGTTGATATTCTAATCGTTGGTTGTCGTAAAGTAGATATCCGAGGCAAGCAGTATCGGATTGAGTGTAATAGAGAATACGACGAGATCTCTTTGTATTTAGTGAATTTGAATATTGATTTAGAAGAAAAGCAATTTATACATTGGGCCATCATGTTACCCAACGTCACGTTTCTGTCACTTGAAAACTGTAACTTCCCCTGCAATATACAGCCCAAGAAAAAATTGTTTGACAGGTTGCTGAAGCTTGATCAATGTGTGCCGTTTGAATACGATCACTACACCCTTGATTTAACAATGTTCAGAAAATTAGAGTATGTTACTTTTACTCTTCCGCCAATTAAGTTAAATTGCAAAAAAAGTCATACTATATTCCAAACTGAGTTCATAACCGGCGTTAAAGGAAGAGATATCAAATTTCGCAAATCTTCAAACATTCCCAAAGACAGGGTGGTGTCTGTTACGGACGACACAGATTTAAACACAACCTACGTTCCCGTTCGCTCTTTGGACAGAAGAATGATTTCTATCAAATCGTACAAAGCAGTCTCTGTTACAATATTTAACGAAAATGACAGAGGAGACGAAGAAAAGATAATTTTCGGATAGTTCATATCATGGGTGAAAAGATAACAAAATAAAAAAGAAAGATATGAATTGTTTATTTAAACAATTGAAATTTATATGTAACATTTTTGTTGTCGTTTTTGGGGACGGTCTAACATTGTTTAAGCATCCTTAGGACAGATGAGTTCCTTATAATTCTTGATAGTACCAGAGAACTTGTTAAGAACACCACCTTCACAAATCCAAATTTCGTTACAGACGGTATTAATAAATCTTTCATCGTGAGAAACAATAATAACACCACCCTTAAATTCGGCAAGAGCGTCTTGTAACGCATCCATAGACTCCATATCCAAATGGTTAGTAGGTTCATCAAGAACCAAAATATGGGGATGTTGCATACTAAGACAGGCGAAAGCGACACGAGATTTTTGACCACCAGACAAAGTTTTCATAATTTGAAGACCAACCATACCAGTAATACCGAAAGAACCCAAGTGACGACGATATTCTTCTTCGGTCTTACCAGGGAACTGATCTGCCATGAATCCGACAGCGTTCTTTGTTAAATCAAGTTGATCAATATGATGTTGTGTAAAGTAAGCAATACGAAGACGGCCATTTCTATGCACAATACCAGAGGAAGGCTTGTTCTCCTCTGTTAATAATTTCAACATGGTAGATTTACCAGCACCGTTAGGACCAACAACAGCAATACGTGAATCCATTCTCAAATCGATATTCACATGACGGATAATTGTCTTTTCAGGAGTGTAACCAAAGGTGACCTCTGACATTTGAAGAATAGGTGGTGATAATGAATCGGGATTAGGGAATTGAAAGGTGATTTCTTTTTCAGCCTCAGGAGGTTCCAAAACCGGTAATTTCTCAAGAATCTTGATTTTAGATTGTGCCTGAGGGGCACGTTTGGCGTTATATCTCCAACGATCAATGAAATCTTGGAGATGCTTACGATATTGTTCTTGAGATTCATATTCTCTGAATTGTGCCTTACGACGCTCTTCCTTGGTAGCATGGAAGTTGGTAAAGTTACCCTTATAGTATTCCAATTTCTCTGAGTGCATGTACAAAATATCTGTAGCAACTTCGTCCAAAAATTCTCTGTCGTGAGAAACTACAAGCAAGGTATTTGTCCAAGACTTGAGGTAGTTTTCTAACCAAACAATGGCAGGGATCTTAACGTATATTGTCAGCCATGATATTTAAACCCCAAAATCACAATACTTACATCCAACATGTTATCAGGTTCATCAAGCATCAAAACATCAGGCTTACAGAACAAGGCACGAGCAAGAGAAATTCTCATTCTCCAACCACCAGAGAATTCTCTTGTAGGTCTCTTTTGTTCGACAGCACCAAAACCAAGACCTGCCAAAATAGCAGAAGCCTTACTTTCAGCCTTATCACTCTCAATTTCGGTCAACTTAGCAAAGACTTCCTTCATTTCAGTGTTCAATTTATCCTTCTCAGCTTCCAAGGCCTTCTTATCATCCTCGGTCAAATTCTCTTCGTCATTTTGCTCAGCTTCAATGGCGTTAATTTTACGAGTCAAGTCACGTTCCTTTTCAAGCAAATGCTCACGCCAGACATCGGCACGAAGAACCATTTCAATAGCAGGAGTATCGTCACCAACAACCTAAATAAACGTGTGAGCCTTTTTTTTTCTTTTTTTTTTGCATAATATTCGTGTCGTAAGCTTACTTCTTGCTCAACGTAGAGAAGAGAAATATGTTGAGGTACAGAGATTTCACGACGAGCCATAGCTCTGAGTAAAGTGGATTTACCGATACCGTTCTTACCGACAACACCATAACGTCTACCAAAAGCAACTGTCAAGTTGGCATCGGTCAAAATACGACGGCCAGCAAATGAAATATCGAAATTCTCGATCTTGATATCCTTGTTCTTTCCTTTGGTGGTGGTATAATCCAAAATAGGATTGTATAATTTGTACTCTTCCTGCATCTTCTTTTGTTCGTCTAACAAACGAGAAGCTTCGTATTCAACCTTCATGTTACTCTTTTCACTACGTTTAGCCATTTTGGAGGCAATCTTCATTTCGGCTTTACGTAATTTATCCTGATTAACTTGAGACTGAATACGACGACCTGAAGCGTGCTCTAAATCGACAGCACCTCTACCGAGACTGGAGGTTGCTGAGACACCACTTTGGTTGCCCATGGTGAAAGAGTGCTCTAATTTCGATAATTTAGCAGGTGCGGCAGCCTTTTGGTTGGCTTGTAAAAGACTGGATAAATGTTCACAAAGTTCGTTGATTTTATCTTCATCGCCACCAGCATCAATCAAGATGGGTTTCACGAAATCTGCAATGGCATCCTCATCATCTTCGAAGTCGTTTTCGCGAAGATAACCTTCGATATATTCAACAATAGCTTCGTCTGCTCCAGGAACAGCCTTTCTGATGAGCTGAATCGACATTTGTTCGTTTGCTTAAAAAGAAAGAGACCTAAAAGTTTTCTGAGGATTCCCCTCGCACCGCAGCATTTGAAATTTCCCCTGCTGAGATGTATTTTTTGGCCAGATTTTTGGTGGCTAAGTTTTCAAATCAATGACTGTGACTTGCGATCCTTCAAGCGTGTAAAGTGATTCTGGGTGTATAGAAACAGGAAAAAAAAATATTTGTTTTTGTGAATCCATTAAATTTATAATGTACCAAGATACTTTTGAAGACGACGATTTGATCGCCGAGGTCGAGCTTGTTGCTCAAGCCCGTTATTCTCAAAACAATGATGTTGATGATGGTTTTGATACCGAAGGTAAAAAAAAAAAAATATGAGGGAAAACTTTTTTTTTACATGCCCGAGATTTAACACCCTGACATAGTTGTTTCCAGCCAAACAACAACTGCTCAAATTCCTGATGGCGTCAGAAACTTCATTCTTCATTTCTACCGTAATGTTATCGATAACAATGTTTATGAACTCCACAACATTTTCGATAGTTCTTTCAACAAATTAACCGAAAAGTATTATCAAAAGCAAGCATGGCCCGAGGCTGAAGTCATTTCCCCTCTTGTCAATGATGGTAAACCCAACACAGAAAACTGGTTTTTTTTTGTCTAAGATGCAATTGCTGATTTCAACCTTATTTTATAGATCAAGTTTTCTTGACATTGTATCGCGAGCTTTATTATCGTCACATCTATGCTCATTTAACCCCTACTTTAGACCAACGTTTCCATTCTTACGAGAATTATTGTGATCTTTTCAACTATATTTTGAGTAAATACAACATTCCGTTCAACATTTTCAGGATTACGCGACTAATTATAACCTCATCTCGTTTTTAGACTCTGAAGGACCTGTTTCTTTAGAATTGCCCAACCAATGGCTTTGGGATATTATTGACGAGTTTATTTATCAATTCCAATCTTTCTGTAACTTCCGTGATCGCACCAAGAACAAGTCTGATCAAGAAGCTGTTTTGATGCAGGAAAATTCCCAAATCTGGAGTTGTTACAGTGTTTTAAACGTTCTTTACTCTTTCATCCAAAAGTCTCGTATCAATGAACAATTATTAGTTAGTAAGAACGGTGGCGATATGATGGAAGCTGCCGGTGAATATGGATCTCGCCCTCTTTACAAGATGTTGGGTTACTTTTCTATCGTCGGTCTCGTTCGTGTCCACTGTTTGTTAGGTGATTACGTTCTTGCCTTAAAGATGATGGATAACATTGTTTTGAACAAGAAGGCTATGTTCGCTCGTGTCACTGCCTGTCATGTTACCACTTACTACTATGTTGGTTTCGCTTACATGATGCTCCGTAGATATGCTGATGCCATCAAGGCTTTCTCAACTGTTTTATCTTTCATCCAAAGAACTAAGCAATACCACTCTCGCTCATACCAATTTGATCAAATTGCCAAGAAGGGTGACCAAATGTACGCTCTTTTGGCTATTTGTATTGCTCTCTGTCCTACCAGATTAGATGAAAACATCCATTCTCAACTTCGTGAGAAGTACGGTGAACAACTCTTCAAGATGCAAAAGGGTGAAGAATCTCTTCCTGTCTATGTTGATTTATTCCAATTTGCCTGTCCTAAATTCCTTTCCCCCAGTGGTAAGGGTGCTGACCCTCATCAAAACCAACTCAAGGTTTTCATGTCTGACATCAAGAACCAAATCAACCTTCCTACTCTTCGCTCATTCATGAAGCTCTATACTTCTATGGGTATCGAAAAGTTGGCCAAGTTTTTGGAAATCGACTCTGAAGAACTCACCACTCAATTATTAATCTTCAAGCAAAAGTCTCGCCAATACAAGTGGGTTAGCGGCAACCTTTTGGAAGGTGAATATTTACCCACCTCAGATCTTGACTTCTGTTTGAAGCAAGATGTTGTTCATATTGCTGAGTCCAAGGTCGGTCGTCGTTATGGTGATTGGTTCTTACGTAACATCAACCGTTGTGAAGATATCTTGGCTAATTTAGAACTTAGCAAGGCTTAAATAGATTTCCTCTGTTTTCATAATTTTCTCTCTCTCTCTCTCTCTCTTTTTTTTTTTACATACAATCTCGATTATTACACAACTATTACTTTTTTTGTTGCCTTACTTTTCAAATTACAGTTAAAATTGGTCAACATTAAAAATAAATTGACCATTCCTTTAAACAAATGTCAATGCTGCACATCCTATGTAATACATAATCTAATTGTTGATAGCAGGAAATGATTATGGCTTCGAAATGTTGCCGAATGAGGATACATACACTCTGACATTACAAAGGAAGTTAAGCCTTTTGTAAATGGTGTATTCATGAATTATCAGCTACTTCATCATTATAAGGTCTGTTTTTAACCGGATGTTAAATGTGGTACCATAAATCCTGCATAATAATGTCTAAAAAATTTGAAAACTATCATGTCTGTAATAATCCTGATGATCTATCATCTAAAGTTTAAAAATTTAGATTGGAATCATTATTTTGGGTCTAATCAGTTGATTTAAATATTTCTGTGATTCTTTAATTTATTTTAAAGGGAACAAAATATAAGAAAAGAATATTAATAAAAGGTCATAACGCTTCCCTTCGCAGGTATTATCCTGATCAGGTGATAAGAGTTTAAATTCTCAGCCATAAAAGAAAGAGTCTTCACCCCATGAGGGAAAAAATTCAATCTAAATAGCACCCCTAGCATTGACCTGTTATAAATAGTAACAAAAAGAAACAATAAGAGAAAAATAATTTAAGACCGAAAGCAAAATGAATAATACGAGAAAAGATATATAAAAAAAAAGATATGGATTGAGATTAGCTCATTAAGTTTATACTGTGCATGTTACTGGATACTTACTCAGACAAATATCTTTGGTTGAGAGATACTTTGATGTTGACATCTTTTACATCCACCTTCGACAACGCCAGTCTCGACTGTAGGAGGTTCAACACCACTAGGTCCTTCAGGAATCAAGGGCCAGGTCAAAAATTTGTTTGTTTGATTTTGTTTGAAACCAGTATCAACAATGTTAAGACGTTCACAATAGTTGGTAACCTTGTTCCAATCACGTTCGACGTTTTTCAAATCACGAGAGAAATAACGGAAAGATCTTTGAAAGATCTTACGATTAATATCGCTATCCAAATGAGGCTTCATTTCAACGTATTCCTTATAAGCGCCAGCCGGGTCAGAAATCATGAAATCGGTAGCACGTTTGATAGCACGGAGATACTTTTCAATTTTGTCAGGGTTATTTTGAATGAATTCTTCATTACCAATGTACAGGATCTATTAAAGTTTAACCAGTCAGTTTTTCACATTTTTAAAGGATCTATGAGTGAACCCTTACCGAACAAAAGCAACAGCAACCTAACTCGGCTAGTTCATCTATACGGAGCATCTTAACATCATCGCGGGATCTTCCTTGCTTTACAGACCATTCTTCGAGCTCGACTTGTTGAACGTTTTCAATTCCAATGCCAGCGTCAATGTCACCGCGAATAATAGCATCCGTAACATTCATACCGACACGAACAGCATCATAATCGTTAGGAGTCATACCAAAGTGACTAGTTAATTCATCTAACTGGATCTTTCCAAACTCGCCAACGTAACCGATACGTTTACCACGAAGCGACTTGAAATCAGTAGTGATTCCGCTTTTGTGGCTCAGATGGATAACACCTGTAAATGGTTCATCTAAAAGTGTACCGATAGACTTGATAGGATAACCTCGGGCCTTTCCGGCAATAGTATGGATCATGGCCTTCAATCCCAGGTCAACTTTTCCAGAGCCAATAATTTCAGTGACATCCGAAGGATCGTTGGGTTCAAGGATAGCTACCTTGATACCTTCTTCAGTAAAATAACCAAGCTTGGAGGCCAAGAAGAGGGGCAAGTGGTAAGGCGTAGCTTTCCAGTTAAGGAGAACAGTAATTTTGTCGGTAGATTTGGTCATAATAATAAAAATGCGATGAGTACAGGAGAAATTAAAAAAAAGTTATGCTGTGCCTTTTATAAACACAGATGATCACATAAGAACAGACCACAACTCGTGTAACAGTTATCAAGATCTAATGCACTACTTTATTAAACGTACTCACACGATGACTCAACTTGCATAGAGATCTCGGCTCCTTTATCTTTAGATTTAAGTTAATGTGGATACGATCTTCATTACTGCTATTCAGCCCGATGGCACGAAGATAAGCTCGCAACAACCAAATATTGAAAGTCACTGTTTTTGTAACCTTCCAACCCATCGGTCCAAAAAAAACCCTTAGTTTTAGTTAGATGAACTGAAAATAGGTATACTTTAAAGCTCGGCTATTACAAACATTAACTTTATGGCTATTATCCAAACAAAACATCCCAATTTAGATTTTTGGATCATCCGCGACTCCTGCTCTACAAACAAAAAGCCGTAGCGGCCGCCGATTATTGTTTATTTTATTTTTTTATGTACTGGTAACTGAGCTTGTTAAGAAGTAATATGCAGCCCCTTCAAAATATAGTTAATGTTATCCTTATAATCTGGGCGGACCAAGCTTTTTTATGTTAAAGGTAATTTAAACGGTTTATAATTTCGAATATATAATGAGATACATGCCTATCGAAATATTTTCTGTCTTCTTCTTTTATTCATGTCAAAATGATTTCACAGTTACTACAATTTCTCTTCCTTGCAATTTTAGGGGCTAATTTGGTAGATGCAAAATGGCTATCTGTCATCCCAAATGCTCCAGTCAGAAGCATAAGTAAAGTGTTTGGTATCCCCACTTGGTTATCTCATATTGAAGGTAAAGCGTTTATAGACATATTTTATAAAAAAATAATCCTCTTAATATAAAATGACAGATTATGATGATGATGCTATGAACGCAACAACCGTATTTTCCGTCGTTTGTATCGCTGTATCTACAGTGTATGCTTTGTACTACCTTGCTTTTATATACGTACCCACACAGGCTCGTGGTCGACAATCGATTGGTCCTTTCAATACACTTGTTATGCTTTACTTGATCGCTACCTTCTTTGCCACATTTTCGTTCTCTGTAATGAGCGTAGGTAGAATTTGGGCTTCGTTCGGTGTATTTCATAATTTGTTTGAAATCGCGTTGTTGTCACATATTATGTTTCGTCAAAAGTCAATTATGTAAGTAACATAAGTTAGAGCACATATACTACTTCTAAATACGGGGGGTTAACGTGTTCATGTATAATTTTCTGTAGGCAAAGACGTTTTGTAGCCACTTGCTTTATCTATTTATTATTGACAATGTTTATTGTAATTATCGCACCATGGCCTTTAGATGCTCTTTTCTTCAAATTCCAAGGATTAGCAACCGATTTCTCCCTAAGTATTGATTTGGGTAGATTATATTATCATAACAAATCCATTCATCGTAAAGCCAGCGTCGGTACAATGATTCCATCCAGCGACGATGAAGAGGATTCGGATGAGTACACAAAAGAGTGTGATCTATTGATACAACAATTACAGCAGCAGCAAGTTGAGCAAGAAAAGCAAATGGATGCCGACCCAAAGAAAGCCATGTCCATGATGGTACCAGTTCATAAAAATATATCTGTCTTGTACACAGCAGCCCTTTTACACGCTGTTGGAAACGCTTTAGTTACATTTTCCAACCATTTTTACTTGTAAAGTGTTCACTCCCTTTTTTTCTATGTTCTTCCGTATTTACTGATTTTCAATTTTAGGTGGATCATCTTCCAGTTTATCTATGCTATCTCATTCCCCATGTACGCATATTACTGTATTGCCGAACCCAATGCAAGCCGCGTAAGCTTCTATAAAGTTGATTATGCCAAGGAAGCCCTCGTTATGGTGATGGGAGCAACATTAGCAGGTGTGAGCATTGCTGTCGGTATATATAATTCAGGAATTAAACTTTAAATAAATAAATTCTTACTTTTAAGTTTAAACAATTTCCCCAAAACTAAACAAAACAACCGACCCTTAATTTCTTTATTTAATTATTAAAAGATAGTTAGCGATGAAGAATTATTTGGGGGTCCCTTTAATCATATACCGTTCATATACTCTAAAATGCTTGCATTAGCAAGAGAAGAACCTGAATAATATGTTATAATTCTGACCGTCTCACTCCTAATCCCGATTATTCCATCCATCGCTCAGGCCATATGAATTCAATTTTCTGTCCTTCGTTTACATCAGATACATATAATTTAATAATAATATATGATGTAGACTCTTAATTCTGTCACCACTAATACCATGGGAGAATCTTATACATTTATGTGCAATAAATGCTATTCACAGGTTCTAATTCCGACAGGCCGCGGGGAGAGGGGGAGGATAACGTGTTTTCAACTGTTACATAAACATTGATTGTATTAAATCACCATGACGATGGATACAGAATTACTTTAATGACCACAATGCACTGCCAAATCATTATGATGTGGTGATACAGAAGAGCTTTTTATAAGGAGTAAGATCATGGATCAAGCCGCGCTTATTCAATTCTAATAAGAGAATAGTGCCTTGAAAATGTGTAACCCCCCCCCCCCCCCGCACATACTGTCGCAATTTTAAAAAAAAAAGTATATTTTCTACAAACAAAAAAAAAAAGGATTGACCGATTGAAAAGGCGCATGTTTGTTTTAGCAAACGAGACACTAATCTAACTGACAGTATATTAGAAGTAAAATATCAATGATATTGTGACTTTCTAAACACATCAGTATAAAAAAAGATTAGGTCATTAATGCACCCTTATGGAGAGATGATCTCTGTAAGAAAATCATTTGACGATATAACGTCCAGACTTAAGATCAAATGCCATTTCTGATGTTAGTAAACACAGTTTTTTCTGAAAAACGTGATTACTTAAGCAGTACAAGAGGTCGTTACTTGTAAATTTAACATCGGAGCCACCCCGGAAATGAAGTATTCCAACCTTGTGTTTAGAAAGTTTAGTAGCATATTCACCAATAAGACATAAATCGGTGCTGAATTCTAGTTTCTGGTATTCGGTGAAGTCAAAAGTGGTTTGATACTCAGTTGCAATTTAGAGAAGCAGTTAAAACAATGAAAATCACATGCTAAATTACGCGAGCGAGTACAGTGCCTTTTTCAGGGTGAAATTCCTGCACAGAAAAACAAGATCACTTGAATGCGGCATATTCGGCCCATTTGTAATATATAGTCTTAAGAGAACATACATTGTCAACTAAAAAGAAAAGCCGGTAGTTTCAATATCCGTTGGGGGGTGCAAATGCGTCTGATAAATGCCATTGGTACCGAAATTTGTAATGGAGGTTAGAAAAGACTTTGGTGGTGTAACGTACAAAACTACAATAAGATTAGATTAGTCCAAAGGAACAGAGTGATCAAGATGACGTTTTGATCTTTCATGTGGCAAATTAACCTGTTAAATTATGGGTAAAAATCTTATCAGGGGAATTGATAATTCCTTATTTGATATCTTTTGATTGTACAGACTAGACAATCGTGCTTTTAAAAATGACATGGACATGATTGGCTGAACCGACTCTTATCAAATTGAAATAGATAATAAATTCGCTATCTTTCAGTTTCCGGAGATGGCCTATTTGTATACCCTCCCCCCAGTTTCTTTTATATATATAAACACATATATAAAAGCCGTCGATCCCTAATTTCTCTCTCTTTCGTTATTCTTTTTCAATTATATTCAAAAATGAACTTATCAAAACCATCGTCGTATGTCGTATTCTCAGGTGGATCAGCCTGTAACCATATTTTAGACGGCTTTCATAAGACAGCTGCCAACGACGTTACCTACTTGCTCTCCATTTCAGATGACGGTGGCTCATCCGTAAGAATCTTGCTCATTAAACAAAATAAAATAAAACTTAGCAAAAAAAAAAAAAAAAATCAAAAACTTTAGAGTGAACTTTTGCGTGTGTTGGGCGGTCCTAGCGTCGGTGATCTGCGCTCTCGTTTAATTCGCTTGATGGATGCTTTAGATGAAAATTCCACCAAGGAAATGAGAGCCATTAAAGATTTATTAAGCTATCGATTACCTATTGATAAAAATCACCAACGAGTTCGTGATGAGTGGGCTTTGATTGTGGAAGGTCGTCATAGGTAAGGAAGGAGATAGAATATCCAACATGTGCTTGCACACACACACGCCCAAAATATACTAAATCAGCAACTCTATAAATAGTCTTTGGAATGATATCTCTATTGAAAAACGAGAAGCAATTCGTGGATTCCTCACATTGTTTGATTTTGAGATTTTAAAAAGAGCACACAAACGATTCAATTTTTGTAATGGTAGCATTGGAAACTTCTTCTTGACAGGCGCTCGATTATTTACTGGATCATTGGAAGCTGCGATATTCTTATTTGCTTCAATTATCGGAATTACATCAGTACCAACGTCAGTTGTTCCAGTGATTAATACAAACCAAACGGTCACTATCGCTGCTTCTTTAATGAATGGTGAAACATTAGTCGGACAATGTGAAATCTCCCATCCGTCTCCTAAGCAACCTCAAAGAAAGAATGGTGCATCTACCCCACGAAGAAAAAGAACAAACCCAATTGATGCATTCTCCTGCTTTGAGGATCCTTTTAGTACAATGTCCATGACTTCAATGAATGACCAACAAACCACCAAAATGTTAAATGATGACGATAACTCAAATGACAATTTATTCTTTTCGAAACAAGTAGACCAAAAGTTAGATTCGCCTATCGATAGAATTTATTATATTAATGAATTCGGTCAAGAAATCTATCCTGTGCCTAACCCAAAAGTGGTGAGTCATTTATCAGCCAAAAAGACGCTTGTTTACTCTATTGGCTCTTTGTATACATCACTGATCCCCTGCCTCGTTTTACGTGGTATCGGAAATGCGATTTCTCAATCCCAGAGTTTGAAACACAAGGTGCTATTACTAAACGGTACCAACGATCGTGAAACAAGTGATTATACCGCATTGGATTTTATCAATGCCATCACATCCGCGTTAAATGAGAGTCAAAGAATAGACGCACGCCGTGCCTTTTATCAATCCTGTGATGATGAAGAAGAGGAAGATGACGATGATTACATCCCTGAATATTCGAACAGCAGAACAAGCAGTGTTACTAGCACCACAATTAATACCCCACCTTCATCCTACTCCATGAATAGTCATCTATCAACAATGGCTATCGGAAGTATGCCTGGTTCCCCATCGCATCATTATCCCCCTTTCCCTTCCAACTCATTTTACCCAAGCCCGATTTCAGCATTCATTACACACATGGTGTATCTCGACAATAGTGCAATCAAAGTTGACGTCAACGCTATTGAAAAACTTGGTATTAAATGCATCTGCATGAAAGGTTCTACCTCTGATATAGGAGAGCCCATCTATCACGAAACCTACTTTACCGAAACGATAGAACAAATTGTAAATAACTAAAATCCCCTTCCCCAATCCCCTTCTTTGTACTATACTCATTCAACAAAAAACAACAACAAAAAACAAACAATATACTCTTTCTTTTTTTCATATCTTCATATACAATTATAATAAAAACATATCTAATATTTGCCTTACATAAAAAAACTTTAGGTATTTGATTCTTTGCTTGCTGATCGAGACCCGTCCTTGCAGGACTATTATGCAGGACACATGCCTATTTATGGAAATATGAAGTGATCTTTAATAAAATATATACGCATGGGGCAGAAAATCATGAGAGATCTAATAAACCACCCGTTTTTGATTATCTCATGATCATCACCTTGATTTAGATCTATTTTTAAAAAAGGGTGGTTTTAAATCACAAAAAGAAGTCTAGATTTCTAGTGGTTATTTACTTTTATTTTGATTATGCAATTCAATACATGAAAGAAACCTCTTTGATCAAAGGCCCATCTGATCACAAATAACGTTGAAACAGAGGGATTTGGATTTCAACGGATTGTGACTCAGGTCCAATCTGCCCTTCGTTGCTACACAAAAAAAAATCCTCCCGTTTTCTCCTAATTATAGATGCTATATTTATGTGATGCTGAAAAAAAAATGTGTTTGTTCTATTGTCTATAATAAGTGAGTAGATGTCTGGCAAATGTATGTGTAATAAATGCAAGTTTTAACATGTACATACCCCGCACAAAAAACTTATCACTTCTTATATAAATTTTACTGGCTAACCCAAGTAGTACTATAATATAAATGCCAGAATAAATTACCACTCGGTATTTTCCATTTAGACGGTGGAAAAAGAATAAAAAAAAAATCAGTTTCCAACTAATCATACTAGAAGATCTGATGCAATGATAGAGAAATCCTCTTACACCTGCCTTGCTGCTTTGGAGGAGGTACTGTCTTCAGTTTATCTAGACGAATCCTTAGTGATGTTTGCTTTTTTAATCTTTGAAGAGTGCCAACTGCTCTCTTTATTGATTTTTCAATCTTGACTGATCTGATTAAAAATACAATGTGTGTAGATTGCCCCATACAATATTTTCTGGGTCATTTATGTGGTGATATGGTGAACATCGAATGAAGTTGCTCTGTTTGTTAAAATAAATGATTTATTTCCCAGTTGACTACTTCAACTTACTATATTGACCAAAAGGGCGCATTATGATCCGGCATTTCAATTTAGATGTATAATTAAAATATCGATCATAATAAATATAGTTATTGAAATAAAAAGAGCCCCTCTCCTACTGGAGAATTTTTTCCCTAACCTACTATACATATATGCCTATAAGCATATTCTCTATTTAATAAGATGCCATGTCTTATTTACGAAACAAGTTAATCATTTTATTTGGATCGATTTGAATAGATGGATATGAGCAAGTTACTATGTGACAATGACAAGTAAAACTTTAGTAAGACTAAGCTCTAACAAATAAAAGCTTATAATTTAATACTTTTAGAGGTATTACTGCCCACACGTGACTTTTTTTGTACAGTGGCTCCACCCCCAAAGTTCGTTTTCCAATTAACCAAAGTCGCTCTGGTCTCCGACTGAAATTCGCTTGTCTTACAGCCCAAAGTTCGCTTTTTTATTGGCCAAAGTTCGTTTTTGCAAATGGCTCAAATTCGCTTTTGTATCGCTCAAAATTCGTTTATGTTATCATTGAAGTTCGTAATTTTATTGAAGATCTAAATTGACCAAAGGCCCATCAAAGTTGTCGCTTGACAGCGGTCTTTCATACTTTCATACTTTCAACTAAACGACTTGCACACTGAACGCCATTTTTTTTCCATTCCTCTTGCAAGACTCTTCTCAAATCATTCTTGTTTCTACTAGCCGTTCTAGAGCATGCCAGATATGCTCGATGGGGTTCAGTCAGAGCTTTGAGCGGGTTAGTACTCAAAGCCTCTGATCATGTGGCTTTCTTTCCACCATCGAGCATATCCACTTGTATGAAAGTGGCGCCGTCTCCTTGTAATAGGAAGGGTCCACTCTCTTTCTTTGTGAGTTCTGTGAACCAAGGATAGAATTCTTTCGCCAAAATATCGACGTAAACGTCCTGGTTCACAATACCATCGATAATGGCCAAACCCCTTTCCATAAAAACAGCTCCAGACCATAAGCCCACCTCCTCCCCATTTCACTGTGGGAATAGCGTTTTCCAGCTTGTACCGCCCTCCAAGCATTCTAATTTACTCTCCTGGAGTTTCCGTTGCCTTTTAAAGAGTAACGAGACTCATAGGACCAAATGACAGTGTCCTATTGATCACGGTGATCCTGCGCCCAAGGCAATCTAATTTCCATGTGCTCTTTAGTAAGCTTAGGCTTTTTGGTTGCAATAAAAGATCCAAAGCCAAGATCCTTCACACAAGTTATCAATGTTGGTCTGCTAACAATGATTTCAGCATTTCGCAATTGCAATCTCAGTTGATCGAAAGTGGCAAAAGAATTCTTTCTTATAATTCTTCTCAAGTGATAACGAGCCCTTTTGTTAATCTTTTTTGGGGCACTAGAATGCTTTTTAGGTAAAGGGCTACCAGCTTGCTTGATTCTGCAGATCGTATTTCGCACAGTACCCAAAGGCATCTCAACTGCTTGTGAAATCTGGTTTGCAGTTTGTCCGATCTTATTAAGGTAAAATAAACCCCAATGTTTTTCAACTTTTCTTGGCATAAGCTTCTTAGCGTTGTTTTCTGTTATGTTTTGTTCTGACTTGATAAGTTGATTAGAGTAATGTATGATGAATAAACAAAGTTAATTTGAATTATGTGGAAATTTTTATTTGTTTTAAAGGGGTGTCCAGAATTAATTTAGCGGGGTTGTTAGATCGCTGCTGTATGTAACAAGCTAAACAACTTTATGCCAAACACGCCTATCATATACCAAGCACTTTGATCACTCAGAATGCCCTTTCTGTAACATGCCAGAGACATGCTTAGAGTAGACCACACCTATACTAGAAAGTGAAAGCTGGCCCAAATCCGAGTAGCATTGTGGTGGGCGATAGCAAGCAGTAGACTAGAATTACATAGGTTGTGCTTGGTGATTCACTGATTAAATAAAATCTACATAGGCGATTGCTCGCCATGTATACATGTACATATATGGTCACAAGTAGTTAGTTATAGCAGCGCTTTGGAGATGTAAAGGTTTTGCTACTTACATATTTTGACCTTGACTCTTGTTTGACCGTAATTTGACACGGACTCACTCAGAATGCCCTTTCTGTAACATGCCAGAGACATGCTTAGAGTAAGATCACTTGAGACTAGAAAGTGAATGCTGGCCCCAAATCCGAGTGGCATTGTGGTGGACGATAGCAAGCAGTAGACTAGAATTACACAAGCTGTACCAAACACATCATGTCCACAGAAAAACTTCATACAAGTAGCCGCAACATTTATTATTCAGACACCGATATGATGACGTCAAAAAGTAAGGATTTTGGAGTGCGCCTTTGGAGTGCGCAGTATTTTTCCTTTTTTTTTTTTTTTTTAAAAACTAAGCTACTTTCAAATGTCAAAAAAGCCTAATCTAAAACCAGCACCACCCAATCTTAACAAGTTGAAGGGCAGCTACACACTGGATGATAGCTTACGTGAAAAGCTTAGTTTAACTCCCAACATTCTGACTGGCAGTGTAAAGACTTGGAGCAATATAAAAGATGTTGTCGATGACTATCTGGACCACTCTGAAGTGTGGGAAGCACAACCGCAGCAGTTTGTTTTGATGTTACAGACATCACTGAAGACAATTAATAATATTTTAAGCAAGCAGCCTGCTAGCAGCACCTCAACAACTGAGCTTCTCTTGAAACAATACTGCTCATCTCTTGATATCTTTTACCACCATCCAAAGATCGTTGCGGATCTCAAATTATATTATCAGAAAAAGGAGTTGAAAAAGCGTGACAAGGACAACTTGCAGCAAGCACATATTCAGTCCAATGCTACCGCTTCGGCTATGGTTCTTGAAAAAAGCCGCTTAATGGAGGAGGGGTCGAAGAAGAGATTATTTGATGAGATTGAAGATGAGGATGATTGTCCCGTGGTAGGCAAAAATAGTCAATTTCAATGAGATTTACAGCTTTTCTTTTTTAATCACTTAACTTTTTTTAGCTCACTGACAGAAAATCAAAAGATCGGAGTATGAAGGTAAGAAATTCATGCATCAGTTTAATTTTCTAAAACGAAGAAAAAACCCCCATTCTCCTCTTAGAGTGCTGGTGCGGAAGAAGAACTCACTATTGATGATATCAGCGAAATAAGCAAGCAATACGAGCAGTCTTTGTTTGATGCAGAAGATCCTTTCAATCCTAATCCCAGTGTGTCAAAGGTATCATCAATATTGTATACGTAGTTTCCTAATATAAAAAAAAAAGATACTTATGATAATTCTATAGAGCCAATACTCTTTTGTCAAGAATGGGAAGCGATTTGATTACCATGCTCCTTCAAAGAACCTCATATCGCCCAAAAAGCCTGCTCTCAGTCAAAGCGATCATGGTTACCTTAGTGACTTATTTGAAATACGCCTGTCTTCAGATTTAAGAACAAGTTCCAGCTCTGCCACTCAAACGATATTTGAAGCCTACCGAGACGAACAATATGCAAATGCTTACATTAAGTCTCATGAAGGTGCAATTTCTTTTTTAAATAGTGCACTAGACTCTGACAATTTCATGGACACTCGAAAGCTTTGGACATTACCAGGCGAAGGCAAGTTTATTGACATGATGCGACATATCCTAACCGACTATTATCAAAGCTGTCGAAGATCAACTCCAATTAATCCAAGTCATGAAAGGACTTTTTTCTGTGAAGCTGTTGTTCCTATATTTAAGAACTTTGGCATTATGGTTGGCAGCTTAAGCGGCTCATGGTGAGTAATTCTCTCTATTAGATATTCAGAGATGATGAGAGGATTAATCTTTTCACATTTAAAGGTGCGAGAAACAACTAGTTGAATCAAGACGTGTATGGCTACCCTTGAAAGACTTTCGAGTTTCTGGAATTAATAGAAAGCTCCTCGATGGTATTTTAACAAATGAAGCAGAGACTTTAGCAGTAATGTTGGAATCTTCGGGGTAAGCAAGAGACTTTTTTTTAAAAGATTTACCATTTCTGTAATAAGGCTAAAATATTCTCTTAACAGATCCGAGGCCACCACCCCGCATAGTATAGATGACACTTACAAGCAGCTAAAAAGCACATCTGACTTCATGAAGTACATCATCGCAAAGTACAAGGTGGGATCTTTGAAGACCTTAATGAAGATACAAATTCCTTGCGTTTCTGTTATTGAAAACTGTCTTACGCTTTGTTTGACTTCTGTTCACGACAACAGCAAATGGAAGTTCGTCGAAGCAAGAACATGTACCATCCCCACCACCAGAGCAGAAAAAAAACAGTGGATCAAAGTCTTTGAGTTTCTCGCCTTTCTCAAACATGTTGTGGAGAAGTCGTTGGCCCAAATTGACCAATTGGAAAACGAATCACTAGGCTACGTTGAGCTAGGCTCTGAAGAATTATTAGTCAAAGACTATTTTCTATGAGTAGTTTCTTTCTTTTTCTTTTTCTACCATTCTCTTGAATAGTTCTTAATTGTGTATTTATCTCAATAATACCCTAAAAATACCTTGTATCACATAAAGTCTTTAGTTTATTACTTTCTCAGTAAATCTTCGTACAGTGATTAGGTGCGAAGAGTTGACAGCTCGAGTTATATTCTTGTGAACAGCGACGTTAAGATAAGGCTTTTGGACAATGTAAAGCGCATCTAGATATTACATTGAGTACTGATAGAATGAGAGAAAAGACAATAAATGGAGGTTAATTGGGTCATGATAGATTATGTTACTACATACTAGATTTGGCTTTAGGTTTCAGCATGCTGGCTACAGAGGCAGATACTTGCTGGTCACGAAAGACTTATTCCTTCTTCTCTCAGTGATAACTATAAAAACCATCTAATTCACTTAGATAGAAAGGAGCAAGCTCAAATACTGTGTATCATCTTTTTAATAGACAATCATAAATGGGTGCAACCTGACCGTCAAGAGAGCAACCTTGCAACCTTTGGCAAGGAATAGCGCTGAGAATCACGAAAAACGCTATCAATGGTGTGGAGACTACTGACATGAACTATCTTACCAACTGCGTTTTCGTGGATGAAGCTGGTTTCAATATCAACATGAGAAGCCATAATGCTCGTTCAGTTAGAGGTACACCAGAAATAGTCGAAACGCCAATCACTCGTGCCGTCACGCATACTATATTGGGAGCTATAACAGCTCAGGGTGTTATTTCAGTTGAGATCAGAGAGCCTTTGATGGAAGCAGAAAGAGAAAGATGCCCGTAGCGAAAAAAGATAACAAAGGGAACTGTTACTGGACATTACATGAGGCTTATTTCTAAGACGTTAGATGAGATGGACAAGTTCCCTGAAATGAGAAATTTCTATATCGTTATGGACAATGCACCAATCCATACCTCACAGGATATCACAAACTTAATCGAGACTAGAGGCTATAGAGCTATATATCTGCCTCCATATTCTCCTGAGCTGAATACGATTGAAGACTTCTGGTCAGTCGTCAAAAATTCAGTCAAGCGAAGTGTATTTCAAGAAACCGAAGATTTGAAAACTAGAATCAGCGAGGCTAGTGAAAGCGTCAGTATAAAGACTCTTCATAACATCGCTCAGAAATCCGTTGAGAATTTTCAAAAATGCTTTGATAAAGAACCACTTTGATGGGCCTTTGGGTAATGTAGATCTTCAATAAAATTACGAACTTCAATGATAACATAAACAAATTTTGAGCGATACAAAAGCGAATTTGAGCCATTTGCAAAAACGAACTTTGGCCAATAAAAAAGCGAACTTTGGGCTGTAAGACAAGCGAATTTCAGTCGGAGACCAGAGCGACTTTGGTTAATTGGAAAACGAACTTTGGGGGTGGAGCCACTGTATATCAAAAATGTTTTTTTTTCGAGTTTAATGGGGGGGGGGAACGCGCTGTCTTAATACCGATATGAATTACGCGTTTTTTTTTTTTTTTTTTTTTGCATAATTTTTTTTTTCAACAAGCGATCCCTTTTTCAACGCTTGCTGTCAATAGTATTTTGCGGGGGAGAGGAGACAACGTGCTGAAAAAAAACAAACACTATGCAAGATTCCCTTCCCTTTTAGGAAAAATAACCCGTTGTTTTTTTCGTGGAGCCAAAAGATGTTATGTAACAAAAACTTGTACAAGTAACAATATTGGCCATTAAAAATCTTTACTGCGAATTTGAAGTTACGACATTAGAAGGATGCGATTATGTTTAAATGTTTATTCTAATGAGAAATGATCCATTTAAATATAACGAACATGTCGTCCTTTTAGGTACCTAATGTTACTATAGATAATTAATATAATGTTCACTGTTTCATCCGGATTTAAAAAATTTTAAGGGAATAATCTTTTACGGAAGGGGAGATTGTGGCCGGGTTAAAGTTTTCGGATGTACGGCCACTCTTGTTGGGCGTACAAAAACCAATCATAATCAAGATCGACGGAAGAGAAAGATCTAGAGAAGTGCTTTTTTTTTTGTGGTAACATTTTTTATATTTATTTTTTATATAGTGCTTATGAAAAATTATGATGCATCTTCCCAATCACGATGAACTCTCTTTCTGCCATTATTCGGGCCATACAATAAATCATTATCCTCCGTACCTGGTTGTTGAGGTTGTTGATAACTTGAAAAGTTAGGCATACCGGGATTATTATAAAGTAAGGCCGACATAGTTGCAGGATCCATATTCATAGACCCAAACAGGTTATTCGGATCAAATGGCCCTCCTTGGTTGTTTGTCGGGTACGGCTGAGGCGATGCAGAGGCTGTAGGGATTCCAAAAATCTCTGCATTGTTCAGGAAAGGGTATGAAGCAGTGTTATTATTATTAGCACTTGTATTCGAAGTATTGTCCGAGGAATTAAAGTTGTTATTGCTGGATGCCGTGGTATTATATCCAAAATTATTAGTAGTAGTTTCGCTCGTTGCGTAAGGCGCTGAGCTCGCCGCCGTGGAGGAGACGTAGTTACTATTGCTATTGCTGGTGTTCGAGGTCGTCGACCGGTTTCCACCATGGTCATACATGTATAATCTATCATTGCCCGTTGGGTGGCTACCAGGACTATTCAAATCAAATCCCATATCTCTCAACAACAAGTGATCCATCCCTGCTCCTTGGGCTCCCGGTGCCATATTGAATCCCATCAGACCTGGATCATTAAATAGCATGGTCGGTTCCACCAACATATTTGGATTGTTGTACATGGATGAATTATTAGATGAAGGATGTTGTTGTTGTTGTTGATGAAGTTGTTGTTGTTTGTGTAATGGTTGCTGTCCAGCAGCAGCGGCAACAGCTGAAGCGGATGAGGGTTGAGGGGTTTGTTGTTGTTGAAACATATTAGATGATAATTGTGAAGGTACACGGATTGTAGAAGAAGAGTGTTGGGATTGAGGTGAATTCATCATACCAGGTGTATGCTGAGACTGCACAGAGGGTGATAAAGACCCCGAATTGTAGGATGGACGGTGATGGTGCTGGTGTTGTTGGTGCGTGTGTTGGTGTTGTTGGTGGTGCTGTTGTTGTTGTTGTTGTTGCTGTTGCTGTTGTTGTTGGTGATGATGTTGTTGGGGAGTTTGTAATGTGTGTTGATGTTGCTGTTGCTGTTGATGTTGCTGTTGCTGTTGTTGCTGTTGTTGTTGCTGTTGCTGTTGCTGTTGTTGTTGCTGCTGTTGCTGTTGTTGTTGCATCATATGTCGTGACTCAAATACTTCGGGATGGAACACAGAAGAAATTGATGGTTGGTTAATGGAATCTTCATTAACAGCAGGTAAATCACTAATATCGGCAGATAAGCCATTCTTTTTCAAGAAACCTTCTATGCTTTCAATGATTTCGCATACTTTGACCATATACATCAAGGGTGATTTTTTCAAAACACTAGCGGTGATTATTAAATTACGTTGAGCTAAATACGAAACTTCCTTTTCGCTTGAAAGAGCATTGACTTGATGAATGGTTACACTAGCAATGATACCATCCATGGCGTAAAAGAATTGACACCAATTCAGATTGGATGCATAAATGCTCAACATACGTGTTATCAGGCTAGCGGATTTCGTGCAAATATTTAGCGATAGTAAAGCAACGGGAGTGGCTGTTTGGTCTTGTTTGGGTAAAAAGAACTTGTGTAACATGATCCAAGTGGTTTGATATTGAATGTTAAGAATTAAGCAAGCCTCATCTCTGAAAGATCCTGTCTTTTGGAAAGCATTTGAATTATCGTCGAAATGAAGGTCTAAAGGTAATTCTCCCAACCAATTGGTAAGGGCATTTTCGAGTCTTGAAATGGCGGAAAGTAAAGATTGGCCAGATTGTTCGGAAGGTAAATGCTTGGTAATATCCTTTCTTATACGCATCAATTTGATGGAATAAACAGCAAAATGAATACGGTAGCCAGTTTCATCGTCTTCGTGATCTAGGCGTACAGGATAATCTAAATCACAATCTTTATCGTCAACCATGGTAGGACGGTTGGACTCCAAGGCCGCACATAAATCAAGCCAATATGCGGACCACCATAATCGCTTATTTGTCTCACGCTGATTCAAATCAGCAGACATATGTTCTTTTTTGTGAAACTTCAGATCTTGGGCCATGCGAATCGCTAAACCAATATAAAGATAAGCTAAACTTGAACGTTCACTACTGAGTTGATACATGTACAAATTCAATAAGGCGTGAATAGTCGTAGGGCTACTGATATCGAAGCATTTTTTCAGCAATTGTCTTGCGTTTTTAAAATACACTTCACCCATGCTGGTATTGATGACTGGTCCATTGATATTGTGATAGATGCAACCGTGTTTAGATACCCAGGCATTGATTGAATTCGCCAATAGTGGGTCTAAACCTTCTTCAGACAAATATTGATTGATAAATGCGTCTTTATCCACGATTTGATATGCCAAGAAACATGTATTGTAACAACTGTGCATTAATTTATCCAATACTTCCTTTGGTAAAACATCTTCGGTCGATTTCTTTTCTTGCTGAATCTTTCTTGCTTCGACTTCATCAACTTCCCATAAACGTCCGCTTTTTTCGCTGTCATTGTCCAGATAATTACCACCACCACTATTCACTCTCCTATTTCCAGCGGCGGCGGAGGCTGCAGCGGAGGTGGGTGTGTTTGATTGTTGACGTCTATCACGAGATGTAAATGCATTATGAATTGTATTGGAAGAGGATGATGATGATTCTGGATTGAAGAGGCTTGTTGTCGAATCGTTGTTGATATTCAATTGACTGATACCGTTTAACAAAATTCTATACAAGTCAGCTACACTGGCAATATTTGTATCGATTCTTAAACCAGAAGGTGACAATGATAGTTTCCATGTAACAGACTGTTCAGATACGCCTGAAGTAGAAGTTAAAGCCATGTTACCATTATCAGAAGTCATCAAGGGCGTGGACTGATTGGAGCAGTCGTCTTCATGGCTCACATTAGCAGGAGGGAAAGGATGTAAATTATGTTTCATCATGGCAAGCTCGTTTTGCATTTTCTGCATTCTTTCTTTGAGCTCCTCCACGTGGTTACCAAGTTGATCAAAGGCATGGCCATCGACTCGGCGAGGTGGAGTAGCATAACTACAAGGTAAACCTGCAATAGCACATCGTCCACAGGTAGGTTGAACAAAATCACACTTTACTTTCTTTTTACGACAGCGAATACACTTTGAAAAAGTTTTTTTTTGTTAATCTTGCTCATCTCGTAACAAACAAAAGTATTCTACTTACTGCTAAACTCGACCTTGGTCTTTTGGGTCTTGCTTGTTCTGGTTGTTTCTGTTGTTGAGGTGAGCCACTACTTTCGGGTACGAAGACAGAAGACATTGACGTTTTTTTTCTTTATTTTTTTATATATGTATTTGTTGATAATAAACAAGCTCCCTTTTTGTTCTTTAATATTGGTACAGAAAAAAAAAGAAGTTTTTTTTTTGGAGGGGAGGGGGGGGGGAGGTTAATATTTTAACGTTGAAAGCACGAACAAATGGGAAAATAAAAATAAAAAAATAGAAAGAGAAAGATGACTTTTTTTGATTTCCCGCAAAACTCACGCTAAATGAGTTAAAGGGTAGACAAACCCTTCTCTTTGATTGGTGTTGTTTAAAATAAATCAAAATGTTGCCTTTCAGTTTGCATGTCTATTTATACTTTTGATGCGATGACAAAAAAAAAAAAGAAAGACGTCAGATTGTCCTTGGTAATCAACAACACGAAAAGATGGTTTTTACGTGTCGTTTGCAGAAATGACACGAGATTTTCAAATATAAAAAGTTACTGTCTTGATGCTTTTTAACAAAGTAAAACATATGGTCAATTTTTATTCCGAATTGTCAACTGTAACCTACCGCAGCAATCTAATCAATTTTTTCACCAACACGTAACACCAAAGATTACCCATTTTCATTAGGCTTTTCTGAGTGTATCCCATAACCCAATTGTTTACGCGAAGGCTTGAATCTATTGCCATCTTTTTTTTTTACGAACTCTGTATCAAGCGCGTGACAGTAATAGAATGTGTGCCTGAGAAAAAGCTTGTACACACAAATGTATTGGCCCATTCCCCTACACACACCACATTACAAAATCATATTCCATTTTTGATTCATAATCTTTCTGTTGGGGATACAAAGCATGTGTCGAGAAAGGAAAAAAAAACAGGGTTTATTTATTGTATGGCCAAGCAGAATCACCTAAATCAAGATTGGATAATCCCGTCTTATTAGATGTGGTAGTAGAGCTACTTCCCTTAGGAAACAGTTGTGGACTGATGGGAATGATTGGACTCATTGGGTCTCTCACAATTTCTCCACTGGCTCCGACAGCTGGTAGTTTAAAAGAAGTGTTGATTTTCCGAATGGATTTGGATTTTTTAACCTTGGGTCTATGTGTATCCACGGCCTCAATATCCACTATCTCGTAATGTAAGTAAATCATTGGGTATTTATAAATCACAATCTTTTCTTACCCTTAAATCGCTTTTCTTCACAGCCATATGCCTTGGGTGTCAATTCAATTACAGTGTGAAGTGGGATTTTAATATACGGAAGATCTTCATGGTTATAGTTCATAAAATAAGCATATATACATCGAAGAATAGCTTGATGACCTATAATAAGAATATTTTCATGTCGCTCTAATTCCATGATGACTGGCTCTAATCTCAAGACAACATCACCGTATGACTAGGGATATCTTTATAAGCTTATCATTCCAACCTAACATCGTATCTAATATATACCTCTCCACCTCTATATCTATAATTGAATTTGTCCTCATCACGATTAGCGTAGTCCTCAGGATATTTTTGCTATTGTTCATATTTGTTAGAAAACAAAAACAAAAAAAATGTGTGAAACAAGATAAATATTTACCTCTATTTCTTCATAGGTCATGCCATCACAAACACCAGCATCCAATTCATCCAATGCTTTCCATTGTAACTTTGGATAATCTAACTTTTCACTAGTCTCGATGGTTCTTTTCATAGTGGAAGTCCAAACTGTTAAATCCTGATCGCCCAAATTTGTCTTGATCAAGTCAGGTAATTTCATTGCATATAATCTTCCTCTTTCTGATAAATTTGAATCTCCACCAATCTTTCCGCTTAAATTGTATTGCGACTCACCATGCTATGTATTAAGCTTAGTATCTGTCTCTCTCTCTCTCTCTCTCTCTTTCTTTTAATACACAATAAATACTTACTCGGCTGAAATAAATTTTTCTAGGTGCAATATGAAGATTCATGAGGTAATAAACAATTCGTGATTCCAAGTAGCCTTGGATTTGATTAATAATGTTTTGACTACCGACATTAATCAATTTGATGTATGTTAATTCTTGTTCGGTAATTGTTTCATATTGTTCCTTGTAATGATCAATTCGAGCTCTGAAATCGATAGCGGCCTCATCTGGGTCAATATTTGCATAATCAGGTGATGAAAGCTTGACGTCCTTGATATTTGCTAAAATCAGCTCCTCATCCTGACAGATGGATTCGATAAATAACACTTGAATATCCTGCTTTGCCAAAGTGTCACATAACCATCGACGTCTCTTTGTCGTACTGTTGGTGGCATCGTAAATGGCAACAATCCCTTGCTCATCATTGAACCAGCGAATCATGTCTTCGAGAGCGGCGGCGGCGGCCTCTCTTCTTTGTTGCTCTCCTAAAGTGTTGTGGGGATCGAAAAAGGTGTGAGGTAAATTGGCTCCATGAAGCTGTCGACGGTAATTGCCAACATTAAATACTTTTGTCTTGATGCCTAGCCAGGTAAGATAGCGGCATACTTTATGAAATGATTTTTAATCGCTGTGCAAACAGAAAACGAAGCTTCTCTTCCTCTTTTTTTTTTTTTACCTTTTTGTGAAATGTAGGTTTTTCCTCTCGCAGGCAAACCTACCATCTAAAAGAGAGAGAATAGGTCAGTCATGTATTAGAATACGAAGGCTTTGAGTCTATTTACAACACACGCAATTCTCAAATCTAATTTAGCAAGAGCATGTTAATGAATACAGGAAAGAATCGCATGTTTTTTCATCTAAACTTACTAGCACTCATTTTGTATTTGTTAGTGTATAAAGCGGAGGGTAGGGGAGAAAAGAGAACGTTTTATAAAATAAAAATAGCGCTGTTTATTTCCCCGTCAAAAAGCCAGCAAGCATCATGTAAAAAAAAAAAAAAAAATGATGCTGTACATACAATAACAGATGAAACAAGGATAAAGCACATGATAGGGAATGCAAATAGAACATAAAAAAAACAAGTATGCTACTTGTTTTAAACCTGAGCAATAATTATCGATCTATTCTAACTGTTTGAGTACCTAAACAGCACTAGCCTATTTATACTTACATGTCAAAAGTGATTTTATTTGCTCTATTTGAGCTGAGTGAATAAACATGCGTAATTCTGTCAAAAGAAGAAGAAGGTATTGCTGTGGCACAATTTGAATTATGTAAGAGAAAGAACAGGTGTGTGCATGCGTATCTGTAGACGAAAAGGAAAATCAAGCCTTAGGACATAATCTATACATCATGGGACACAGTGATTTACCGCTAAATAAGCTGTACTCTATTTAGGATGACTAAATGATCGTACAGTTTAGCACGATTTATTCCGTGAGTGCAGTAAAAGGGTATTTATTTTTTTCATGCTAAACCAAAAAATTATAGTTTGCATAGATAGACCGGTGTCGCATATAGTCTGAATGAGTAATATCCAATCAGAAACGAGCTAGCTAATCATCCAAATTTTCATTTGTATTTCCCAATCTGGGGATACGAACATAGGCATCAGTGCCATATCCTTCCATAGTATAAAGTTCCAAGGAACCACCAAAATAGCCTGCGTACACTTTACTCATGGGTAGCCCGATACCCAATCTGATTCTCAGCAACTCGTGCTCGTTTAATTTGGCCTCCAATTGTTGCACTTTTTGCATATTCCCAAAGCGTTTAAAATTTCCATAAGACCAAATATTCGCAAACTCTTTTTTACACATGCCACCACCTTGGTCAGATATACGAAACAAGACATCCTTTTCATTTGAGCATGTAGTCACCTTGATCTCTCGTGGTTGGTCTGTGGATGAGATTGAATGTCTAAAAGCGTTCGATAACAATTGGTAAACGATGTATTCCACATGATCCGAAACGTATTGAAACTCGGTATCTGTACCATTCAAGGTAATTTTGGGCGCTGTCCCTTCGTGCTGTGACGCATTCACCAGGTGTATACATTTGGTTAATACATTGTGTGATGAACACACATTGAAAATTGATTTCCTCTTATCCGACAAAACTAAATGATGCTCGGTCAATACGCGTCTTGAAATACGTGATCGAAGCGTTGCGTCCATAAACCCGTCTAGTTTCTCCATAGACATGACTTGTTGTTGTTCACATTCCACAATGCCTTTAGCCAATTGCGGAATAACCACCAAATGAGCATCCAGTGATTCCTGCAAAATTTCACAAAATATCTCGTTCTCTTGTCGAGTCTCGATAGGCGGAATCTTTCGAATACGTTCAAAGGCTTGCCAGTAAAGTTCATACACTCCTTCAATATATGGGTTAGTGCCTAATATGTACGGCAGCTTTTGAAATTCTCGAATCCGGTGCGCGATGCGGATAGGCAGTTCGGTTCGCACATAATTGGCTGACTTGAGAAGCCGTTCGGTGTTGATGTGTCGTTCATAGAATATTAATTGTCGCAAAGTTAAGGAAGTAGGGCTTTGTGAGATATAGTCGTCCAGCGTCTTATTCATATAAAAAGGCTGTCGTGTAGACCCTGTATTCCCCCATGGTGGGGATGGAGGCACATGCAATGTCTGTGGACAGGCTGCTAATGTTGAAGAAGCTCGACTTACTATCTTTGTTGTATATGGTTTAATTAAATTCATGATAATAGAAAGAAAAGTGTGAAAAAGACAAAAGAAAAAAAAAGCCTGGACCAGCTCGTGATATTTAATAGTCCCTGTGTGAATATAATTTTATGTAAGCTGTTAAAATATAATGCGTATGCCGGTCACGTTTAACATCAGACGCTACTCCCCTAACCTGTATACTTGACATGATAAAAAGCGAAAAAAAAAAGGTTTATTATTATACAAAATATACAAAAGGGAATCGGAAGTGCTACTTTTAATGGTTACTATAAGTTGCAGGAGGAGGAGTTGGAATCACCTTGTTGACCTCATAAAAGCTCAATTTCTTGGTAACGGTTTCCATGTCTCTGACAGTTTGGTAAGAATACATTTGTTTTTGCGGGTAAACTCTCTTGTTTTGTTGTTGTTGAGCTACCTCAATTGGGTATTGTCTTCCCATCGTTTGTATCTTTCCCGTATAAATGCACATGATCAAAATGAGCATCAATGGCAAATATACCGTGAGTGTCTCGATAGAAATCCAAGCAGCCATGTTAATACCATCCATTTGAAGATAAGACACCCAAGAGATAATTGTCATTCCCATCATCAATACCAAGAATAAGACGGGTGTAAAACGAAGAAACATCAGATCATCCCTATTCTTTCGAATGGTACGAATATGATTGGCAGACGAGTTACAGCTGAACAGGATTACACCCACGTTAAAACAAGCCAGTAAACACAGTACGGAGACACAAACGGCTACGCCCAAACCTTTCGTATCGTGATCCATTGTTTGAATAACAAACGAACAAATCGCTGTACATAAATACAGAACCATCAAAATTAAACTTGCCCAGTACGTCCATGGTCTCAATGAGCTTTTCTTTTTCTTTTGTGCCGTCAAAAATCCTTGCGATTTCTCGGGATCACGCAAATAGATACTTCCCCAATGGTCCCGGTTGTGAATTGCTACTGCCATATGACGAATAAATATCAATTGTGCTTCCATAATACCAAAAAGAAGCAATACCGAAGCTGTTGGTAGTACGCTCAAGGAGAGACTTTGATCCTGCCAGTAACGATCCCCAATAAATACTGGATTGACGGAATCACTAGCTGATTGAAATACACCTGAATTGTTGGCCAACAAACAAATTGTACCAATAGTCACCAATACTCCAAAGACAAGAAACGGGATCAACAAGAGATTTTTTCTGATCCGAAGTGTCAAATAAAGATTCAGGCATGCCAGTAGAACTGCATACATAATCCAAACTTTCTCTTGTGGGCTATATAACATGCTTGTTGTGCGGATAAAAAAAATTAAAAAAATAGAGATGAAGAGGGAAAAAGAGAGAGATGTTGTAAAGATACAAGATGCCATATATATAGACATATCACTATTGAGGGACAATAATAACAAAAAGCCAAGCCGCATTTATACTAAATTAGGGCAGATCTAAAAATAAGGATTTCTGAAGTGACACAATTCGCGTAATTTTATGGAAGGACGCACTAACTTGTTTATAATTAGAAAAAACAGTGTATTCCGTCTCGGTAATGCAGTCCTTTATATAAAGATACGTAATCTTTTTGTTTCTTTTTACTGGTAGTATACATGGATTATATATAGCAAGTAACATCGGCGCATCTGTCTCGTTAAGAGAAATGTTTTTTTTTTGATTTTTGAAACAAGAAAAAACTTTCATTTTACAAATAACAACAATGCTAGATTGCTCCGTATTTAAAACCCGATATACTTGTTTCTTCAAAAAGAAAAAAGTGCAAACAATAGAATAGAGCGCATTTCTCTTGCTTTGGTTTTTATAAAATTCTTGGTAGGTAAATGCACTCACTCTACGTAGATGAGCAATTACTATGAGAATGTATCATACTAATTTGTTTGAGCAAAAGCCAACCCCAAAAAAAAAAAGCCCAAGCTATTCTTTCGTCAAAAGTACACTCATCTATTGAACCAAGATGTTCGATTTGGATAGTGAAATTTGCCAACCAGTTTCTTGTTAAAAAACTAACTTTATAATCAGTTCTTATCATATTTTTTTTTTCTTTCGTTGAAACTCTTAACATCTTTGCAGCACTTAACTTGGTGCCACTGTTCCTTTTTCTTTAAAACAAAAATCAAACCTAATCATCCTAGATGACACGGGGTAACGCCGGCATATGAAATGGTGTATGTGTGTAGATGGGTGATTCATTTACCCGGCATACTGATCACTGTATTATAGGCACACTTATGTAACTGAACCTTTGCATTTGTTTTTGTTTTTTTTTTTTTTTTTTTACATAAAATTGTTATTTATAGTGTATATATATATATCCTGATATCCATATTGTATGTAATTCAAGAGCAACTCTAGTTACGACGGCATTTTATAAATAAGGTTTGTTGTCACTGCACTTGAATAGGCTTTAAAAATAGGTAAAAAAATATACTCAAATGGTCAATTTGATGTTCCGGAAATATTTTACTCAGCTTTATAGAAATATCGGTTGAATCTAGGATTTGCTGATAGTAAGGACAATTTGAATATCTAGAAAAAAAAAAGGGGATTTTGTGAACATACGACTGTTATTTTAGAACTTTGGTTAAAAAAAAAAAAGACTGAAAACGATCAAGTGAACATCTGTTACTTGTTTGTTTCTGAAAACGGTGTTTAAAATAAAACAAAGCTTAAGAGAGTTTATAGTCTTCTATCTTTTTACAACCTGGATTGTCTTACTTATTTGAGCTCATTTTTATTAAGAAGACATAGTCCTAACGGTTAAAAAGCACAGTATATATATATTAGTTGTCAAAGCATCCGCACTTTAAGTAGTATGCTATATAACAAAAAATTATCCTGATTATGTAAACCGAGCAAGTACTCACAGAATATTTCGATCTCTCTATTCGCACTACTTATTCGAGTCCAATCCATGATTATTTTTGAGAAACACTATAAACCATCAGACTAATAAGTTCATTTGCTTTCCAGAAGAGTGTTTGAATTTTTAAATGCATATATACTGTTTTTTTTATTAAATGAAATATGGAATGAAATATGGGATGTCTAGTAGCGTAATAGAGTAAAGTCTAAGTGTTTCGTCTATGATCAATGCAAAGGGGGTATAAAAACCATGAAGTGGATATTGAATTAAGCTATACGGCGAGCGATTGTGTACTGGTAACCATTACAGAGCATCACCATTTTCTCCACATCCACATATACAGCACTTTTAGAAACAGAAGGGCAACGAATCCAGTGAGAAGAATTGACCGACCATAAAGCTTCAATGTCACTTTGTGCAGTTCTGTCAAGCGCAACCCAGCAGCTGCCATTAGCATAAACCCATTGAACGCAAGCCATTTATATATATAGGTGTGTATTAGTTGTAAAATAATAATGATAAAAATTGGGCTATCTCCCCCCTATATATACAAAAAATAACAACAATATTATCCTATAATTAAATGAAATTTCTTCCGGGATCAACCACTATAATAAAGCTTCACTTTAGCCCATAGTATATTGACTACGCGCCACATATACACACGCACAATCAAACAAATTGTACCAGGTTATAGTCGACTCATTGATAGCTCAAAAAGGAGATGTGGCAATCACAGCCTAATAAGAATTGCTTTAATAGGGTTTGTTTGTAGTGTGGCAAAAAATATGGTGGCTGGTAATATGGGGTGTGTGTTCTACAAAGTAATTAAAAGAAATCCTACCTTTATCACTGGTTAATGGATTCTTTTTTGAGAGTTATTCTATTATTTGTTTATCTAAGAGGTGGAGCTGGCGAAATAAATTGCGTATATGTAAAGACGAGCCATCGAAAATTTGGAAAGCCTGTACCACAAATCTTGCTTTGGTTTCTAAATAGCCCCAAGCATACATTATGGTTTTATATATCCATCACAATTATTATGAAGTCAACACCCATATCGTTTGGAACTGTTCTGTTAGAATCAAAATATGATAGACCTTTGTTTAACGATTATTATAAAAGGCCGGCTTTAATTAGGTAGCGCTCTGCGTAAAGCTTCGTATTGGTTGGCTTACGTGCTCCGCTTTGTGGCAACATGCCTCTACCAAAAGCCAACTATCATGCAATTTCGCTTGATAAAAGTTGTAGAGTAGTTTTTGAAATTATGTCCTTCAAACATTTTTCAATCATGGAAACAAAATCAAACATCGCAATCTGCTTTTCGTCTTTTTGTGATTTGTGATTTGTCTATTGAGCAACTGTATACACTTTTCTGAGATTATTACTCGACCGTAATTAGCTTTGTATTTTTGCTTTTACATCGTCAACGCTCGTTACTGGTAGAGTTTGCCATAGCGTCCTTCGATCCCCTCAGTACACAATAAGACTAAACACAAGTGAACACATTCGAAAGAATAAGGCAAGGACAAAAGTTTAAAGTATATTGTAGGCATTTATTTAAAAGAACAAAGACAAAAACTAATAAGAAAAATGCTTCTCCTAGTTCTCAACATAGTTATTATGAATACCATATTGATTAACAGGACCAACCACGAGAAGGTGGAAGCATATCTGGTCCCAAAAAAATGTGAGAAAAAGGTGCGTGCAAAACCTTTTGGTACAAAAGACAAGTCTAATGTACAGTATCCACCCAATGCTAACTGTAAGTAATGAAAGAGGCCGCCAAAGGAACCCTACCCCAGGAGAAGAGTAGTCAGGGCCAACATAACTACTTTCTCCCTTAAGATGGGTCTGGTCACTGACTTAAAGCTTGTCGGATGTTCGTGGGCCTTATTGACAACTTGTACGTTATGCCGTAGCACCTACTAGTCCTATATCCCACAAGTCGTGTATGTGAGGTTGGAGAACGATTGCCGTACTATACATCAAAATAAATTACAACCTCCTACGGGTGCAACGTATTCCCATCAACGACATTTCATTACAGAAGAGAGCCCCAGGATCGCTAAAGAAAAAGAAAAAAAATTTTTTTTTTTTTGTATGAAAGAAAAAGAAAAAAAAAAGCCAGGGTTTGCTTTAAATAACCGTTTAGAGCTCCGGCTGACGTAGACACTGTATGAGCCAATCAAATTGAAGTGCGGCAACTTTTTTTTTTAACTTTTCATGCAAAGACTTCCAAAAGCAGCCAAAGACTACAAGGAATTGCAGTACTCCCCATTTGCAATTGAAGCCTGCACATTCAAAACGGGTCACATGGAGCATTTAAACAACCTTAAGAATCTTTTTCCCTGTCCTGGTTAACAGTCATGGACAAGGTGTGGGCTTTTTTTCTCGTTGAAAATACAGGAGATATTAACTCGATGTGTATTTTGTAAAATTATACTATAAACTCAAAGGCGAATTCGTCATGTGTCTAATCTATAATCACGTATAATAGATCCCTTTTTCACCTATTCCCTGTCAATAAGTGTGATGTTAATTTGTGTATTACTTCGTACGTTAAACGGATTAAAGATGTATTGTATGCGTTTGTTTAAATGCGGATTTTCGTAATTTAAGGCGGGTTTTCAATAATTTTCATCACTGTAAATAGCAAATGCATCCAAAGATGTCCTCATGGTAAAAATATCAGACGAATGCTTGCTGTATTTGAAGAGAGTGTGTCCGATATATGTTATTGAGTTCTAAGCGCCACTTATACCTGAATATTTTTAGCCTGCCAAATGAATAAATGAATCATAACCTTTCCTAACACATGTGTCGACTTTAATCACTGATATAAATTATATTTCAAAGTGCTCACATTTTTAACCCCCTTTTACACATTTATACATTTTATCTATTTTTCTCATAAGCACTAAACATGACCCCTCCAAAACGGCCATGCTTCTGTGATACGTGCACGGCGGACGCAGATTACATTATGGTCTGCCAGTCAACTCTCAGCGATTTGTTATAGTTACCTACCTAATATTTTAAAGCATCCATTCAAGCAACCAGTAGGAGAGACTTGTTCAGAGGTTACTTGCGCTCATATCGATACGACACCTGGACATCATATAAAAGAAAACTTGAAATTTATTAATTAGACAATTGACAATGACGGTGATGCTTCATCGATTCCATATGATCCAGAATTAGAACTGGATACCAATCTCAAGTCTGCCTGTTCGGAATTTGTTTCCCTATTAGCAACAAGATCTAGTGAAAGATCAGAAGACATGTTCTTTCAACGTTATTTAAAACCAATGATCACAATTGGGATTACAAAACCTGGTGGTACGGACTTTGTTTCTTCAGGGTCTGTAAACTTTGCCATTATTACTTGAGACACAGACTAATTGCTGTAATATATTAGGGACGATGCCCCTGACCCGAGTGTCCCCACTAAAAAAGTGGCAGACTTTATGATTGGGTTTAAAGATCGCAAACGCGAAGTCTATTTATTTTTTATTGAACTTAAAAGACCTGGTAAAGTCAGCAAATACCAGGTCGAAGACGATTTCGTCAAGCTCAATACGCACTTGAAACACTCAATAGACAAGCAGGCGTCTTTAGGTGTGGAAAACCCAGTTGCTTTGGGCTTGTTGTGTGAGGGTAACAGCTTTTTTTTTTTTTTTTTTTTTTTTTTTTTTTACACATGAAAATACCAAACTCTTCTAATATCATATATTTAGGCTTCGTGTGCTCATTGATAAAGATGGCACTTGTTGAAAAGGGGGTGTACTTGCCCATTACAATTAGGAAGTTTAGAGTTCCTGAACTACAATCAGATTTGCTCTTCCTCCCAAAGACAATGGAATGTCTTCACTTTGTCTTGGTATATATAAACGCGTATAATTAATTGATCCTCTCTTTTTATTAATATATCTTTATAGAAGGAAATCAGAGGCTTCCCTGAGAAGTATGGCAACAGAAAAAAGAAGGCATTGGTAAAGACTTTGGTTAAACCATCCTTTGTTTCCAAAATCATTAAAAAAAATGAATAAACCTATTGTGTACATTATATTGCCAAAAATCAAAAGCTATTTTTCTTCCCCCCAAAAATCATTACTAACGCTGGACTCCAGAAACTGGAAATGATGAACTTGATTTAAGAAGGTATTTTTTATCAGTTATATATCAGTCCTTTGGCCATTAATTTATCTTCAAGTTTCTTATGAAACTGTGCATTTGACCAAATGACTTTGAACCTTGCTTTGCTGTTGAGTGCTGGACAAGGTTGACAGACTTGAAAATATTGATTACGCCGTATAAAGCAACTTTCCCATGTTTTTTACTCACCATGTTTCCAAGAAAAACAGACACTCCATGCTCATCAAGATGGTGCCGTTAAATCGTCTGAACGACCGCTAAAAAAGCTACTTCATTTTCTTGCTTATGATAAATGCAGCATAGAACCTTCCAAACAAATTAAGCGGTTCCTGATGAGCTAAAGTCACAGTTTTAAGAACTATCTGAAATCGTTTAAGTGGCCATAATTTTTTTTATCATTTCTATTTTCTGTTTGTACTAACTGGCTTTTTTGTTCAAATGCTTGAGTCCGTCCACGCCCTGACAGCAATATCCATCCGCACGAAGTACATCAATTACAATTTTGGATACTATTTCAGTTAATGGTGTTAAAGATATCTCACTTATAAATCTACATTATCTGTTGCCACTAAGAAAATAAAGGTTGATGGCAGAGAGGTAAAAATTAATGGCCGAGTGGGTTACAGGATCAGAGCACTTCCTTATGTATTTGAGCAGCATGATGGATTGCTTAATTCGAAAATGGGCTCCATGGTTATTATTTTGTAATAAATAAGGCACCTATGCACAAGCCAGTTGCAATCCTGAGAGCTTATTCGAGAATAGAGGATATATATGTGCTTATTTGACTCCTTACTCTCCGTTTTTATATCCTATACAAGAGTTTTGTTCCAAAGTAAAGGCAGGTATTAAAAGGAACCATTTGGACTCAAGTGATCTTTTAACACCGAGAATAATGGAGTCTGTTACCAACGTAACACTGAACGATTGCTGCGGCTGGATTAAATATACAGTGTCTTTTTTTTCCTCGTTGTACTGCTAAGGAAATTTGGAAAATTTAACGTCTGATTTTGGAAGAAATTTAATCATTTGTTGGCGACAATGTAGTGAAATAACTACTATACGACATGTAGATAACAAACTATTGCCATTCATCCTGTATCGGCACCATGGATATCGATCTTGCATACTGAATGGGTTGATAAATCTTTGTTAGTGTTATAAATTAGTGGGATGTGGTAATTTAGTGGCAGATGTGCATGTATTGTACACATATTGCTGCTTTAGTATGATACATTTGTAGGTGAGTACTTGTTATAATAGATGTGGCGAGTACAATACCTTGGAGCTTATTTTGTAGGTGGTGAAGCTCATGGAGTTGACAATTTACGTGACAAGTGGGGGTGATTTAGGCAATTCTGGTCTATGAATGTAATGTGTATACGGTATATACGAGTCAATACAGGTAGTGAAATTAGGCAAGTGTCAGTAGCAGTACTGAAGGACAGTGCATATGAGCCACCTTCAAACGTTCGTGTCGTGTCGGTTGGTATAAAATAATCAATTTTTGGCATCTCGAATATGCTCAAATCATGTGCCAATTCAACAGACTAAACAACAGCATTATGATATTAGGCACTTCGGTATCCATAATCACTTGTCTTTTTCTTTGAATGTAAGGGAGCTTGCCCAAATCACTCAATTGTTTGTCCTTTTACGTAATATAGTCAATGTAATGATACTTCCATATTAAAATCAAATATACTCCTCTATTATGTTTCCCGCTTTCGGAAACGGTCACTGCCCTGAGTAATGCCGCCAATGTGGTCCTTTTTTATTTTTATATTGCCCGTTCCTGTTTGTTCTTTAACAAGATATAAAAGGAGATGACGACACCCAACAACCCTTTTTACGAGCTCAATCCGGATATTAGAAGTCTACTGACTATCGAGACTTTCCGAGTATAGCATTTCCCTTTAACACGCATCGACCCCGTTGCTTATATATACACATTATAGGAAAATGTTTCAACAACAGACTTTATTGAGAGAATCTCAGCTACAGTCATTGATCAGATGAAAGATGCCAACGGAAAACGTAACGTCAGCTATCTTCGATTTTCAAAACATTTAAAAGATGGGTCGACTGTTTTAACCATTCCTTTTCTAAAAAAATAATAGCAACGACTTTTGACCCAAAGCCATTTATTCGTACCTTTGAAAATGTCTTGGAAGAACTTCAGCATTTGAAAACACGTGTACAAGAACAATGCAGTGAATTGGAAAATAGTACACAAACAGCAGAATTGGAATATAAGAGAAACATTACCGATTTGCATGGAGCTTTTGATGTAAGCTTTCCTTCCTGGGCCCTTTATTTTATTTTTTTACGATCCCCGCAAATAAAAGCTAATATGCAATATTTTGTGTAGGATGTGTATCGTTCTTATGATAGTTTGGAAAGTAGAATTGGAGATGTAGGTAAAACAGCTATCCGTATCGGTGAGCAGTTAGAGACCATCGATAAAGAAAGATCAAAAGCATCCGAAAGTCGTGATATTATTGAATATTTTATGGAATTTCAAGATGGCAATACGGAGAGATTGGATTCTTTGAGACAAGGCGGAGAGGAAGGGCAATTAAAGGTAGATTTATAAAAAAAAAAACTTTCATTCCGAGAGTATTTGTCTAAAGAATATTGTATATTGCAGACGGCCATTATCAGTAGAAGATTAAATGCCGTGGCAAAAGATGTGGATAATGACAAGGAAGCAAGAATGGCCATCGAGAAATTCTGTGAGAGCTTTGAAAAAGAGATTTTGATGGAATTCGATAAAGCATATGAGGAAAGTGACCCTCGTGTGATGGCAGTAAGTTCTCGAGCGTCATTAGAGATATAGATCCATTTTTTTTTTAACAACAGCAAATAGCATTGTGCAAAAGTATTATTTGAATTCAACGGAGGAGCCTCGTGCGTGCAACTTTATGTGAATCAGCACGAGTTTTTCATGTCTAATATGAAAATTGAGGAGATTGATCAAGTCAGAGATTCAGAAGAGTAAGTTCATCCAGTCCACTCTTCAATATTTTTTTTTTTTGCTGAAAACCCCCTTCAAAACTTAGCAATGCTGATCTGTCAAACCCCAATTTATTACCACCAGAGGTAGATACCAGTCTTGTCAAATTATATGACGATATTCGTATCACAGTACGTCGAGAAGCTGGGATTATTTCCAGTGTGTTTCCTCAACCCGCCACTGTCATGCAAGTCTTATTGCAGAGAATTTTTGCGCAATCGGTAACAGAGAAAGAAATATATACATCGCGTTACTATTATTAACGTTTGTATTGGTGATGTTAGATCCAAGACCATATTGAACTTTTGTTATCCAGATCCAAAAAGTATTCGCGCCTAGCTTATCTTCGAACATTAGCATCTACACACGCAGAGACCAAGAGATTGATTGAGAACCTAAAGTTTTATTGCGATAAAGAAGTCTCATTGAAAGATGCAGCTGATGTGAATGGATTAGTCACCTCTGCATCGCCTGATGAAACCTTGGACAGATGCATGGATGATTTGTTTGTACCCTATACAGAGGGAGATCGCTACATAAAGAAAGAAATCGAATCCCTTCATAAATTATTTGGTAATATTGTTTCCGACTTTTTAAGCGCCATGGTAAGTCATTTTAAAAATAGCTTTCAAGCGGGAGATCCATTTTTTGATTAATCAGATCTGATAAAAAAAAAAAGCAACGCAGAAAAATGACATCTACTCGTAACCAATCAGTTTTAACTCGTACTTTAAATCAAATTTCATCTTCCACTTCCACTGGTAATATATTATCTCCTTCGGTTTCATCACCAGCGATCAATGAAATTTCTAATACACCCAATCCTGGCACAAATCCATTTGAAAAGACAGCAACACGTGAAATCAGTTCAAATATCGTTACCGTTGATGATAGTGGATTCACATTATTGTCGTCTGATGCTATCATGCGAATTTTAAATATTCATGCCGAAGGTGTGATTCGATGTGTAGAACTAGAGGATTCACAAGAATTGCAAGTGCCATTTTTTTATTTTTTTTTTAAAAAAAAACAAGGTTATATAGCAAGTATCCTAAACAAACCCTTTTTTTTTTTTTTGTAGATTATCTTCACTTCGAAAAATCTATCATGTCTTGGTTGATTTTATCGGACAAAAGTATTTGGATATCGCAATGGACGAGTAAGGACATGATTAAAAAAAAAAAAAAAAAAAATAGAAAGCGGGGTCTCTAATGCTAACCTTTTTGTACAACTTTAATAGGACTTTGGATGATCTCACTAACACAAAGGAACCAGAATTAGCATGTTTTTCCGTAATTAAATCCTCAACCGATATTGTTCAACTCATGCAAAATCATTTCGAATCAGCTATGGTAAGAGAAAAAAAAAAGTTCTTAAAAAAGAAGCAAAGAAAGGGCTTAATATATGCCAGGTAACAAATTTAAAATTTAGTATAATTAATTTGCCAAGATATTTTTTTTTTTAGTTGCCGCTTGTCATAAGTATACCATCTACTCATAGGGACCTCCTCACATTAAAAAATACATTTATGGCTACACTGGAACGTAAAATTAATATTGTACTTCAAAAGAGTATTGAAGGTATCACCTATTGGCTTAGTGAAATACTCAGTCGTCAAAAGAAGAATGATTTTAGACCCAAGGATGAAGAAGGTGCTATGATGAGTATGGGAACGCAACCATGTATGCAAAGTGTCGATTTTATTACTAGAGTCTATCGAGCTGCTTCTCAGGCACTTCAAGGAAAGAACTTTGAAGCCTTTTTGAGACGTGTAGGAAATGCTTTTCATTCGTAAGTTGGGTCTCATTATATATATATATACCTCTCTCTTTTTTTTTTTTAAGCCCTCATCCATTAATTTTGTGATACTTAGAATGTTATTAGAGCATTTCAAGAAATTTTTTGTTACCCCAACGGGCGGTCTATTGGTTACAAAGTATAGTTACATTTTATGTGATCATTTTTGCAACCTAAAAAGAAAAAATTAACTTTTTTAAAATGGATGTAGAGATATAGCGAAATATCAAGAAGTAATTCGAATGTTTAAACTTCCAGGACTTGACGAACGATTTGAAATGTTGCGACAATTAGGCAATATCTTTGTAGTTAAACCTGAAATTCTTAAATCCATCTTATCAGAAGGATATTTAGCAAGACTTGACCCATCTGTGCTCTATCCCTATCTAGAAAAGAGAATTGATTTTAAGACTGCCAAATTGGATCGTTTATTAGGCATTACAATGGATGATACTGCAGGAGCTTCATCATCAGCAGACACAAATGCAAATCAACAAGAATCTTTCAAGAATACCAAGGGTGGCAAGGCAAAACCTCAAAGAAGATCATTATTCGTGAATGATAATGAGGTATTGAAGGATATCATGAAGAATTATACTAATAACCGTGATTTCTTGGCTGCCTTCAATTTATCGTAAAATAGCTCTGTCGCACCACGCCCCCCCCCCCCTTATCCCCACTAAAATAAAAAATAAAAAAACTCCTTTATAAAATAAAAAAAAAGAAATTAATAAATGAATAAAAAAGCTTACAAGAAATAAGCATGAAAAAAAAAGGTCGGGGAATGCATTTAATCAAATACATTCTTACATAAAAATAAACAAACGTATAGGTAATAAAGCATGTAATTTTTTTTTTTTAATTGGGTTATTCAGTTGTTTCATCACTCAAAATAATTTAGGTTAGATCCGTATGGTGTCACTGGCTCATTTATTTAAAATTACGGTCCAGTTACTATCGGAGACCGTGTAAAAAGGATCTCACTCCTATAATCATGATGTAATAAAAAAAAAAAAAGTAGACTAAAGTTATTTTTCATGTTTTTATTTATATAGTCCTTGTGCCTGAATAAATATAATAAAACATGTTTATTAAACAAATCAGCCCCCCCTCCCCCATACAGAAATATACCAGTTTAAATACATCTGGAACGAAAGTAGCGGCGAAACAATAAATCAGCCTTGTTTTATTTTTTTATAGCTCTTTTTTTTTTTTTTCTCGTATTTTATTTTATTACTTGGATTTCATGGAAATACCTAGAATACCGTGATGGGAACACAAAACCGTGTATGTCACTAGATGTGTAAAAAAAAAAAAAAAAAAAAAAAAAGTGGGTATACATTGCATTAAAACAATTATTATTTATTAAAATTTCTTTTTTTGAAACAAGTTAATTTGAATTTATGTTTGAATTTCATTAACGAAAATATGTATCAAAAGAGCCAAAAAAAGAAAAAAAGAAGGGTTAAATAAAAATCCCAAGAATAAATGTCAAGTAATACAAAAGAAAAAAAGATCGACGAGCTAATTTTAAAAGCCGGACCTTGTGTACTGGTTAGACAAAAAAGGCCTAGTTAAAAAAAGTACAAATATTAATGGGATCTTCCATTCGGATGTAAATATAAAGGTACACATTTAGTCTTCTTTTTTCATCTATTCTACTTTTTTCGCTTTTCTTTTTTTTTTTCTTTTTTTTTCTTTTCCCACTTCTTTTTGTCATTACCATGGCAGCATCCGGTTCTACTAATAATAATAATAATAAATCTTTAAAACATGGCATTCACATATTATTCTCTGCCCTCATCACATTATTACTAAGTTTCTCTATACTTCGTTATATAACAGGTACATATCTCGTTTTTTGATGCAGTCGATTATAAAAGAAACCGAACCCTAATTATTTTTTTATTATTTCAATCTATATAGAGCCTCAAGACAATGATCGATGCCATGGGATGTTAAACGAAGGTCGATGGATGACAGAAGAATACAAAGACTGGCAACCTTCTGGTTGTATGGCCAAGAAATACGGTAGCAAAGACATCAGTCAATGTATCGGTCACTCCAAAGTAATTTATATCGGTGATTCCATCATGAGAGAACAATACTATTCCATGGCCGAGTTCTTAAACCTCAAGCGACCCAAAGCCGACCAGATTCATAACGATCAGCATGCGTATTCAAAAGAACATGACATTGACTTTCAAATGTGGTGGGATCCTTACCTTAACACTTCCAAGACCATTGATTTACTCGAAGGCAAGTCCGAGATCAAACCTACCATTCTGATTATGGGATCAGGTGTCTGGTACATGCGTCGTACGGGTTCTGACTATTTACGTGGGTGGAAAGAAGCGGTTGACCGAGTCTTTGATGGTGTTCTCCAGCATTCAATTGCCGACAAAATACTATTATCACCTGTAGAGATTGTTGAACGAGACCTATTGATCCCTGAAAGAGTAGCCACCTTGACTCCAGATAAGATCTCAATCATGAATAACTATCTTCGTGAAAGAGAGAGCTTGCTTCGTCATCCTATCACACCGCTTGTCGTACCATTTGTTTGGAATGAAATCGTGACCTCTTCCAAGAACCAAACAAAAGACGGACTTCATTTCAAGGAACCAGTGACAAAGGCCCAGGCACAACTGGCCTTGAACTATCGTTGTAATAATCAACTCGATAAATCCACTTTCCCCATTGACACCACTTGTTGTTATACATACACTTCACCTGCATGGTATCAAAATGTCATCTTCTTGTTCTTTTTAGCCTTTGTTCCCATCGGTTTCTTTGTCTTGCACACAACAGGTAAAAATTTAAACATTTCTATTAAAAAACAATTTGCACATGTATACTAAAAAAAAAATATATAAATTTATTAGGCCGGTTCAACCAATATGCTAGCTATGTGTTCCCTCGTCACCATGAAACTCTTTTAGGCTTATTTATATTCGGCTTATCCATCATCTACATGTATTTAGGAGACCGCAGTCAATTATTTGGAAAGATCTACAAACAATTCGATGTTTCCACCTTCTCTATTCTAATGATGTTCATGGTCCTACTGGGATTGGTTACACTAAAGACAAATGGTGGGGAAAACAAGGACGCTGGATTCTTAAATCGAGACCAGACCGATGAATGGAAGGGTTGGATGCAACTGGTGATTCTCATTTACCATTTTGTGGGTGCTTCTCGTATTCCCGGTATTTACAATCCTGTGCGTGTCCTGGTCGCTGCTTACCTCTTCCAAACTGGCTATGGTCACTTCTTCTTCTTTTACAAGAAGGCTGATTTTGGTATCGCTCGTATTTTGAATGTGATGGTACGCTTGAACTTGCTCACATGTGTTTTGGCTTATTCGATGAAGACGGATTACTTGTTTTATTATTTCTCGCCTCTTGTCAGTTTCTGGTTTGGTGTGATTTGGATCACCATGCGAGTCATGTCCAGTCACAATAAGTCGGTACAGTTTATGTTGGGAAAGATCGTTGTGATGTCACTCTTGACAGGCTTCATCATCCATATGCCCGGTTTACTTGAAGGCGTATTTGATGTGCTTTCATTCTTGTTCAAGATTCAATGGGATGTTGTAGAATGGCGATTCCGACTTTCATTGGACGCATGGATTGTCTATATTGGTATGTTGTGTGCGTACGGTACTATCCAAATAAGTGAATACAAGATCTCCCAAAACCATCCCCGTGCCTGGAAAGTCAGCAAGATGGCCGTTCTTATTCTTTCGGTCGTGAGTATGATTGGCTTCTTTTTATTTGAGCTCAGTCAGACGAAGGCTTCCTACAATGCCTACCACCCTTACATGTCATGGGTTCCTATTCTTTCCTTTGTTGTGATCCGTAACTTTTCCCGATTTGGACGTAACTCGTACTCTCGTTTCTTTGCGTTTATCGGAAAGATCTCCTTGGAGACATTTATTGGCCAATTTCACATGTGGCTTGCTGCAGACACGAAGGGACTTTTAGTGGTGCTCCCGAATGCCAGTTGGGTGATCAAGAGTACGGTCGGTTGGTGGACGAATTTAGCCGTCTCCAGTTTAGTCTTCTTTTTTGTTTGTTACCATCTGAGTCAAGCAACGGGTGTCCTTACACGCTGGATTTGTTCTGGTGTACAGAATACGGCTTCTAGTACTATCACTGGTACCTCATCCAGAAAGAATCAAAACATAACAACAAACATTGTTAATGCAGACTCTGTACCCTTGTTACCTACCAATGGCAGTAAAGATGAAGAAGAAGAAGAAGATGCTCGCAGTAGTAGTAGCTCATCTACTTTGACCTTGAACACTAATGACAGTCCCCATAGTAACAACAATAAACCTGCCAAACTCAAAGTCGAAAGAGCCAGTGAAGAATCTGTCTTGACCATGGATAACGCTTGGGATGAAATAGTTCAACAAAAACCTTCATGGTATCGAACCATGATGAATTCTACTTTACAAAATTATTGGATTCGATCTGCCACGTATTTAATCTTGGTGGGAATTATAAATCGATTCTGTGTATAACTCCTTTCCTTTCTACTTCCCCCTTTTACCTCTGTTCATATTATACCCTCCTAATTATTTTAGACACACACACACACACACACACAAAAGTTGTCCAACATTAAAAAAAAAAAAATATACATAAAAAAAAAAAAAAGTCTATATCGTATGTTTCCCCCCTTTTACATTAGAAACCGAAGTTTACTTTTTTTTTCGGCTGAGCCTGAAATGGATGGCGCTTTTTTTTTATTATTATTATTATTGTCAAACCCGCATGTTCTAACAGTTTCAGTTGCATTTTCCACGAGTTTATAATTAGGATGGTCGTACCTAAACTTTACTTGACGCCCAAAAAAAAAAAAAAAGGTAACAACAAAATGGCTACTTTGCAGCACTCGTCAACAATAAAAAAAAAAGAGAGTTGCTACTTGTGCTACCCTAAGCCTTTTTTATTTTTTCGCTGCGGCGAGTTAGTTGTGAATTAATCATTTAGAACGGAGGAATTATCTAAAAAAAAAAAAAAAAGACAAAGGAAGGATGCTAGTGTGAGAGGTTATAACAGATTGAAATGACGTTTGTTAGCATGTAAACAGCATGTCTGTCTCCTTCTTTTAGTGTGTCTTATTACTCACTTTTTATAAACTGCGGATTTTAAACAATCTAAACAACAACAACAACAACAACAAAAGCTGTCCGGGGAAATGACTCTCTAAATCAAACAGTATCACATCATGTACGTCATGCGATTTTATTAGGGGAAATACTATTGGTTTTTGGGGGGTGTTTGAATGGTATTTAGGTCACTTGTCAACAACAACAAAAACGTCATTCAACGAAAAAATATATATTTAGACTTGTATTAAAACGTTTTTTTAATAAGTGTCAAGAGTGTGTGTCAGTATTTGGAGGTAGGAAAGGGAGACTGACAGATGACTTGGGCGGTGTTGATTCTTTATAAAGTAAAATACATTTAGAAGCTACTTGAATAAACAGAACACTTTTTTTTTTTAAATGAACTGTTTACCAAACATCAATTTACGCCGTGCGCTTCTTTTTTTTTTTTATATATATATAACACGGCCCTTCTCCCACCAAGCGAATTGATCGCTCACTCCAATTGATGCCTTATTTTAAAATGAAAATATACTTTAAAGACCGATGATTAGGAGAGTTGTACAAAGAGGTGTAGCATAATGTATATTTATTGTTCACTAGAAATATATTTATATATATAAAAGGTCTCCCTTAAATGGTCCACGTGACACACATACACATACACATGGACACACACATATATATATATTACACACTTCAGGTCACAGGAACGACTCTTTCTATCACAGGGAGCCACTATCCTTACCGCGCACACACAGGCTTGTAACTAAATAAGGGGGGGAGGAGTACTAAAAAAGAGATGATGACTTATTTTGTCAAGTTTATTATGCAGAGCAATGTCATTTAATGTAAACAGAAAACAACAACAAAAAAAACCAATGCTTTTTGTCATTCCACATCATTTTCATCCTCAAGTTGACCCTCAAAAAGAGGGAAAAAAGAGGGGAGAAAAAGTACGACTGATGACACTATGTAGCACGGACAATTGATCCGAAAAGAATAAAAGATGTAATAGAAACAAAATAGCCTTTTTAAATCTTTTCACCGCCTTTATATCAAACGATTTCAAGGAGATGAACTATATGGTTTGTTTGTTTTTCTTTTTTTTTAGATAAAAAGTCAGGCTATTTGTAAAAAAATGATATGATGGTTATATCATTAAAGTTAATTGTCAAAGCGTTAATTTTTATTTGGGCTTCTTTTATTTCTTGTATTCGATTCGGGGTTCAACTTGTCAACATTTAAAAAAAAAGGAACCAGATGACTTTTTTTGTACGCTATCCTGTCTAAAATGTCAACCAGTGTACATGTATCACAATCAAATGGAGATCGATGAAAATTTTAAATAACACACACACATTCATAAAAATAGTCTACTAAAAGAGCGCATTGGGCACTGGAATAACAAACGGATTCAAGATGTTTCAAGATAAGAAAAAAAAAAATACACAAAAAATAACTAGGTATTAAATGGTAATCCCGGCCCAAAAAAAAAAAAGACAACACAGCCTAATTTACTTGGATTACACCGAGCGCGAGGAATTATAAAAAAAAAAAGTATATATATATAAAGTGCTATAGACAGAATATTCCCTCTCTCTCTTTTTTTTTTCTCATTTTAACTTTTTAAATCTGCATCATATAAAAATGTCTCAATATATCAAACCATTAAATTTACAAGGCGGCCAATGGTAAAAAAAAAACAAAAAAAAGCTTCTTTTTTGACTTTGTTCATCAACAATGGGAATTAACTTACTCTTAATTTAGTTCTTGGTGCGGCAAATACGGGCATAAGCGACCTACCTGTCCTCTACTCAAATAACCTCTAACTTGTCATTATTTAAATCCGCCCATCTCTGCATTTTCACCCTCCTTTTGTAAATATCACGCAAATTCATCACTCTCCAAAGAAAGAGAGAAAGAAAGAAAGACTCCAAAAATCAACCCTATTACTATATCCTATATCCCCTTCTTTTTTTTTATTATTATTATTATTATTATTTGCTCTATCAAGCAGCAACAAACACAGACCATTTAGAATCCATATTTATTTATTACAAAAAGAGAAAAATAAAAAAGTTATTGTTACATTATAAAATAATTTAAGTTTCTACTATTACGAAATGCAAGTTTTTTTAAAAAGACTATTATATATCGCGATTTCGAAAAAAAGAATAATAATAATAATAAAAAGACCAACTCTCGGAATACGGAACGACCGAAAAAAAAAAAAAAAAAAGGTTTATTTTTACAAGGTTTAACACGCTTCACACATTGTCACACGGTAATAAATTTCCCTTTGTCCATGGATACATGTGTATATATGAGAAGGACACGGGGATGGTCTGGAACAATCACCATAACTACACAAAACCCCCCGTTTTCTCTTTGCGTTAGTAATTAAAAAAAGAACAAGTCGTGTTCTTGCAGTTAAAAAGAGATGGGAATAAATAAAAAAAAAATTAATAAGGGGGTGAGTCCAAGTGTGATTTATAACCATTTTGACAACATTTTGTCAGTTTAAAAGAAAAGGGGATAAACTAACATTATCCCCCAGGCTTTACAAAGAAGAAGAAGAAGAAAGGAAGGGAGGCCTGAAAAAAAATAAAAGGGGGATGAGCAGTGCGTGTTATTTAATCTCTTTTTTTTTTTTCTTATATAAAGCCCAAGAGATCCTCAACACGGGCCACATTTCCCTTCAAAGCTCAATTAAAAATAGATAGGGGGGGGGAAATGGGGGAGGTTATCATTTTGGGCGCTGAAAATAATAGAGTCCTCAGGGTCCTTTCTTTTTGTAAGCGGTAACCCCTTTTTCATAAGGTTTATTACGGTAAATATTCACGAGTGATGATGTAAAAGGGGTTAATTTTCGTCAGTATATAATTACTTATTGTTTAATTACCTACCCCTTGTTGTTATCTTTATAAATAAGCAGGAAGCTCATACCTTCTTTCTTTCTTATTATTACTTTTTATTTTTTTACTTGTGGGAGATGACTTATGATAGACCTGTTGTAGTAGTTGCAGAGGAAGATGAAGAAATAATATTTAATAATGACATGTTGCGTTGGCCCAATGATTATCCACTGCAGGCAGTGGTTTCCAACGAAACCAATAATTCACCTTCCACCACCACACCGTTACCTGCTATTAACACAACAAACCCTTCTTTAGCTCCACCCCCTCCTATCCTGGACCCTTCAAAGCAATATCATCCAGAGTGGGGTGTCATCAAAGATGGTGACTTTCATGCCCTTACCCTGAAACATCAGAGAGACCTCGAGAATTTGTACGGAACTGGCGCTCCCATTGCTGACTTTTATTTTTGGCAAGCAAACTTGGGTGGCTATTGCATGGCAGATATGGTACAAGGTATCGTCGTCTCCTCAGAAGGCGCTTACGTCCTCGAAAGAAAAATTGTAGAGGGCGCTCCTCATCCTGGCCGAAGAAAAAAAAAACGCGGTTTGGGGTGAGAATTAACAAGTCTCCCAATGATCATTTTCCTGCATGAATGTAATCTCCATCATCCATCCATCCCCCCCCCCCCAATGTAGTTAATCTCTCTTTTTTTTTCTCTCTCTCTCTCTCTTTTTTTTTATCCCGCTTAATTATTATTATTATTATTAAAAAAGAATATATGAAAAAAAAAAATTATTGCTGTTGATTTCTAATGGGAGCTATTACAACGTATAAAAAGTATGAGTAGGGATACTAACATTTTTTTTTTCTCCCCTTTGTGGACTTACCAAAATAAGGGTGATTCATGGCTTCTTTAGCAGTGGGTCTATCCTGATGATCATACTGTAATAAATTATCCAACAAATCAAAGACTTCAGCAGACATGTACTTTTGATTATCATTCGTAACAAATTTATCCCAAGGTTTAACAGCATATCTAAAAATTTCAATTTTTGGGTCAGTGACACAAAACTCCTTTTCTCTATATTTGAAATTCTTCTTCAGATACTCACTTTCCCAAGTTCTTTTGGATTTGAGGGTGTAATTTCAAATCGTACTTCTTTAAATACGTATGCAATTTATCAGTACCAATGACCTTGGCAATCTTGATCAATTGATCATAGTTATCAGCACCACTAAAGAAGGGTTCCTTGCGGAAAATCTATATATAAAAGACACCTTTGTTTTTAGCAAATACCATTCTCTCTTTTTTTTTTTTTTTTAGAATTCTCTTCTTTTACCATGCCAGCAAGCATACAGCCAAAACTCCACAAGTCCAAACTGTAATCGTAATAATGGAAATCCACCAATAACTCGGGTCCCTTGAAACAACGAGAGGCAACTCTCACATTATACTTTTCTCCAGGGTGATAAAAGTCTGCTAAACCCCAATCAATCAAGCGAATCTATATTGACAAAAGCAATTAAATATAACAAACGAAAAAATAACACTTTTTTTGCATAAACGCGTGAGTGAATGGTTTTACCTGCTTTTGTTCATGGTCAATCATGACATTGTGAGGCTTGACATCACGATGCATGATGCCCATGGAATGACAGTAATCGATGGCCTTTAAAAGTTCATACATGTAATAACGAACATCCATGTCGCTGAATCGAGGATACAATGTTCTAAAATCCGTGTTATTGACACTTTCAAAGATCAAGCAAGGCACTCTAGACTTTGGAGGGGGTTTTGCGGTTTAGTATGTACACATATAAAAGAGTGTATGTATATGTTCTTTACCTCGGGGTCACGGACAACGTCTAATAAACCAATAATGTTGGGTCCACCTGTCAAGTTTTGCAAAATCTTGATTTCTCTCTTAATCTTCTTCTTCTTTACAGGCTTCAATACTTTAATGACACATTGTTGTTGATTCAAAGCATTCACTCCAGAAAAGACTTCAGAGTATTTTCCTCTACCGATTTTCTTGCTAATCTCATACACGTCTTGCGATCTATAAAACACATCATCATGTGAGCCTTCTTTTTCCAAGTCATGTTTTTTATATATATATATATATACTGATATATATATATACATGTTTTTACCCCCAAGTCACCTGAAGTGCTTCATAATCGTAGTATTCCTTGGGCTTGTTCGTGTTTGCATAAGGATATGTCTTTGCAATACTATCCGACATTATATACCCCCTTAAAAAAAAAAGAAATAAAAAGTTTCTCTCTCTCTCTCTCTCTCTCGTAAACCAACTCGATTCCCCAAACGTGGCTCGTCGTGACTGTTTAACCGTTTTTTTTTTTTGTAATGATTTTTTTTTTTTTTTGAACGTTCAATGATATCATGGGAGACAGTGCGCACACACATGAAATCCCCCACAGTGTGGTTAAACTAAAGACACCTATCCAATATTTATATACACATATGAAAAAAAAAAATGTATGCATGGTTGATGTATATTTGTATGTAAAAGGTATGTCAGCTTTTTTTTTTTTTTTTTTTTTTTTTTTTTAACCTCTGTATTTTCTGCAAAAAAAAAAAAAAAAAAAAATCTTTAATATTAAAATAGAGTTGCCATGGTTACACGAGTACCTGTAATTTGATGTGATTGTATTTAGCTTGTATACATTAACGAAATAAAAAAATCTAGACTCTTTTTTTATAAGAGCTATAAGAGTTAGGAGAGCGGGGCTTTATGTTTTATTTGATTAATTTTTTTGACAGCTAAAATAATCAAATAATAGCAATAAAATGTTTACTTCATTGCGTGTATCACCTTCCCTTTAGCTGTTATTGTTACACTCTTGTTTCATCATTCTACAGTGCTTGTCACAAGTAAAAAAAAAAAAAAGTGGAAAGGGGGGGGGGACGTTGTTTGACAGAGAAAGAAAATCTATTGTTCATATTTTCTACAAACGGTATAGCCGAGGAACAAGATAGAACTTGTTAAAAAAAAGAAGGGGGGGGGGAGGAGGAGGACGAGGGGGGCGTACAAACACGAGCCTCCTGGGAGTCGGGTGTTATTTATTTTAATCATATATAAATATAAAAAAAAAAGGGGGGGGGGAATAATATCACTTCTTAAAGAGAAAGAGGGTCCTCCTAAAGAGAGAGAGAAAGAGAGAGAGAGAGAGAATACTTCCCCGTTGCTCCTCTCTCCCTTTGACTCAATTTACTATTATTTATTGACAATTTGAAGTGGATCATTAGGACCAAATCGGTTGACTTTGGCAGGCACTGTATTAGCCCGTAGTAATTGTTGTCTCATGGTATGTGAATCAATGGTAGGTGTCAAAGCTGTATTCTTGAGTGTGGATTGGGGTAAATGAAAATGCTCTTGATTTTCAATTAAGAACTGTACGACCCGTTGTGATAATTTATAATGTTCTGGGGACATCGAATGATCTGGATTGAGCAGGATACCTGGCGTAAATACTGATGCAAGCGCCATTGAATTCATTTTGGTGTATTTCGCATACCGTGTAAACAACGCCAATAAATCTAACAGGTAAAATAGTAAATATTGATTCACAATCGGTAATTGATCAATTAAGCCTTGATATTCGTTAATAATTAAAACCTTCTTGTTGTCGTGGTGATGATGATCATCATCATTAGCTGTGTTCATAATCTCTATAGTTTAGCTCACTTGTACATTTCTATATTTTACGACTACCGCCATTACTTACCGTGTTTAGAGGCGATGGTTCGAAACGGTTCGTACAGTCGAAATATAATGACGGGTTCTGGAAGATAATTTAAAAAACGCCTCAAGCAATTTGCAGCATCATGTACAGTATACCCGCGCCAACTTAATCCTATCCCAAAATCAGATGACGAATTAAAATGATGTTGTAACTCGCCTAATCTTTTGGCACTTTTTTTTTATATGTATATGAAAAAAGGGTCAATCCATCGTGCTTGGGAGACTATTTTAAATTTATTTTTACCTGCCACTTTTACGAAATACACCTTCCACATAAAGACCTGCATAATTAGGTTAAAATCAGCCCAAGTTGATATTCTCTGTTATATTTATAGAAACCTTGATCTTTTAAAAATGATCCACATTTGGCTACAACGATAGGTATCGAACCGATAATTGTATTTCTATCTTCATAGGCGATATGTGTATTGGCTATTTGTAAACTTTCATAAAGTGGAACACTAAACACATCTAAATGTAAAAAATAAAAATGTTGTTATAAAGTCAATTTGACATCATGACTACTTTTTTGTTGTTGTTGTACCTGGCGATTTTGTGTTCTTTTTATTGGTCGATACTACTTTTTTTAACCAACTTTTGATGCTTGGAGTTTCTAACAAAGGTTCCATCGTGTTTATTATAAAGTAAAAAAAAAAAAAGTTTTTGAAAGAGAAAGAAAGAGAGAGAGAGAGAGAAAAGGGGAGAAAGAGTAGGAGGAGGCTTGTAATTTTTATATGGCATAGGCTTTTTTTTTTTTTTTTTTAGTTTTGTGTAATCCTCCTTATTTGTGCACTACTCTTTTATTTTATTACCTTTTTTTTTTTTTACTATTTGTAGTTAATAAAACAATACAAAAAAAGAAAAGAAAAAATAAGGCCAATGAATGTTCAGAGTCGACATTCAGCCATTGAACGTATAGGAGACCATTCCACCTTTACAGTATTCCAACCTAGTTTTTTCAATAATAATAATTCTTCCTTTGAACCTGATTCACTCGAGGATTTCGATTTCGAGTCAGCACCCACCTCCAGAACCACTCAGGACCGTCAACCACCAGCAAGGAGAACTGTAGAGGAAGAAGAAGAAGATGAACCCATTCCTCATTCTTCGGGTTTAACTTCTCATTCCATGGTAGCTAGTTATGCTAGTACAGCTCCCATTCTACAACGACAACAACAACAACAAAAGAAGACTCATGAGGAATATTGTCTTGGTCCCATCAAGGACCATTCACAAGAAACACTCACTTCACCTTCTTTTTCTCCTCCCGTCCGTAATTATCAATTATTTCCCGGTCAAACTCGATTTTTATGTGGTGGAAGATTAGTCACCAGTCGAGATTATCGTGCATTTGTTGCTGGTCTCTTGATTTTTCTGGCTCCTACCGTATTATTTGCTGTCTTTACGTACGTTTTTTTTTTTTTTTTTTTTGATGTATGTGAGGGAGAGACATATCTGTTAATTCGCTTTTTTTTTTTTTTTACTTGTAGGTGCCCTTTTCTATGGTCCGAAGCACATCCTGCAGTACCCATTGTATTTGCATATCTTTTTGTACTCACACTCGCTTCCATGCTAAAAACTTCATGGACAGATCCTGGGGTAAACAAAAAGAAGAGAAGAGAGCATAATACGGCAGTGTTTATTCATCATGCATAATTTTTTTTTTTTTGGCTTTAGATCATTCCTCGTAATCTAGATCCCATGATGGAACAAATAATTCAAGATGAAAATGCGTCTATTAATTCAGAAACACCACCTAAAGAAATTCGAATCAAGGACACATGTTACTCTTTAAAGTATTGCGAGACCTGTCGTATTTATCGCCCACCGCGATCCAGTCATTGTAAGCAATGTGACAATTGCGTCGGTAAAGTGTTATTTTTTTTTTATAAAGGGCATATATAAAGGTATTAACGAAACAAGGGTAGAATTTGAGGACCATCATTGCGCTTGGTTAAACAATTGCATTGGAAAGCGAAATTACCGATCTTTTTTCACATTTATTGTCAGCGCGGCATCTTCCTGTATCTTTGTGATTGCATGCTCTACCTATCAATTACTGTGGTCAGCGAATTTACCGCAACATCATGGGTTTCGTGATGTCTTTTTAGATGCACCTGTGAGTTTTGTGCTGGCGATTTATTGTTTTATCTTGCTTTGGTTAGTGGGTGGTCTGACCCTTTATCATTGTTCATTAATTCTTCGTGGTGTCACCACCCATGAACAGGCACGTTTTATCTGTTGCTTTTTATCATACATATCTGGAGATTAAAACCGTTTTTTTTTTATTTATGTGTAGATCCGTGCAGAGATTATTAAAGCCAAATACCCTGAATTACCCATCAACCCTTACAACAGAATGAATCCATTGAAGAACATGTTTCAAATTTTGTGCCAACCTCAGCCTAAAAGGTGATTTTTTCTTATCTATCTTATATATTTCTTATTACTAACATTTATTTTCTTTGCAAACCATTAGTTATTTACGTAGACGTAAAATGGCTGATACTTCTACTTATAGTAATAAGTAATAATTTTTGTTTTTTATACAATATTTATACCATTAGATCATTCCCCCACACACACACAAACACACGTATTTAATTTCTTAATAAAAAAAAAAAAAAAAAAAAAACTCAGAAAAAAAAAAAAAAAAAACCTTAAATTTTTCTACATCTATGATGATGTAAGTATAAAGCGGCTCTTATTTTTTGTTGTTGTTGTTGTTGTTCTCTTTATTTTGACATGATTAACTTTATGAATGGTCAACCATCGCTTGATGTGTTACCAACAAAGTTATTCTCGGACGCTGCTGTGAAAGCTCTCAGTCGACCTAATGCTGCCAATGACCTCTTACAGGTAAAAACCATTTGAAGTTTTTTTTTTTTTTTTGTTTGTCATGGAGTAAGACTTAACACTGCAACCAAAAAGTACGGACCAGAGTATGGTCACACTGAATTTTTAAACAATCTAGCGATTTTCCTCTCCAAGGAATATCAATCGTTTGTGTCCAGTCGACATTTATGTGGTACACCCGGTGCCTCGTTATCTTTACAGCATATCCTCACCATCCTCACACGACCTCAAAGTACGACACAGTACGTCTACTTTCAAGATCCCACTTATTTTCTCTCATTTGAGATATTTACCAGTGTTGGTTTCCGACGTGAGCAATTTCGAGGTATTCCTGAACAAGACGACGCCAGTGGTATGGATCTTGATAGATTAGAAGACTTTCTAAGGGGTCAACCTGTGAAAAGGGGTGATATCTTTGATTCGGTCTTATATTGTGTTCCCACACATGCGAATCCAACAGGGTCCATTTTATCTGCGTCCAAAAGAAGACGACTTGTCCAATTGGGTCGCAAATACAACATGCTGATTATTTGTGACGATGTGTATGATATCTTGACTTTTCAGGGTGAGATACCCCAACGGGTGGTAGCTTATGATCTATTGGAGGATGGAAATGAAAAACATGTGGTCATTAGTAACGGTTCCTTTTCCAAGATTTTGGCACCAGGTGCAAGAGCAGGGTGGATTGAAGCTGGTGAAACCATTATTAAGCAAGTGGCTGCCTGGTAACGTAATCAAAGGATGAAATAGTTTAAACATTTTTTTTTTTTAATTTAATTTATTATTATTTTACCCTTACACATGAATCTAATACAACATGATAGCGGCTCATTTATATCAGGTGGATCACCCTCGAATTTGTGCAAGTATTATAGATTGTCATACGATTTTATCTGTTTTATATTAATGCAAAAAAAAATGTGTTTGTAGCCAGCCAAATTATCAATGAAATGTTGGGGGATGGGTCATTACACCATCATGTCGAATTTCTTCGCAAGACGCACGGGGACCGATTGTACGAAGGATTATTAAGACCGATGCAACGCGATTTAGTTCCCTTGGGTTGTTCCATTCCGGTTTTACCACGAGGAGGGTATTTTGTCTGGTTAAAACTACCTATCCCTGGAAATCAGTTGATGGAAGTCACACGACATCATAAGATTGAGGTGAACGTGGGTTTAGGGACCCTTTTTTCAGTAACGGAAGATACCACACATTATGTTCGACTTTCGTTTGCAAATTATGATACAAAGACTTTACAGTTGGGTGTCTCTCGATTACAACAAGCCCTTTCTATTGCTTTAAAGACAAATTAATTTTTTTTTTTTTTTTTTACATCAATAAGCAAGAGAGTTTATTTTTATTTTATTGGTTGATTGGTAATGAGAAGAAAAAAAAAAAAAGGGTCGTCAATAAAAGAAGGATTATAATTACATAAAAGTGTGGAGTGTTACATAAGTTTCTTTTTTTTCTTACTTTGTGTGTGTACTAATAATAATAAAAAAAAAAAAGGGTTTAATGTGTGATGCAAATTTAATAAGTGCGTGACATGAGCATGGTATGATTATCATTTCGAGAAGTTAATGGTGAACTCAACATGATATAGTTTTGTTGTTGTTGTTGTTGCATAAATGTGACTGTATCTGTTCTTTGTCTACTTTGTTGTAAAGCAGTACATAAGTCATCCAATGCTTGGCCTTCATTTTGTTGCTGTGTTGACATAAAATCATAATGATGATGTTGTTGCTCAAAGTCAGAATTAGAGCCAGAGGTAGAATTCCAAGACAAGTGTTGATAATGTAATCGAGCATCTTCCAAGGTGCCCACCACAGAGGAGGAAGAAGAGGAGGAATAAGAAGTAGTGGGTGAATGGTAGATGGATGTATTGGAATAATAATCTCCTCCTGTTGCTACAGCTGCTGCTGCTGCTACTGATGCTTCTGCTGATGCTGATGTGTCATAGTGGGTCATGATAGAAGGCGACTTTCTTTTATCCATGACTACCACCACGGGTGCAGGAATAATTTCGGGTTTAACACAAGGTGAGAGGACAGGTGAAATAGGATTACCATGATTTTTTTGTTGATGAATTTGTTTTTCCAATCGCATGTTATTCTCTCGTAACTCTTGATTTTGTCTGCGTAATTGATCCAACTCCATTTTCCATTCATCCATCATCTTGACCTTCTTCTCGAGGTCCTTGACATAACGCTCTTTACGTTGTCGAAAAGCGCGTTGAGCGGCTCGGTTTTGTGCTGCTCGTTTAGAAGGAATCACTGCACGAGGTCCTGTATTGCCAACCATCATGGAGTAAGTCGACTTGCCGCCACCAGTGGTTTCATTCTTTAGTTGCGGATGATGTGGTGGTGGTGGTGGTGCGAGTTGGTGGTGACTGGAGACAGTGGGACCAGTATGGCAAAGTACGGAATCTTAAAGGGAAAAAAAAGGGAGGTCAGTAAAGGTAACAGAAAAAAAAAAATTTGTTTCTCACACACCTGAATACCAATGTGAATCATTGGGATGATTGGACACAGCAATACGGTCATGGCTGGAAACTGCAAAAAAGGGAGGGAAAAAATAGGTAAGAAAAAAAAAGAAGAAAAAAGTCAAGTATAAGCATACCTCGTAATGGATGATTCCAATGGTATGGATTCATATTACTACTGTACATTGGCGTTTGTTGATTTGTGGCGTACATCTTCTTAAAATTAATTATAAGCTTTTTCTTACAGGCTATTAAAAAGAAGATTGAGAGCTGAAGTAGTGATTAAAAAAGAGAGGGAAAGAAGAAAGGAAGAAAAAAAAAAAGGGAGACATGGAAAAATCAGATGTTTTATATAATCCATGAAAGGTGGATGTGTGGGGGAGAGAGCATAAAGTGACGTGTAATCTATTCATATAAAAAAGGGTTTTTTTTTGTAGTACAAACATAAGAGGAAAAGGCCAGGCTTATGATAAAAGGGTAGATACCCTTTTCTGGTAGGGATGGAAACCATAAATAAATCATGATTATCAAGAGCTAAAAGTTTCAAATTCTATTTACGTTTAAACCCAAAGTTGTAAGTTGATAACAATATATGTTTTATGTTGAGAATCCTTAAAAAAGTAACATTTAAAAACGATTCATTTGATAGGTCTTTTTTTTACAAATGAAACACAAAAAAAAAGAGATAACCCTTAAATAAAAAAAGAAGGGTTCTCTCTCTCTTAATTTACCAACGTGTGAGTAAAAACCCTGAATTATCAATTTTGTGCTAACAAGTGATTATGTATGAGAATATTTTACTTCATCTATCTACTATTCATGATTATGTACTCTTTCTTTTTTATATCTTCCCCCCCAAATTATGATTTTTCTTTTTTTTTTTTTTTTTTTTTTTTCCCATCACAGGTGATCTACATAAAAAGCTAAAACACTTAATTTTATGCTGAGTATCGAAAAAAAATCAACAAACAAATCATGCTGTATGCAAAAAAAAAATAGAAAAAAATCGTCAGGAAAGAACCCTGTTTTTGTGTCACATAAACATGTGTTTTATTAAAACCAATTGGTAATGACCCTTCAATTTTATTTGTTATACATTAAAATCCTTTTTATTTTTTCATTGTTCCATTGTAACCTTATCCCGCGGATATTAGGAGTCGGTAGCACATGTTACATTTATGTTCCTTTTTACAACATGAAAGGTTGTAAAATTCATGGTTGTCCGGCGATAATAGGGCTTATGGAAAAAGCTTTTTTTGTTTGGCCTATTTTTACTGGCGACGGTCTAATGTCCGCCACTACCACCCACCCACCGTCTGAAGAGATCTTTTTTTTTTTTTATTTTGGCCTAGTTCTTAGTAGAGGAGCTTCTATCATGTCAACAACTTAATCAGAGATATTCAGCACAAAATGAGCAAACATTAAGAAAGCATGTTTAAACAAGAAATCCCCATTTATCATGATTTCATAAGCAAGTTCAATAATATATATATATATGAATAAAGTGAAATAAACCCTGAGAGACCGTGTCTAATAAACACGAGGATTGACTTTTCGTCTATATAAGAGACGCGGCGGTTTATTCCCACCATTTTTTGAACGTGTTGGGGGGGGGATTTTCTTTACTTTGCATTGTCCAGGTAGCACACTGACTTTTGTTTCGTCAATGAAGCATACCAACTTTTTTTTTTTTTTATGGGGGGAGGGGTAATATTTAAATGTCTGGAACTATTTTCGGTCTTTTAGTTATTTGTCAGCTTTTTGTGTTTTAGCGGAGGCTTCCCCGAACTCATAAGGGTTGTCAAGTGGAGAAAAAATAATAACGTCTAATGCAATTTCATTCATACATTCTTTTCGGCATCTATGTATCTCGTTTTATATCACTCTGTTCAGGAATTTGGCACATTTCTTTAGGATGATGAGGTCGTCGTAGTACTTGATTTACTTGTAGCGATCCAATCACATTCAGAGGTATTGACAGAGAGTTAAATACTGTGGTTTTATATTATTTAGTAGGTATATAAAAGAACAAACGCAATCAAGTCTTTTAGTTGAAGAGACTTTGACAATGAGGTCCAGACATCCCTTCACCCCTACTTATATGTGTCCTTTTAATATGATTTATGCTTGATTTGAACAATAACTATTCAATAGATTAGTATTTCGTAGACTTAAATGCAAGAAAAATTAACTTTGTCGCTGATCGAAATTTCCAGGATGCATACTACAGTGGTTTAGTCTAAAAAGAAGACGATTGCAAATTTAATTTGAGACGAAATGATTTTTTTTTTTTTCAAGACGAAGCACTTTTTTTTTTTCCGAGACGAAATAGCTTTTTATTTTAGACAATTCATTATTTTTTTTTTTTTTAGACAAAGTAACTTTATTTGAGACGATACAATTAATTGTATGGTCATCTCAGTCCTATTTCTCTGTTGATACATCTTTCCCAGAAGGCTTCTGAGTTGTCTAATCCAGCCTTGACAATCGCTGACAGTAACTGTCTGGCAGGCCTCAGCGATACGAGGCGTAAGATTGTTCTCCTTATCCAATGGGTTTCTTTTAATATTACTTTTAATTTTCGCCTGATACTCTTCTATAGAATGCAAGAAAGGGGAGTACAACGGCATAAATAAAGGCTTATAAACTCTTCTGTTTATAGCTTCCACAACAAAACGAGAGTGATGAATTCTACAATTGTCCATAGCGATGAAAAGGCCTTTCTTGGCTAAAATACATGAAGGGCGGATATAATCTTGAAGCCTGCAACCTACATAAGCTAAAACACATGAAGGACGGATATAATCTTGATGCCTGCAGTCTACACAAGCTAAAACACACGAAGGGCGGATATAATCTTGAAGCCTACAACCTAAACTCTGTATTTCCATCGAGGAAAAAAAAAGGAATGCTAGCAAGAAAGATCTGGGGGAAAAAAAGGAGAGGTAGAAAATAAAGCAAACAACAGGAATCTTGTATGAAAGACAAGAATATCTGGTAGTAATTGTCTGTCAGCTAGCTAATGCTATTGTAAGATAAGACTCTTGGGAAACTAAACCATGCCTTTAGTTTACTGACTCAACCACCCGCAGATGATGTACTCAGCAAGTGCTAAGTGGCGCAAAAACAAAATGTTTAGTATACAGCCCTACAATAATTGGCACAGGATCTGACACGCAATACAACATACTACAATGTATTAAAGAAGAAAAACATAAAAATATAAGGTGTGATGAATATGCTATTTAAGAAAGATCGGTAACAATCATCAATGCAGATATTTTATTTTCTGTAGAATCTCTTTGGCAACCTTGTTGTTCAGCTCTTTGAGAGGTGGAGTGATCTTTTCTGCAATGCCAAACAAAATGTTTTCGAGGGTTAAATTCCCAAAGATTGTGATTGTGTCATTAACAGAGCCGAGCTCCAAGATTTTTTTGTATTGCAGATAGACATAAGTTTTCTTTTCAACAGGCGGGGCAATCAACGCAAGCTGTTTGCAATTAAACGTTCTTTCTTGGTTGAACACCACTGCAGCCATAAATCTCATAATACTTGATCCAAGCTTTACATCGCTAAACTCATCACCCTCTTCTGCACACAACGCAGTAAATACTGTGTATGGTCTCATGTGTACGTTGTCTGTGAATCTTGATGAGTATCTGCTAAAATAGTAGGTGGTGGGAATTGTAAAGTTTGAACGAAGCTGCCTGAGTTGTGAAAACTTATCAAAGTTGTTGATTTGTGTTGCTTTCTTGACTAAAAGTGTATTTGCTTTTTTTGATTGAGCTAGAAGAAACAAACAGCTTGGTGGTGGCGGTTGGATGGAAGTGGTGCGTGGAAGGACCAAGCTCGGGTTCCAGGTTTTCAGAGTCCAGGCGCAAACTAGATGTGACGAGGCCGCTGAAGACGTTACTACCGATAATAAGTTTGTGCGAGTTGTCCAAATCAATATTACAGATATTGATTGTTTCGTAAATTTCGTCACCTGTGGGGGCACTTGAGTTGGAAAATGCGCCATTAAAGCGTTCAGAGTGAATGTCTTGATGTTTTGAGCGACTGTACAGTTCAATACAATTGACTAGCAAGACTTTGTTTTTTTTTTACCAACAGGCATCCTGCAAGAAATTGGGCACATACTGCACGTAGATGAAAGCCGAAATTCCAATCTTCGTTCAACAGCTCCAACTGAATTTCAGTGATTTCTGTATATTTGTCGGTCAACAAGGGTGTCGTGTTGATTTTGCTAGTAGAGATAAGATACTGGATGTAATCGTTGCTGACTTCTGTCTTAGTTTTGCTGTCATTGATTTTGCTGTTGTTATTGTTGTTGTTTTCAGGGCTGACACAAGGTACAACATTTATTCCTCTCTCTTCACATGTCATTATGATTCGGGGCAGCTAAACTTCTGTCGAAATAGAGTAACATTCATCTTTTGTATTTGGGAACATGGTGTAGGCTTTCAAGTTAATACTGTTCAAAACACCTTCGATCATTTTGGACTGGCTACTTGTGCTGCTGTTACTACTACTTTCATGATCACTGCTTGAGTGAATTCCATAAAGTATGGTGATTGCTTCGGCTGTTGTCTTTGCTTTTTTAATCGTGATCATCTCGTCTTTGTCATCGGTATTGAGAATGTTTGCAATGGGAGGCATTATGATTGGTAGTAAAGGGGCACTTGCCTATAATTTATTTCTTGTGAATAATGGGGTTTTTGGAGCATTTGAATGAAATTCATCTTACCATTGTATTGTAGTCTTCATCTGCGTATGCTATATTAGAGTGTTGTCAGTACAGTTTTTGTGTAAGTTGGTCTGTCGCCTGCACAGTTGTACTCACCACAATGTTCTGTATCAACATGGATTTTTAAGCCATCCAAGTCATGAAAGTTGCCATTGCATCCCGGACAAGCATACCTGCTGATGATGACTGCTCCTTGTTTGGTATATTCATTTAATTCAGATGACTTGATGAAGTGCCCCCACAGGTGACGAAATTTACGAAACAATCAATATCTGTAATATTGATTTGGACAACTCGCACAAACTTATTATCGGCAGTAACGTCTTCAGCGGCCTCGTCACATCTAGTTTGCGCCTGGACTCTGAAAACCTGGAACCCGAGCTTGGTCCTTCCACGCACCACTTCCATCCAACCGCCACCACCAAGCTGTTTGTTTCTTCTAGCTCAATCAAAAAAAGCAAATACACTTTTAGTCAAGAAAGCAACACAAATCAACAACTTTGATAAGTTTTCACAACTCAGGCAGCTTCGTTCAAACTTTACAATTCCCACCACCTACTATTTTAGCAGATACTCATCAAGATTCACAGACAACGTACACATGAGACCATACACAGTATTTACTGCGTTGTGTGCAGAAGAGGGTGATGAGTTTAGCGATGTAAAGCTGGATCAAGTATTATGAGATTTATGGCTGCAGTGGTGTTCAACCAAGAAAGAACGTTTAATTGCAAACAGCTTGCGTTGATTGCCCCGCCTGTTGAAAAGAAAACTTATGTCTATCTGCAATACAAAAAAATCTTGGAGCTCGGCTCTGTTGAGTTGGAAAATGCGCCATTAACGCGTTCAGAGTGAATGTCTTGATGTTTTGAGCGACTGTACAGTTCAATACAATTGACTAGCAAGACTTCGTTTTGCCATTTTGTCATGATGACTGAAGGCCTTAAATTTCGTGAGCGAGTACCCTATGTCAGTTCGAATCGACAAATGACAGTTCGGGTAGTTCCTATTTCTTTGTTTTCGGACAATACTAGTGGCAATAGATCTAAAAAATGGAACTGTTTCAACAGCTGGGTGATGAACATTGCTGCGTTCGGTCTTGAGGAGAGCAACAAGTACGAAAATCATTTCTTTCTGTGTACCAGTAATCACAAAGTCACCGCAATGGAAATGGTTAAGCCTTTGACAGAAGATTTACTCGAGTTGGAAAAAGGAATAGTGATGTATGATGCCGAACTTCAAAAAAATGTTTTTTTGATTGCACTTGTACTGTTTTTTCGTGGAGACAACGTTCGTCAGGCGGAACTAGCCTTAAGCAAAGGATCAAGGGCTAATCACCCATGTAGATTCTGTTATTGGCAAGCTGATCCACCAAAGCCTATGACCACTGGAAAACAACCTATAGCCTTGAGGTATAGCTCCGAAACGTACACTGCTGAGTCAAGAACATTAGAAGATTTTCTTTCTTTTGAAACCCGGAACAACCAGAGCGTGCATCCCCGGTTTATCTTCCTAACAAAGGGCGGATAACAAACCAATGAAATATAAAAGAACCTGGAAGTTCGAACAAATGGGGAGAAATCGGGTTCAAGCTGACAGGTGCTGAGGATTTGTTAAACTTGGAGGCGGTCGATTTGTCTCAAGATTTGCCTGTAGAAATCTTGCACACTTTGCTTTTGGGAATGACCAAATACTGCTTTAAACTCGCTCATGACTTTTTTTAAAACGATGTACAGCTTCAACTGTTAACTCAATTTTTCCGAAACTACAACTCCAAAGCATTGCATCGCAACCTTACATCTTCACTAACCGCATTTCGCTCTTTTGTCGGAAGAGATTTCAAAATCATCGTACAACTACTCCCAACACTTTTGCAAAAAGCAAACTTTTTTAATCCTTCATTGTTCGATGAAAATCAAGATTCTTTTAGATCCCTGTTTGAATGCTTTGACAATCTCGGCTTACTCGCTTCACTGGTATACATGGAAAAAATCGACAATTTTCACTACTACAAGCAAATATTAGATATAACTGTGTCAAAGACCATCACAGCTATGGACGACGACCGTTTTGACTAGAAGAAGATCTGCTGCTGCTGGAACAGAAGCTATCACCAAAATGACTTTTCGTCATTGTGCAACCGACTGAAATCCCATTTATTGATCCATATTTCACAAGATGTTGAACGGTTTTCCGGTGGTCCTCATACCGAGACTGAAAGAGGTGAGCAGCAACACAAGTTCATGCGTGAGCTGTTGTGCCATACTAACAGACAGAACGGTGGGCGAGATGTTGCTGTTCGATTTGCCGAAGAGTTCATGCTTCGTCATATCAGTCAAGGTGGTTTATTCGTTAAGGATCCGTCTTCTTCAGTTTGGGAAACGTGTGGCGTCAAAGTTCTGGAATCGTTTGATGCAACGATTAATCAAAGGGAGCTTGAATTATTAGACAACAACAACAGCCAGAAAAAGCTTGCACTTGGAACTACTGGTGTCTTTCGCAATGGTAACAGTTCCAAGTCAAGCGGTCTTTCCCTTGGTAGAATTGTTATGAAAAACGGTCAAGACTTCCTCGTCCAAGCATATGATTTCGTTTGTCATGACTCCTTTTCGCAAGGTCCACAATCAAGTATTTATGAAAGTTGCGTTTTAGATGTTGCTGGCAACGTTATAACTCGCAGACTACCAGGTGACGATTTTGTAATTGCTGGTCATGAACAAAATCGCGTTGAATTCGTGCTGGACATGTCACAACCTCCTATCTCTTCGGATTACGACACTTCTTCGACGTTGAGTATTAACAAATCAAAATTCGGTAGCATTTGATGGCTTCTCAACACACGTTGTAATTTAGAAAAAATCATAAGATTACCAAACTTTTAGGGAAATGTCTAGACCTCCGTATTTTTTTCAAACGTATTTTTTTAAAACCACTTACAGGAATTCTGGCCAGAAGACCAGCAGACCAGTATGATTACAACTATTTACAGTGTAATCCCAGCCATTCAAAGTTCATGAGTTCCAAAAAAAAAAAAAACTCAAGAACTCTCTGCCCTAGAAGGTAGCCCTCCTATAGCAAAGACTAGCCGCAGCCGTAATGTCGTAATACATCCTTTTCAATTTAGTGTCTTTTCAGAGAAACAAGAGTCATTACTAACTAACCTTTTTACATTATTGGTTACTTTCATAAGATAGAAGAAATATGCTGAGAGAAAAGAAAATGAGAAGAATAAAGTGTGTGAACCAGCTTTATTTATAGGCTGATAAACAAGCTTATGTCAAGATGATTTCATTTGTTTATTTTATCATCCATAATGTTTGAGCCTTTACTTAAAATAGAAACACTTGCAAAAACCTCCCAAGCAAGTCAGAGCTTGGTAATTGTCTATCTGCGTTCCAATAGTAGCTTGTAATGACAGTGAAGCAGATTTTATGGAAAACAGAAATCGATCATCCCAAGAAGTTTAGATGATATGGCATGTCAATCGACGTGTAGACCATCGCGTGATTCTAAAAAATACGTTTGAAAAAAATACGGAGTTCTAGACATTTCCAACTTTTAGATATATTTATTCACACATTATTTTGTTATAATAAAAAACGTAAAAGACCTTTTTTTTAAAAAATTTTGTTAAGTTCATTTGAAAAGCCGTCCACGTCATGCAAACATGATTTGGTGGGCGGATCTGAAGTGGTGGGGAACACTTGGGATGTAAACAAAATAACAATGATGCACAAATTTGTCTTAATGGGGAGCCTTGGGGGGACGCTATGCATTCTTTTTTTTTTTAAAAAAAATAGCATCCATTTATTTTTGGGATTATCATTCATCCGTGTGTGACTCAACCTACAATGGCTGCTCTGGGTGTGTAGTCGTCATTTGAGTTTTACATTAAAACCGGGTTTTAAATCAAATTGGCGGACAATTTTTCTTTTGTTTGCAAAAAAAAAAAAAAAAAAAAAAATGCACGCCAATTCGTTTCTAAAATGCGTATAAGGGGAAGACAAAAATAAAGGTGTACAAACCAAAAACAAAATTGTTCATTCGATGTGGTTTGAATGCCAAAATAGGTGCCACAAAAGAAAAACGAAACTCTACCTTCTTTCTCAGATAAATGCTCTCTGAGTCTTGTCTTGTCCCTATATGTGGCAGTCTTGCAAACATGGCAGGTGTATAACAGGTGAATAAAGGTAACTACGCTCATTTTTTTTATATGTAAAAAGCAAGTTTCTTTCTTACATGTAAAAAGCAAGTTTTTTTTTTTTTAAAGAAAAAAGAAATAAAAAGTAAGTTTTTAGTAAAAAATAATGTGTAGCAAACAATATAGGTTTATTTTTATTTTATAAAATACAAATAGAAAGAGAGAGAGATACAATAAGAAAAAAAATAGATGTGTAAAGTGGTGGTGGGGGATATATACTAAAAAGAGATGGGGGATGGGCTTATATACAGATTTTTTTAAGGAGGAGAGAGAGAGAGAGAGAGAAATGTCTACATCATGATATCAATCAACTCATCATCCTCTTCCTCTTCAGTGGGTTCCTCGATAATCACTGGTTCTAATATGAGTGATTCTTGATGAACAATGGTTTCATTTTGTGTCACTGCTAAATCCATTTGTTCGTCTCCAAATACAATAATTCCATCATCATCATCCTCTTCTTCGCTCGAGGATTCATTATTGGAAGGTTGAAGCATCTCTTCTAATAATCTTCGTTTATGAATCGCCGTTCGTCGCTTGGGTTTAGTCGAGGCAATACTATCCCCAAATAAACTCACATCCATACTCGCCATATGTACAGAAACATCTTCATCCTTGTTTGTTTTCTTCCCTCTTCTCTTTCTCACGGCTTTTTTCTTGCCTGCCACTGATGCTGCTGCTGCCGATTCTGTTGATTTTTCAAATTCTGTCAATGCAGACATGGAGATGGGACCGTGTGTAGCAGAGAGTCTTGCATGACCGGACGATCCATTGACCACGTGACCTGCCTCCACAATGGATGATTTACGACGGTTGCGATGACGACGGCGTGTTTGTTTCGATGGTGATGGCACGGATACAGATGCTGGTGGAGGTGGAGGAGGTGGTAGTAAGGAGACTGGTTTTTGAATGGTATAATCCGATAATATCACTTTGGGACCACCCTTTTTCTCGGTTAAACAAGCATCGACATAAGATAAAATGCGAACCAATTGATCTCTATCCAATTTAGCTAAATCAATCTCGACTTCTTCCACTTCTTCTTCCTCTGCAGGTTGAGATTTTGAAATGATGGTCAAGATGCCTGGTAATTTCTCGGCGTCTAAATGGTTGGTGATTTTATCTAGAATGAGTTCTTCCATTTGACGACGGTGCAAGTAAGGGGATGGTGTATTCACTTGTTCGTCGTCGTCGGAGGAATCACTAACATCTCGTGTCATGGAAGAGAAATCATGCGTGTCTTCTTCTCCTTCGGAGGAAGAACCGGAAGAACTACCACTACTGCTGCTACTACAACTGCTGCTGCTGCGGCGTCGTTTCGTGTTTGTTTCCATGTAGTGGTGAGTCAAGTCGGATGGTTCGATTGTATTCACGCTATTGCTTTCTGGAACTACAAAAAAAAATTAATAAAAGAGTTTCAATGATAAAAAGAATGTATATTTTTTTTTTGTTTTACCAAAAGTAAATTCGTCGTATAAAAGTGAGGTATCACCGTCAAAATCCAATTGATCTTGACCAAACAAGTCTTGTAATTGAAGTACATGGTCTGCATTGAGAAATGAAGCCGAGTCAAAAGAATTCGTGTTTGTATCTAAATTGGCGGTGTTGTCTAAAAGAGGCCAAGGATCTTGTGGCCAGGATTGAACTGATTCTCTTTATTTTGTATAAAAAAAAAAAAAAAAAAAAGAAAAAAAAAAAAAAAGACGTGATTAATTCCACCTTTCTCTCATCTAAAAACACGAAGAAAATACCTCAACATTATGGTAAGAAAAAAAATATAGAAAACAAGGCAATTACAGAAACAAGAATATGTTTTAAAATAAAAAATAACTGTTCCAAAAAAACTATTTTTTTTTTAAAAAAAAAAAAATGTTGTGACTATGAAAAGGCTTGTATTGTAGTCAATCACGCGTTATTTCTTTAACGTATTTGATGTGCGGCTTTTTTTTTTTTTTTTGACAAGTGTTTATTTACATGTAGGAGGAAAACTGACTTTTTTTTTTAGAAAAGGCATTAAAATAGAATCATGGTTTTATGCGATGAAAATAGAATTGTTTGGCATGATGATGCGGTAAAGGAAAAAAAAACAACACTGTCTAAATAATAAAGAGTAATGATATATGTCAAAAAATCAAAAAAAAAAGAGCCACCTCCATGTACGCGTGTTTCCATGGGGATGATTCCTCACTGTTGTCTAATAATGATGGATGTGCATTGATGGGGGAGAGGTTTTGAGGAGTGCCAAAAAATAAATAAAAACACGAGCTTGTGGTTGATATCCCGCCCACACCTGCAAAAAGTAAAAAAAAAAAAAAGGTGACGACTTTCTGTGGAGCTGGTTGTCAAACAATTTTTTATCTTTTATAAGATTCTAGTAGCTTCCCCTTCTTTTTTTGTCTGTCAAATAATATATATTAAATATTCACCATGGCACCTCCCATGATGGTAATTATTCTTTTTTTTTTATTTTTCAAAATTAGCCTTAAAGCACATCCCCCAATACTATGGAAAACAAGTGAGAAAAGGAGAGGGAGATCTTTTAATGACGCGTTTATTCTCGCAAAAAAAAAAAAAAAAAAATTATTTCCATCACATTCTTTCATCATCCATCTGTTTAACAGAAAAGGGGCAAATGTCAGTGAAAGGAAATAGACATGCACTGGATCGAGATCTAGCTTGTGTTTCCTCTTCCTCTCTCCTTGTTTTTCTTTCTTTCGGGCGAAGTCTTTTTTTTTTGAAAGTGAACTAATCGTCATCATCATCTTTTTATAGCAACCTCAAATTATTCTCTTAAAGGAAGGTACTGACACTTCTCAAGGTAAAGGTCAACTTTTATCCAACATCAATGCTTGTGCTGCCGTTGTCGACACTGTCAGAACTACTCTCGGTCCCAGAGGTATGGATAAACTCATGGTCGACAGTCGAGGTCAAGTCACCATCTCCAACGATGGTGCCACCATCATGAAGTTACTCGATATCGTTCACCCTGCCGCAAAGACCTTGGTCGATATTGCTCGTTCTCAAGACGCCGAGGTAATTTACTTTTTTATATGTGCGAGATAAAAACAGAATAAGAAGGATTTAAAAAAAAGTGCGTGTGTTTTTATTAGGTCGGTGACGGTACTACCAGTGTCGTTTTACTCGCTGGTGAATTATTAAAGGAAATCAAGGGTTATATCGAAGAAGGTGTTAGTCCTCATGTCATCATCAAGGGTTACAGAGCCGCTGCCCGTTTAGTATGTTTTTTTTTTTTTTCAAAAGAGGATTTAAACAGAGAGACTAACAAAAGTAAAAAAAAAAAAACAGGCTATCAACAAGGTCAAGGAATTAGCTGTCAAGATTGATAAGAACAACGAAGTCGAGTTCCGCGACTTACTTTCCAAGTGTGCTGCCACTGCCATGAACTCTAAATTGATTTATTCTCAAAAGGACTTTTTCACAAAGATGGTAGTGGATGCTGTTCTTTCACTTGATCAAGAAAGTTTAAATGAACGTTTGATCGGTATTAAGCGTGTTCCCGGTGGTGCCATGCAAGATTCCGTTCTTGTCAAGGGTGTTGCTTTCAAAAAGACATTTGCATACGCTGGTTTCGAACAACAACCTAAATCTTTCAAAAACCCCAAGGTCTTATGTCTTAACGTCGAACTTGAGTTAAAGGCTGAAAAGGATAATGCTGAAGTACGTGTTGAAGAAGTGTCTGAATACCAAGCCATTGTCGATGCTGAATGGCAAATCATTTTCCAAAAATTGGAAGCCATTGTTGCTAGCGGTGCCAAGGTCGTCTTATCTAAATTACCCATTGGTGATTTAGCTACACAATATTTCGCTGACCGTGATATCTTTTGTGCTGGTCGTGTTGCAAAGGATGATATGGATCGTGTTGTTCAAGCTGTGGGTGGTTCTATTCAATCTACCTGTTCAGATATGCACCCTGAACATTTAGGTGAGTGTGAGACCTTTGATGAAAGACAAGTGGGTGGTGAACGTTTCAATATCTTTGAGGGTTGTCCTCAAGCAAAGACATGTACCTTGATTCTTCGTGGTGGTGCTGAACAATTCATTGCTGAAGTTGAACGTTCTCTTCACGACGCCATCATGATTGTCAGACGTGCTATCAAGAACAACTTTGTGGTTGCTGGTGGTGGTGCTACCGAAATGGAATTATCTAAATATCTTCGTGAACATTCCCGTACAATTGAAGGTAAACAACAATTGATTATCGGTGCTTATGCAAAGGCATTTGAAGTGATCCCTAGACAATTATGTGATAATGCCGGTTTTGATGCTACTGATATTTTAAACAAGTTGAGAATGAAACATGCACAAGGTGGTGTTTGGTTCGGTGTTGATATCAATAACGAAACCATTGCTGATAACTATGAAGCTTTTGTTTGGGAACCCGCACTTGTAAAGACAAACGCTATTGCTGCTGCTACCGAAGCTGCTTGTTTAATTTTGTCCGTTGATGAGACCGTTAAGAATGCTGCAAGTGATAAGCCTCAAGCCGGTCCTGGTGGTCCCACAAGAGGACGTGGTCGTGGTATGCCCAGACGCTAAAAAAAAATTGATGTATATTTTATTTCTCATATATAAAAAAAGAAAAAGAAACTTCTTTTTTTAAAAAAAAAAAAAAACCTTGTTATCTTTTTATTTTGCATCTTTTTTCACAGAGAAAAAAGAGGTAATTGTTTGTGTATTAGAGACTTTTTTCACTCCTATATCTTGTGCTCTTGTAACCCTCTTTACAGCTGCCCTCTTCGTTGGGGTGTCTTCTGTCTTGATGGTCCTTTTCACAGGTGCCTTTTTAACCGGTGTCTTTTTCGTCAGCGGAGTAGATGTGGTTGTCTTGAACTTTTCCAATAATTTCAATGCCTTTTTTAATCCTGTAGGAATAGGTGAAATCTTTAACTCCTCCAATGTCACCCATTTCACATCCTTTTCATCGTCCAGGTCTTTCTCATGTTCGTACTGAATCCATTCAATATGATAGACTTTACGAATATGAGAGAACAAATGCACGACGTTGCCCAAATCTTGTCGGTGAGGCGTTGTATCAAACTCTAACCCGTAACGCATCTTGAGATATTCGCTTGATCCTTTCACACGCTCGTTATACTTGCTTTCTAAACTTGTCAATTCTAGTGTAGGAAATTCCCAAAGTCCAGCCAAAAGACCTTTTATATACATGTCAGATCCCTAGTCAGCTATTTTTTTTTTTTTTTTGTATGGAAAGGAGTAGTACCTGTTTCTGGTCTTTTGGATATTAAATAGAGTGGTTCTTTGTTTGGTGAGATTCTTTCTACAATACTAACGGCACATTCTATCATCCATTTCGTTAGTTATAAGTGAAAACCTTTTTTTTGACATGTTCATGTACCTTCATCTCTAGGTGCCTTCTTTTCGACTTTAAGAGGGTATCTACATACGTGTATAAGTGACATGGTTGATTAGAGATTTATTCATCAAGATATTACCTAGTTACAGTATAGTCGTCCTCTACTAAATTTGCATCCAATGCATGACAAGTTGAACATTCTATCATCCCCAGGGGCAGGGAGTTTTTTTAGTTCAGACCCAAAATTTAGCAAAAAAAAAAAAATCCATCTCTTGTCAATACTATACCATGTTCGATCTCTATTTGTTTTCTCTTTTTCTTTTCAGCGAAGAATCCATTTTTTGAAAGTGACTTGACCATTTCTAATTGCTTAAAAGCATGACAATCTTTCTGGATAGGACAATGGGAACAATCTGGATTTTGCGGTGTACAAACACGCGCACCCAATTCCATCAAAGCTTGATTGAAATCCCCTGGCTTCGATTGCGGTACGAGACTGGCGGCAATATCCCAGAATAAATCAACGGTTTTGGCCTTTTTAGGATCAGCATGAATTGCTCTGATACGAGCCAAGACACGAATCACGTTGCCATCGACGACAGGTGTGGATTGTCCAAAGACAATGGAAGCGACCGCACCCGCCGTGTACCTACCTACACCGGGAATTTCTGCCTGTAAATCCTTGGCATTGTTGGGTAATAACCCGTCTAATTGATTCACTACCTTTTGTGCTCCCTCCCATAGTCTTTTCGCACGGGAGTAGTATCCAAGTCCTGCCCATAATGTATTGACCCTTTCAATATCTGCACTGGCAAGATCATGAATGGTAGGGAAAGCTTCCATCCATCGGTTGTAAAATGAAATCACGGTAGCCACTTGTGTCTAAATCACACAGAATTTCGGTTGGTTGCTATTTTTATGCATGATCGATTGTCCCTTTACCTGCTGTAACATAATTTCACTCACCCAAACTAATACAAAGTTTTTTTTTAATAAAACACAGAGTGGTAACCTCTAATGTATATGCAAATATATATCTATATATATACCTTCGTAGGCTCTTTGTCCCAACGCCTATAAACATGGGAAATTGAGTGAACATGTATATAAAGAGTTCATGAGGGGGGACCTACTTGACGATCCCAAGAAAGGTCATTGTCTTTTCTCCAAGGCATGGTCAATCTTTTCTCTACATGGTACCAATCTAATAGATCCTTTTGGATCCGAGTTTGCTCCACTTCAGATATCTCGTGGTATTTATCTGAATGGTAAAGACGGTTGCTATTCACACATTCTTCAATATCGTTGGGTTCCTGACACTTGTTCACTGTCATGTGTAAAATAAATATAGAAAAGACAGGTTGCACACGAAAAAAAAAAATTGTTTTTAAAAAAAAGTGGAGGGAGACGTGTGTGATACGCGCTGTGTTTCAACGTCCTTTTCCACCCAGAATCCGCAAGTTAAAAATGTAACCTACTACTACTTCCACTAAATGAGATGATCGTCACTTTTGTTTCATCAGTGCCTTCTTGTTTTTACTCGGATAAACAATATAAAAAAAAGAGACACGCTCTCTCTCTTGTGTCTAAAATTTCCCCGCGTTTAATTTCATGTCAACAAACACGCTCAAGATTGTTTTTCCCTTTTCCCTATATATATATAACCTCTCCCACAGCCTCGGCCTACACTTTCTGTTATTTTTTATATTTTATTAAAAAATAAAATGATCTTAAATAAAGTACTTGGGTTATTAGCCATTGCGGTGAGTGTCATCCATGGTGCAGACTACTACAATCCCGATATCCAAGCAGATATCGAAGCAGCCATTGTCTCTTCTGTCATTTACGCTCCTGTTCCTACTCCGCGCATGCTCATAGCGGCTGAACCACCCGAATACACTGCTTCCAATGACGCAAAAACTGTGTGTCATAACTATCGCACTGATTTCAAATCTAATTTAAGAGGTTGGCAGGTAGAGAATACAATGCAGGATACATACGATATCAATGAAGTGGGTGTTCAACTCAATTTATTACCGCCCCATGTCTATTACCGTACCTTTGATAAAATCAGTAAGTTGCCCTACAAATACATAAGATCTCTCTCTTTTATTTTCTTCTTTTTTTAATTTGTTATAACTTCATGAAGCGGAATTACCGTATAATTTACATGGCGGAAGAGGCCCCACATTAAATGCAACGACGTATATCCGGTACGGTAAAATCTCTGCCACCATTAAATCTGCTGGTACAGGTGGATCCGTCACTGCTTTTATCTTGATGGCGGATGGAGGCGATGAAATTGATTTTGAATTTTTAGGTGGAGATACGAGTCATGTGCAGTAAAGTAAAAAAAGAGGGGCGACATTTTGTGTTTCTCTTGAAAAAAAAGAGGAAAAACTCATACTTTTTTCTTTCGGGTGTGTATAGGAGCAATTACTTTTGGGGTAAAACAGTGGAATATACTGTGAATGGAGGTATTCATGATGTACCCAATGGTGCTGTGGATCAAACATTTCACAAGTACACGATTGATTGGACACCTGATAAAATTGATTGGTTAGTGGATGATAAAGTTGTCCGTACAAGATTAAAAGCAGATACGTGTGATAAACAAGGTCAATGTAAATTCCCATCTCAACCGGCGTAAGTTTATTTGTTTACTTTCTGCTTTTTTTTATTATTATGTATACTCACCACAGAATAGACGAATTCAATTTGGCTTATGGGACGGAAGTATAGAATCGGGTACAGCTGAATGGTCTAGAGGTCCCATTGATGTAAGTTGATATTGTTATTGGGATTTTCCCCCTCTCTTCAAACCTGACTAAAATATAAAAAAATCCATTTAGTGGGCACTACCTCAAACTATTTCCGCACATATTAAAGATGTTACTGTCGACTGCAACCCAGCATATAATCAAATTGTCAACTAAATGTTACGGGCGGGGCGGGCCAAAAAATCGGAAATTTTATTTTATTTTTCTCTCAGTAACCATGAGAATGTCATTTTAACACAAGCTATTTATTTCGTTCCTTAATACATATTATTTCGTCCTCTCTTTTTCTAAAAAAAAAGTTAATAAATGGACCTTTATTTTCATACTTCTCCAAAGAAAAGAATGTTGACCTCGTTTAAAAAGAAGAAAATGGGTGCTGTAGTGGCTCCACAACAACAACAACAACATAAACTCACTCTTGTCCCTTCTAAATCAACACCCCTCACGCAATACTTTCAGAAAAAATTAACAATAAAACAAGCGAAAAGACTCTTGCAAAAGATGGTGCCTGTGATGGCACGATCACAGAAAACCATACAGGAAAAGAGTGAGACCAAAAATACGTCTACTGTCTTGTTTGATTCCAGCGAAGATTTACATACACCTCCCACACCACCGCCCAAGAAATCTCAAACCATGTCGGACCTCAGCAACAGCCAAGATTTGCTGGTGCATCGTGCTTTACCTAGTTTGCCTTCTGTCGCTTCTTATTCTTCGTCATCAGACAAGCGAAAGAAAAATGGTTTGACAAGAGCCACCACCTGGGTAGGACATTCCATCCAGAAATGGTTGTCTAGTACAGAGGCGAAAGAAAGCCGGAAGATGGCTATCCTGATGGATCATTCTGTGCTGGAAGAAGAGGAAGAGCATCCAAATCACTTGTCACCCAATTGATCGATTATAAAAAATCTAATTTTGACATCTAAATAAGAACCCTCTCCGCCTTAGTCTCATGTAGCATATTAAATAAAATAAAAATAAGAGAGACAAGCAATAAAATATAACCTCATTTATTTAATAAACGGATGACTGACATACCTCTACTTGTACTTTTCCTAAATACCCTTCCACATCAATAAACAAAGATCTCTAAATTTCAGTCTCAAATTTCCTAAAAACTAATTGAAAGTCTTATATACGCTGAAAGCGCTGTCAAATAAAAAAAGTCGATTGGTTCAAATAATCAATAAAGCATAAGAGCGTATTCTATCATTACCACACATGTAATACGGTTAATCAAAATATACGCGCATGAGTTTAAAGTGCGCGAAATAGAATAGTACTTCTTTGAAAGCTTGACAGGGTATAATCGTCATTCTCCAGGAAAAGAAGATACATTGAGTTAGCAATATCACGGACCCATAAATATTAAAAATCGTCTGTCACTAGCCTTCCGACTGTATCTTTTTGGCTGTCTGGCTTCTGTCGCTTTGGCTGAATAATTGTTTCGCCTATAAAGGATTGTCAATTTGTCACTAAATGACCATCACTTTAATTATTCACCAAGCTTCGTAATGCCCTATTTTTTTTTTTTTTTTTTAGATAAAGATCACAGCTTACTTTGGAAGGTTAAAAGTAAAGCATCTTTAGGCACTGCTTATTTGGGGTATCCGAATTACAAAATTTCCTTTAATGTGAGTAACCATATAATATGTACAACGGTCTGATGTAGGGGTTAAATCTTTTTATCGTTGTCAAAGCTTTGTTCTATGGTTTAAATGCAAATTATTTACTTTAAATGACAACATTTTATCGGGTAAACAAGAATAGTTGGTGATTTCAAGTGTTTTCAAAAAAGAGAAAAAATTAATTGCGTGTGAAGCACAATCACGCATCATTTTATGATTACATAAAAAAATCATTGGCGTAACAATACTAAAAAAAAAAAAAAAAAAACCTTCTTTTTATTTAAGATGGATGATATTCAGGGCCGCTTTGAATTTCAATGTGATCTGCACGTAAACAAATCACAATATGCTTCTTGAGCCCGCCTGAAAATATCCTGCCTTACATAACAAAAGAACAATAGTACAAGGAAAGAAAATATCCGAGGGATAATTAGTTTTAGATTCAGGGGGCAGGATGAACCTTTATCACATTTTGCCAATAAAGGCATAGATCACTTTATAAATTCAAACCTCGACCTCACTAGCCTTTAGAATTGACGGTTAGAGGTAAATGACGATGCGATAGGAGATGTAAGCTTGCACTCGCCTAAAAGAATAGTTTAGTGTGCTGTAAAAGCTGGTTAGCAAGTGAGAGAGAAAAAAACATGAATCTTATCCAGTAAGATCGCCAATATTTTTTATTTATTTTTCTGTTTATGTACACGATTCACTTAAGATCAATCAAATTGGTGCTTAGGCTGTTTGAAAGAAATGGAAAAGGATAAAAACTAGTGGGACATAGTTTCTATGAAATCATTGATAATTACAGAGTATCATCTCGTTGGACGATTATTTCAAGAAAATTGGTTGAGTTGAATACAAGAACTTTGTGGTATTCTATTGACATTTTGCTGAATATAGCATGTATTTTACAGAAAAATAATGGCAGACAAGCACACGATGAGTCTAGCAAGGAAAAGTTGTCATTGCGTAGCAGTGGGTCATAAGATTTGAAAAAAAAAATCCATCCATGGCCTTCCTTCTATCGGTGGCGCAGTGAGATTCCTAGTTACGATTGGATAATAAAATTTTTTTCCTTAATTTTTTATGTTTGATTACCATTTTGGGGGGAGTGTTTATCGAACTAGTACATCAATAATAAAAAAACAAATTTTCGAATTTTCTTTTTTCTCCCCTTTTTTTTAAAACTAGTCGAAAAATATGAGCAATGAAACTTCCAACACAGGAAGCTTAGATCAGCAATTTGGTAAAGTATATTTGAATGATGCTTAATAAAACATGATTGACTGACTGTTATATAATAGCTGGTATGGGCCTCAACAACAACAATAAGCCTGCTTCTCGTTATGTACCTCCCCATTTAAGAAACCAAGCTAATCGTGTAGATCGATCCAACAATGACAGTCAACCTCCTGCCGCCGCTCCCAGAACAAGTGGCTGGAACGATTGGAACGGTGGTAGCCGTGAAAGAGCTCCCCGCAGTGAAGGTGGAGGATGGAATTCCTCTCACTCAGACATGCCCCGCAGAAACGATGGCGGTGGTCGTTCTGACTTTTATGAGCGTGGTTCTTATGGTGGATACCGTAACAACAGTCGTCAAGATTCTGGTTATCAACGTCGTGATGAGAGTCAAGGTTATTGGAAGGATGGTGTTCACCACCTTGGTGCCCGTAACCCTCGTACCGAAAAGGATCTTTATGGTACTCATGATGATACTGTCACTCAACACACTGGTATCAACTTTGGATTGTATGATGACATTCCTGTTGAAGCAAGTGGTGAGAACTGTCCCGAATGTATCACTACCTTCACCTCTCCCCCTATGGATTCTCATTTATTGAGTAACATTGAGTTGGCCAGATACACCACTCCTACTCCCGTTCAAAAGTACTCTATTCCTATTATTGATGCCGGTAGAGATTTAATGGCTTGTGCCCAGACTGGTTCTGGTAAGACAGGTGGTTTCCTCTTCCCCGTCTTTTCTGAGCTTTTCTCCAAGGGTCCTATCTCTGCTCCCCCTACTGATGATTCTCAAGGTTACCGTGCCCGTAAGGCTCATCCTCAAGTTTTGATTCTTGCTCCTACTCGTGAATTGGTCTCTCAAATTTACGATGAAGCCAAGAAGTTTGCTTACCGTTCTTGGGTTAAGCCTGCCGTTGTTTACGGTGGTTCTGACATTGGTGCTCAAATCCGTAACATTGAACGTGGTTGTGATTTATTAGTCGCTACTCCCGGTCGTCTTGTTGATTTGATTGAACGTGCTCGTATCTCTCTTTCTCTCATTCGTTTCCTTGTTCTCGATGAAGCTGATCGTATGTTGGATATGGGTTTCGAACCCCAGATCAGACGTATTGTCGAAAAGGAAGACATGACACGTGTCGAGGACCGTACCACTCTCATGTTCTCTGCCACTTTCCCCCGTGACATCCAATACTTGGCCCGTGATTTCTTGAAGGATTATATCTTTTTGTCTGTTGGTCGTGTTGGTTCCACCTCTGAGAATATTACCCAAAAGGTTGAATATGTGGAAGATGAAGACAAACGTTCAGTCTTGTTGGATATCCTCCATTCTAACGAATCCGCCGGTCTCAGTTTGATCTTTGTTGAAACTAAGCGTATGGCTGATGCCCTTTCTGATTTCCTTTTGGACCATAACTTCCCTGCTACTGCTATTCATGGTGATCGTACTCAACGTGAGCGTGAGCGTGCTCTTGATTCTTTCAAGACAGGTCGCACTCCCATCATGGTTGCTACTGCTGTTGCTGCTCGTGGTTTAGATATTGCTAATGTCTCTCATGTCATCTCATACGATTTACCCACTGATATTGATGATTATGTCCATCGTATTGGTCGTACTGGTCGTGCCGGTAACACTGGTTTGGCCACTGCTTTCTTCAACCGTGGCAACAAGAACATTGTGAACGATATGATCAACATTTTGGAAGAAGCCAACCAAGAGATTCCTAGCTTCTTGGAATCCATTGCCAGAGAAACCCGTTCATTCGGTGGTTCTCGTGGTGGTCGTGGACGTGGCCGTGGAGGTAACGGTTTCGGTGGTAGAGATTACAGAAAGGCCGGTGGTGGAGGCAATGACTGGAACTCCTCTTCTCCTGCTCCTGCCGCTGCTCCTCGTGATACTGGTTTCCCCTCTTTGGGTGGTGCTCGTCCTGCCCAAACCAACGGTAGTGCCTATACCAACGGTGGCGGTAACAGCAATAGCTCCAACGTTCCTCTCCAATATCAAACCAAGACCAGCTGGTTCTAATCTCTCTCTCTCTCTCCTACTTATCCCACACACACCACACACCAAAAAACTATAGATTTTTTTTATAAATATTTTCCCCCAACCTTACCTTATCTCTTTTTCAATTATTTTTTTGTAAAATTCTTTTTCTTTTTGACCTTTTTTACCTTTTCCCCCTCCAAACAAAAAATTTCACTTGTAGTGTAGATGTAAATATTATTTTTAAAAAAAAGAGAATATCATATAAATAAATAAAATAAAAAAGAAGTCTCTACCCAAACACTATCCCATTCCATTACGCAATCTTTATCATTCATGCAACCTAAATTAGCGCGCGCTCTATTTTAGTTGGAAAAAGAGACTAAATTAATCGTCAAGTTAATGAGGGTATGTAAATTAAAAAAGAAAGAAAGAGAGCTTTATTGTTTTAAAGAAATGTTCTAGGAGTATTAAGTACATGGTGGTATGATAGAAGGATATTTACAAATGAAAAAAAAAAATGACAGCGTTTGTTTTACTGATAGGCAACAATGAGCTCCTTGACAGCTTCAATTGTACCAAAGATTAAACCCACTAAACCCATCAGGACAACGAGGAAACACCAGGCAAGTTCATACCATGGCTTGTTACGAACACCGGTCAACTTCAGGTAAAAGACCACAGGGAAAATAAAGATCAAGGTACAGTTAGCAAAAGCACCAAGCAACGACATCAATTCTCCGAAATGGGGTACCACGCAAGCAATCACGGCTACAAACACAATGATACCAATACGAATGGCAGCACGGATTAAGAATTCTTTGGTTCGGCCAAAACGTTCAACAGTAATATTGCACATTTCCTCAATATCGAGAGATAATGATGTTGTCAAGATAGGTGTAGCCATCATAACATGAATAGTAATCACCACAATACAAATGATTTGCGCTGCACCTTTGGGGATCGTGTTGTAGATAGGATTCTCCACCTTATCGCCATAAACTAAGTAGCCAGCAACTGCAACAATGAGGTACATGGCAGCACACGTGCTAAGACCTGCAGTAACCACCTTGGTCCAGTCACGAGGGTTCTTCATAGAGGCTTCTACATGGGAATAAATGATGTTGCCACCGAAACTGAAAGAGATGGTACTTAAAGCAATAGGGAACATGGGCCAGATAACAGGGTCATGGTGGATATTGATTTGGTTAGGTCTATCGATAGCAGCCATAATCAGGACAATCAAGATAACAACAATAGTAGCAAGGGCACCAAATGCACTCATCCAGGCAACTTCTTTCATGGTCTTGACCAAAATAAAGGGAATAGCAACGACGGCACAAAGGATAATAGTCCATGGCACATGACCAATTTCAGCGACAGTGCCTTCACAAAGTTGATTCAGGTTAGTACCAGCAAGTACCATATACAGGATGGGTCCGCCCACGAGAATAATGACGTTGAAGAAAAAAGTGACCCAACCTCCGACTTGACCAAAGGCTGAAGTAGCGACTTCCTTGTAAGTGCTCAAACGAGCTTTACCGTTGGCGTAAAGACAACGGATGAGAATGATGCCTGTATAAACTGACATGAGCCAGGACAAGCCGAGAATGAAAAGACCAATCCAGCCACCTTGCTTTAAAGCAGCAGGGAGACCAAGAGCACCTGTACCAGCAACAACGCATACAATATTGAAGTATGCCATCTTTGTTGAACCAGCATGCTCACGATTGATATCAATAATGCCTTCATTGGCGTATTCGAACTCTTGTTCTATACTAACATTCTTATCAGATGGTTGGTATGAGGACTTTTTTTCGCTATAGTCCATTATCGTATGTTATGTATAGAATAGAAAAAATTTAAGTTAAATAGAAAATAAAGGTTAAATTTTGACATTTCAGACATTTATATACCAATTTTTTTTTTTTTTTTTTTTTGATGATGATCTGCCCAATGAATTACAGACTTCCTTCTTTGGGCTAGCGGATTCTGTATTAACGCATTGGAAATGAAACTCATAACATATAGTCTTTTTTAATTGGACTATATGATCTGTATCGAGTGTCTCACATCCTGTTAAAATCAACTTCATGTCCGTGATTTATTGTGCCGTTCGAAAATTATTATTTTTTTTTAGGAAAGAGAATTTTCCAACGGATAATTTAAATGTTTCCATTTGTTTTTATTTCCTACCTTTCAAGATATGATTCATTAAATAAAGTGAGGCGGCTGCGTATAGATTTTATCTGACTTTTCCCACATTCGACAACTAGCAGTGTCTTGTTTTTCTCACGAGTTAATTTTTTGTGTGTACTAAATTGTACCTTTTTAAGGTTTTCTGAAATGACTCAATCATGTTCACTAGTTTGATTTGTCGCTGAGTTCATATCGTTAGAATTGACCTTTTTTTTTTTTAATATCAAAGGGTAACCATAATGTTTAGTCAGGGTCAGGATGGGGTTGCTATTTACAGTTTTGGAGATTCGGGCGACACTTTCCTAATCCTCATTTGTGATCTTGCAGATCGAGTGGACATTCACGTAATTTATCAAACTTTAAATATAGAATGAATGGCTACACTCACCATTGCATGACATTCTATACAGTGACAAGTGTAAATGCAGATAAATTAAACAAAGTGCATAGCATCGGGTTATTTTTCAAATCTGGATTAAGGATTTAACTCCATGCAATCATGAAACTTTTTTTTGTCTCTGCCTTGTTTTTTATTTAAAAAAAAATGTCATGTCATTGTCTTTATTACCCTCCCCTCCAGTCACGCCATGTCTTAAATTAACTACATTTATAGACTTCAAGATTTGTTTTCATATCTTCGTTTACTGTTGAGAGCGCTTACATAACTGGATATGTCACTTTAATTCATTATTAAACATTATGTAGATATAAAAAAAAGAAGTTTTTTCGAAGAAAAGAGTATAAAATTTATTTTATGATATAATAGTTATTAAAAGTACAAGCTAGATGGGGGTATTTACAAAAGAGAGGGGTGAATCATGACTGTCGGTTGAAGGGAATTTTAAAAGGCTGCAATTAACTCCTTGATCGATTCGATTGTACCGAAAACCAAACCCACAATACCAAGAACCATCACGAGGAAACACCAGGCAAGCTCATAGATGGGCTTGTTACGGACACCCGTGAGCTTCAGATAAAAGACAACAGGGAAAATAAAGATCAAGGCACAGTTGGCAAAAGAACCAATAAGCGACATCAATTCTCCAAAATGAGGAACGACACATGCAACAACGCCAATAAATGCCATGGTAGCAACTCGGATACTGGCACGGATTAAAAATTCCTTGACCTTGCCATAGCGTTCGACTGTGATATTGCACATTTCTTCAATATCAAGAGAGAACGAGGTAGTCAGGATAGGAGCTGCCATCAACACGTGAATAGTAATAACAACAATAGCAACCAACTGTGCGGCATTGGGAGGAATAGAATCGTAAATGGGGCTCATGACCTTTTGACCATAAACCAAATAACCAGAGACGGCGGTAACAAAATACATGGCAGCACACGTACTAAGTCCAGCTGCAACAACCTTGGGCCAATCGCGAGGGTTCTTCATGGAGGCTTCAACATGAGGATATACTACATTACCACCGAAACTGAAAGAAATCGTACTTAAAGCAATAGGAAACATGTTCCAAACGACAGAGTTGTGCTGGACATCAATTTGTTTAGGTTTATCAATGGCAGACATAACCAAGACGATAATGACAACAATCACAGTAGCAAGAGCACCAAATGCACTCATCCATGCAACTTCCTTCATTGTCTTGACCAAAATAAAAGGAATGGCAACAATAACACAGCAGATGATGGTCCAAGGAACGTGGCCGATTTCACCAGCAGTACCTTCACAAAGTTGATTTAAATTAGTACCAGCAAGAACCATATAAAGAATGGGAGCGCCCAAAAGAATCCAAGCATTGAAGAAGAATGTGACCCAACCACCAATCGCACCAAAAGCTGTGGTAGCCACTTCCTTGTAAGTAGTCAAACGAGTCTTACCATTGGCATAAAGACAACGGATTAAAATGATACCAGTGTAGATGGACATGCTCCAGGATAAAACGAGAATGAAAAGACCAATCCAACCACCTTGCTTTAAAGCAGCAGGCAAACCAAGTGTGCCTGTACCAGCAACAACGCATACAATATTGAAATATGCCATCTTTGACGAACCAGCGTGTTCGCGATTGATATCAATGATGCCTTCATTAGCATACTCGAACTCACGTTCACTTGAGACATCATTTACAGACTCTTGGAATTCGGATTTCTTTTCGTGAAGAGAAGATGTCATTTATAAGTGTAAAATAAAAAAGAAAATGTAAATTTGATGGATCTTGTATAAAAAAAACTAATTGCTCTCTATTTATACTAATTTGATCTTTCTACCCTATAAAAAGTCGGACCCAATGAAAATGAGCATAGCTATATTTAGGCAGGTATGGCATTTGGAAAGTCATATGCTCTCTTGGAAGCTTATCTTGTTTATTACACAAATAAATTTGTATTGGATCATTTCATCCAGATTGATTTGTGTCACAACCAATAAGCGCTTTTTTTTGCGACTCAGGTTTCCATCTGTACCCTTCTTGGTTTTTTTAATAAGAGAATTAACCATTAGAAGTAACAGGAATTACAAAGACCGATTTATTGTTCCAAGACATGTTACTTTGGGCGGTTTGCTTTGCATTTTTTCTATCATTATAGCACTTCTTATCTTCTATCTAATCGTATCTGCACAACGATAGAGACATCTCACAAAATCTATTTCAAATCGGTTTAATCGTTCAAAACATAGATTGAGTTTTCTCACGAACACTTAACATAGTTCAAAGGGGTGTAACCAATGCCAAAAGTAGCGGTCTTCAAAAGAGGGTAAAAACCCAAAAAATACCCAATGGGGGCGGGTCTTTTTTTTTCAAGGGGCGTTTTTTTTTTCTACCATTGTATCAAATAAGAATGGCGGATTTAGAAATGTTTCATATCAATATTATCACCCGTTGCTACAAATCTCATTCACCCAAAGGCATAGCCATTAATTAAGACACGCACTAAAAGGGAAAGCATTACCGAACTAGTGAATAGAATAGATAACTAGGAAGGATTGGCTCATCAACAAAGTAAAATTATTCTATTCTGGGAGTGATCAAGTCTTAAATGCATCATAGTAATGGGGGCCTCAAAATTATATTCTTATCCAAAAGGCTGGTCTTTGATGATGTATCTTTACGGAAAACCTATCAATTTAGTTAACTGTACCATCAAACATTTAGGACGAAAAATGTAAGGCACTGCGAAAGACGTAAATAAGTATCAGTTACTCTCCTGATCCAATTTGCTTCTCAAGTTCTGTTAGCCATTTTGAACAAACATGGCTCGACAGTCTGTTAGATATATGCTCTTGGCATTTTTTTCTGTGCTATATTTTAATTACGTATATGATTTCTTTTGGGTTTATTTGGCTCTAGCTCAATTGGGTACGCGTTTTGATAAAAAGTTTTGGTTTTGGGTAGTACTATTTCATAATGATTTATGAGCGTAGCATTTTCATTGCTAGCCATTAAAACCCCCACCTTTTAGTATTGCTTCGGATTGTATCTCTTGGATGAGATTCATGGCCGTCTGAATTAGTAGTGATCAATAGCAGATCACATGTGCATGTACAATACCGATCTTATATGCCAATTTAAGTAATTTAACTTACAAGAGACAGGCGATGGGTTTAAATGATCATCCAACTTTTTGTATTGTTGCTTATTCTTTGTGTATATGTTATATGTGCGGAGAAAATATTTAGTGTGTCCGTGAATGTTATGGTCCTGTTGTGGTAATGGGGGCTGATGAATAAGAGCATGTTTCTGTCAGGCGTGATAAATATTAAGCTATAACACCCGTAATGATGTATTATATTTCCACACCACCCGTTATAATGACAAATACATCGTGTAAATAGCAAAACTCCTATACCCAGTGCTACCTATGAAAGGGCCATCCCGAATCATACAATTTTTTTTTAAATGACTCAATAGTTAACAAACACTTTGATATACTGAGTTGTAAATTATGTCTTTAATATTGCTGCACCCTATCCAGTACACCGAGTTGAGGAATGAAGTAAAATACTCTTCAGGGTCGTTTTGTAATAAACAATCATAAACAGATCGCTGTTTTTTATTTATTTATTGATTGATGGTAGTTGGACAAGTTTATTGTAAATAAATGGCACTGTCAAGTACTTTTGATAACAGGATTACTTTACATCACTCCATAATATTTGTCACAATTGTGTACCCTGTTAGTGTTGTGTAAATTATTTTGTGGCCGATTTGATCGTATCACCTATCTGGTTTAAAATATATATAAAAAAAAAATCAAATTCTGCGTGAGAATATTGAGATTTAGCTGGTAATATAAAATTACGCACTTGGGTGACATAAGAACACGTCTGATGGGAAGGGTTTACTAAACGAACTTTTTTACAAATAAAAGGGGCTTTCGGGCTTTTATCCCCGGGGGTAACAATTTCTATAATTGAAAAGTTGGGGTGGGCAGATTGTATTCGTCATGTGCATGATATGAAACGAGCACTCCGACGTAAAAGGCAAATACCCCATACTGTAAAAACTGGGCTGCTTCGTTGAGAACATTACGGTGTTTGAATGTATGCACGCTATCCATTGGTGCACTGTAAATGAGAAGTTCCTAGATGAGTCTTGGATGGTAAATCCGATTAACCTTCTATAAAGCAAGTTTTTTTTTTCTTAAGCTACCAAATAGCCACTCTTAGAATATATATAGGTAGAGCTAATGGCATAAAGTTCCTCACTTGCTTTTGTAATTGTAACAGTGATTGCCATTTTAAAACTTTATAAATATAGTACCCCATACTGGATTACCCACGGTGTCACTATAAACAGGTAGCTCGCAACATTAATAGGATATAAAACACAGGCACTAAAACTATATAGACCGTTTTTTAAAAAGTAAATAATATACGGTATATTTAACGTAAAGAGTAAATAACAATTAAGTAAATAGACATTCAACACATGTTTTATAAGAAGACGGCAGAAACTGTTTATTCATAAGGATCGCTTCAAATGGAAATTTGACAATCGAGGCTATTTATCTCTTCATCCTAACGTAAGATATCTTGTTTTGGAAAATAGGGATCTGTTCCGGTAAGTAATATTATGTTTTACGTATTTCCATAAAAGCCTTGTAGCTTAACGTATTTTAGTGAATTAATAATGCACTTTGATTTTTCTGCTGACTTAACTTCATTCAAATGGCCTTATACGTATTTCTTTTGACTTCAGAATAACTGTTCCTCTGTTAGTTCTACAGGTAGACATATATATTATTGCTGTAAGGCATCCGTATTTGTTGTATTACGCCTCATTTCTCCTTTGATCGATGGGTTATTTGGTCCCTTCAATTCTTCTTTATTCAACATTTAATCAATGACATCGTATTTAAGAGTATCTTCTGATGATAAAAAAAATCTATTACATGTTTCCGCAAGCTATTCGCTTTGTTCTAATGCTCAGGATTGTTTTTTATGTGATCTGGTGTAATCTTATTTATATTATTTGCTTACTGCGATACTCATTTTGAAGATATTTACACTAAATGAAGGTTATTACTATGATACGCATCAGTAGGATAAACCCTAAATATCAAAGTGATAAAAACATGTGATTTCAGGTCAATATTTTATCAATACAAGTGGAAATGCTGGGATAAAATCTCATTTGCAGCAAGGTTTGCTTCCGTGCTTTTTCTATCGCCAATAAATTAGCGTTGGTCTCAGCGACAGAGCAACTGTGAAGCCAAACAAAGACATAATATAGTACAAATTTTTTTTTGATTGATTTAGGTGATCATATCTCCTTCAGTATAAAAATATCAGAGCAAAATATGAAATACCATCTATCAAAATTCGTTTTGAGCTATAGACATCTCAAAAACCATCGGTGGTCATTGCCTGTCATGGATACTTGATTTCGTTTCTGTCAAGATATATGACATTTAACACAATAATAAAGAAAAAACTTATAAGTTACCCTAATGATGCTGCCGCTTCCAAAGAGAGAAAGGGGCAATACCACAGTAGCACATACGTGTCATTACCGTTGCACACTTCATGATTCCGTTACACCCATATTTAGGACGTACAAAGGCTCGACCCGTGTTGATAAAAATCAAATTTACAAAGAAAAATTAAGATTTTAATACATATAATATTAGGGGTAACTCTTCTAAAAAAACACAAGAAGTTTAAGGGTGATATTTACAAAAAGGAAAAACGAACTTGAATGAAATATGATAGAATTTAAGCTCCATAATCATTAATTAATTCCTTGATTGCTTCCATAGTACCAAAGATCAAGCCAACAAGACCAAGGAGGAAAATCAAGAAGCACCATACAAGTTCATAAATAGGTTTGTTACGGATGCCGGTAATCTTTAAGTAGAAAACAACAGGGAAAATAAAAACCAAAGTACAATTACCAAAGGCACCAATCAAAGACATCAATGTACTGAAATGAGGTACAGTACAAGCAATAACTGTAATGACTACCATAGTGAGAATACGAACAATAGCACGGATGATGAATTCTTTGACTCTTCCGAAGCGTTCGACAGTAATATCAAACATGTTTTCGATGTCGAGAGAGAAAGAAGTGGCATAGATAGGTACAGTTACTAAAACATTAACGGTAATGACCACAATGGCAATAGTTTGACCGACACCTGCGGGAAGACTGTTGTAAACAGGACTAGCAACGTCGCTACCATAAACAAGATAACCACTGACGGCAACAATGAAATAAAGAGCAGCACAAGTAGATAAACCTAAAGTAGCAACCTTGGTCCAGTCTTGAGGTTTCTTCATGGCAGCTTCAACATGAGGGTATGTGACATTACCACCAAATGAGAACGCAATAGTAGCCAATGCGACAGGGAACATATCCCAAATAACAGCATCATGGTGAGAAGGTGCCATTTTAGGCTTCTCCATAGCAGACATGATTAAAACGACGAAAACAACGATAAAGATAACAACAACACCCAAAGCACTAATCCAGGCAACATCCTTCATGTTCTTGACTAAAATAAAAGGAATGGCGACAGAGCAGGCACAGATGACAGTCCACTGAATATGTCCAATTTCAGCGACAGTACCTGCACAAAGTTGATTCATATTGGCGCCAGAAAGCACTAAATAAAGGACAGGTCCACCCAAAAGAAGCCAGGCATTGAAGAAGAAAGTGATGTAACCGCCAACTTTGCCGAAAGCCAAAATAGCGATTTCGGTATACGTAGTGAGACGAGTTTTACCGTTGGCGTAAAGGCAACGGATCAAAAGAACCGAGGTGTAGACAGACATGAACCATGACAGGAACAAAATCAAAAGACCAATCCAACCACCTTGTTTTAAAGCAGCGGGGAGACCCAAGATACCTGTACCGACAACAACACAGACAACATTAAGATAAGCCATAAATGAAGAACCAGCTTCGCTACGATCGATATCTACAACACCACCTCGTTCGCTTCCAAGCTCAAAGTCATGTTCTACAATAATTATAAATTTAGTAACCTGTCAAAATGTGTGAAACATGTTGAATATTACCTATTGAACCAACAACAGACCGGTTGTCAATGTCCTTGATTTCGATCATGGAGCTTTTCTTTTCCAGTTGGGACATTTTTGATGTATTTTTTTAATTTTTTGAAAAAAACAAAAAGTAATTAGAAAAAAAGAGTAGAGGGAAAACTCGTACAATTTCATTTAACATTCGTCCTTTAAATAGTGGCGGATATTGTAATAATATGAAACTAAAAAAATATTTTTCGACGTTTTCTATTTCTATTTGAATTTGTTTATTTAATTGGTTCTGCTGATGAGAGAAGAAAGTTTTATAGGTTCGTATAGAATGGATTTTAAATCAATTTTATCCTTGGTAGCTCGAATAAACTCTGGAAAATTCAACAGATATTTGTATGTGACACAAATAAATTTTGCCCCCAATCCTGGTGGCTTGTTTCGAATGGCCTTGCACCATTCCCTATTACTTGGACTCTTAGTTGAAATAAACTTTGCATATAAATTCTTAGATTTCTAGCCTTCTAAACTTTGCCGGCAGTCAAAAACGATAAGCATTCCCTTATATGTAAGAGTACAGCGCAAAGTACCACACATGACAAAGAATACCAGGTTTCGATTCTTGGGATATGTTTAGTACTCCGAATAAACGTTCCTACTTGTTCCATTCAACAGGAAAACTCTTTCCATTGGAACATTGATCTTATTCCAATAAGAAAAAACCAAGGCATGTTGCTCTTAATTTTTGTAGGCCCCATAATCATTGCTACTGCCTTATGTTTTCGGGTTGGTGTCACTCAAAATTTCGAATTGCAGAATCAGTTCTGGCAACTCGGAAAAAAAAACTTTTTTTTTTCTACATTTTAATCAGCGTGACAAATGAATTTGCTACCCTTTATTAGCACTATAAATAAAATGCTTCAGTTTGTACCACGTGCCGTCTTATTGGATACTTGGATCTTGCGAATTTTTCTGGGAGAGGAAACGAATTAGGGCATAATAAGACGGAATTTTTCTAATGGAAACAGAAAGGCTAGGGAAACAATTCACACAAATTTCGATGGCCCTATAGTGAAAAATTATATTCTGATTCACGCATAATTTTATATGGTGTGGTATCGAAATCCTTATTTGAGTTTAGTATATGTTCTCGACATATTTCGCGAAAATGCCCTTTAAAATATTTATTTGCGCGACTATTTTTCACCCTAGGTCTTTTTCTTTCTTTTAAAAACCTACTTACATTAGCAATTGACATATAATAACTTTATCTTGTATGCTTTTATGTGTTAAGTATGTCTTCCTATCACTACATGATCTGATGCTCGTGGATAGAATTATCTATTGAACGTTTTCTCCCGAGGTTTCCCAAAATATCGATTTAGGCGCAGATATGTAATTAAGGTTATTCGATATTTTTGTCACACGAGCTGCAAATCACTTCGCGAACCGGAAAAAAAATTGAGAAGAGAAAAAGAGTGAATAGCTTGTAAAAAAAAGGTTTTAAAGCCATAAATCTGCGAGCAATAAATAAAAATACATATTTTTTGAATTTATTACCAGAGATTATATAAAACTGAATAGTTAAATCGAAGGATTTTGACAGCGTCGAGATCGGCAAAGGTCGGAACGTATTGGGGATGAATATTTTAAGAGAACTATCCGCTTGTTTAAATTAATCAGTCGGCTACAAGACATTTGTAGTTGCCTGCCTGCTCTCGTGCTAATTGGTTTATGGTATAAAATTTATTTAAATCTGTCCCGTGATACTTTGAAATAAGAGTAACTATGTAAACAAATTTGTGATTCGTATGTTGTGTCATACTTGGATGATCGATAGCTTAAATTTCACTTCATAAATATCACAAATCGCAAAAAATTTATTTTTTAAGACAAAGATTATGAAGTTTTGGGTTTTAAAGAAAGTTTATTTTAAAATAAATGGGTTTTATACAGTTATCAATACCATGAAAGATGTTTTTTAAAAAAAATATTCACAAATTTATGTGGCGAATGCGTTACGAGCTTGTTCAAAAGCTAAATTGATAGTATCAATATACGATTGAAGGCTGGATTTCTTGGATTCGGGGGTAAAGTTAATAAGACAGGTATCCACGCTTTGAGTACTCTCCTCCAGATCTTTAATACGAATTCTCAAAATAGCTCTTGTAAAGATATTGTAATCACCCTTCTTTTGAGAAATGGCAGTCAAAACTTCTTGTACTTTGGGTGTAATATTACCTAAGACACCGGTGACATAATCAGCATCAGGCTCAGAAATAGCAACGTTAATAGCACAGCAAGATCCTTGAGCAGCCTTAACAGCGTCTTCAAGTCTGTCGTAATTGATGCTGGTATCAATAATACCACCGGTTTGGATCTACAAGTTGGTAAAAGGCTATTAGTACTTAGTTCTTCCATATGTATATTGTTTGAACACGTACAGAAGGTTGCAAAATATTGATTTGGGTAATGACATTATTTAGGCTGCTAACACAACTCTCCACGTTGGCAGCTGCTCGCTTATGGATAGTAGCAGCATTGGTTACTATGAAAGTTGATATGTTAGTCAGTATTTATGCTAACACCATATTATGCACATATTATTACCAGAAAGGATGATAGAACAAACAGCGACAAGAGCAAAAAAGAAATGCATTTTATGTTAGATGAATCGAAATATGAAGAAGTGATAATTTGAAAAAGTTGGCTCCTTTTGAGGCTGTATTTATAGCTATTCTGATGGATACGTTTCGCTTCTCCAGACTTGATTTGTAAAAAGAAGGCTGGGTAAAAATAAACATTCATTATGTGTGTTGAATGGCTTAGTGAAATATATATGGTCGTACAAAATTCTCAGCAAAAATGCTTGGGTCCAATGACATCCAAAAGCTTAGCATCAAGAAGCTGAAGACATATTCGAACCTTTCAAAGTACATTCGTGGCTTTTTCATCTCATGAATTATACACTGACTATTAAATAAAACGATTTATTACAATCAAAAGACACATTAAAGATACAAACGGGAGAAGTAAACAAAATTATGTGCTTACCGAGACAGTTCCAAAACGCTTAAAAGGCCACATAAGCAAAATCATAAGAAACATTACTATTTTTCGACTAACCAATTGTAATCAATCCACATCATGATCGATGATACAAATAGTCTAAACTTTATATTCCGAAATTGCTCAGACTGCATAATAATCTATGCCAATAAAGAAATGAACAAACTTTTTATCATTCATTGTAAGCAACGCCACAATGATAATAAGTGTAATTTCACCTTTGCTCCTTCTTATAATTAATGTCTTTATACTAAATTATAGGCATCATATGTGGTTCGGTATAGAGAAAATTCCCAACTTAAACATACAAAAATATGTGCTTGGTATAGTTTCTTTCGTATGGTGCTCATATAAATATCTGACAGACCTTAACGTTCTCATTGTAGGTTGAGTGCCACATTATATTTTTAGTAAAGGGCTGAGGTACCTGTATGGAATTCGGTAAAGTTATTTAATAAAGTAATCGCCTTTTTAAGATACTGTTTTCAACAACCATGATGCTAGCTGAAACTATAAATAATAATTAAGGTTTCCGGTCCAAAGCACAACTCTTGGGTGCCATTGTTATTGGAACACGAATAAACAAAGCATGAAAAGCGTATCCGCGAGTGGCTTATTTCCAGAAAGTTGAGAATGTCATACTTAACCTTTTTGGCAGCATCCAGGTAATATGTATAATTTTTACTCTCTAGGTTTGCTTAGGGCATCGCTACACTGAAAAGAAAAGAAAAATCATGTAACTCGACGCCTTAATGTTTAAATTATAGAAACTGTGAGGCTTATTTTGTAGTTTAACAAGAGTTTATTTCGACTACAATATTTAGTTTCTTAAGGCATATTAATCTGCCGTATGCAATCTGTTTAAAAGTTCATACACTTTTATTATTATTAGTGACCTTCAATGCCCTAAGCAAAGATGTGTGATTTAACCTTTGTTACGTAAGACAAAAATCGTGGTTTATCTTAAAAAAGGAGTCAACATCTCGTGTGTTAAAGATTTTTGTAAACTCTTTCCAAACTGTAGTATGACATGATACAAAGTTAACGAAGCTTTCGGTCACAAGAGTTTCTTTGTAATTTTGATGTGTGCATACGAGAGGCTGTTATAACAGCTTGGGATAGTGCCACTAGGCATCGTAGCTCTTGTTCCTCGCACTTATAAGGAGGTATATGTACTGTTATTTTTTTTTGCTGAAGGTCTAGTGAACCGTCCAAGAAGGGAAGGAAAGGAAGGTGCAGCTCACTCATGAATTGGATGGTAATGAAATTACACGCATATTTAAAGAACGATCATGTCTTTTTAATTTGCTGGGGTTAAAGGGAAATTTTTCCTTCAGATGTAAGCAGTCCAATTGTGCCGTAAAATGATTGGGTGGAGGTTAAACGTGACAGCTATGAAGAAAATTTTTACAAGGATGAAAAAAAAAGATATAAAAGACAGACCAGGATGCAAATTTAAAAATCTACACCTTCTACTTGATTAGACTAAAGTTTTGGTAAGTTTCAAATTTCTTAATTTAATGATGCATTGGATGGTACATAAAACAACTTGTGGGAAGATGAAAAACAACATTGTCTTCATTTTATCTTATCGACCATGATGATATAAACCGCAGTGCTTCGCTGAGTGCTGTTGATACTTGCCAGTATAACTTCCTGACCACATCTTGTTTTATTTATTGTTTATTGTATTCTTTAAAGACTCGTTCTTGTAATATATATATTAATATTTTATTTTTTCTTTATAGAATTATGTTCTCTTCTTTATGTCTTAATCATGTCTCGAATGTCAAGAAATAACTTAAAAGGTAAAGTCTTAACAGTTTTTTCTATCATTTGTAAAAGAATGGTCTCATATGATGATGAAATCCCGTGTTCGCAGTTTTCCCTGGAGAGACTTAGTCGTGGTTAGTATGACTGATACATGGGAATTGAAGCGAAGCTTGCTTTGTGGATTGAACCTTGCTTGACTGTCAGAAACCCCTCTCAATGTCGGCAATGACACTTCCTTGGATGTCTGATGAGTCATTCTTTACAAATTTTAAAAAAAAAGTTTTTCGTAAATTTTTTTTCGTTTTACTAATATTTCATTATTTCTTAATAGTTTGTCTGTATTGACTTTCTCTTTTTTTGTTTCTTGGCATTTGACGGTTGGGATATTAGTTTAGTCATTTGTCATTTAATAAATCAAGAGGGTTAAAATCCTCCTTTTTCAAAATATTCTTATTTCTGTTTCCTGAATTTTTTTTTTTGTTGTATTACGAATTTTTCTCAAATGATGAATTTTTTAATTGCATATTCTGGCATCTCTAATATCAATATGCTTCCGTCCTCGGACCGAGGCATATAATGTATTCAACTTATATTCTGATAAAATTCGTAAACACAAAAAAGAAGTTTCTTGAAATAGTCATAGTTTATTATAATTACAATAAAAAAAATTAAAAAAAAAACTGTTCTCTCTATTTTGTTTGTTAGTGGCTTTTGTGGTCATTTTTTCTTTTACTTGAATTTTTCGTGTCGTTTTCCCGGACAACCAAAATAAATTGTAGTGTTTTGGCCCTTTTCATAAGGACATGGACATGTAGCTGCTAAACCTTAGAAATGTTGGACTGAAACAAAGAACTGCATTTCTCTTGACATAAGCAAAACCCGTGTATTACCAAGCCAAGTTTATAGTGGCTCTCCATCGAGCCTTATCGATCGACACCTGTGACAATTCATTTTGTGTAATGCCAATTTAATCAGATTTCAAGATATAAACAAAACTAGAACGTAGTGCGATAAAAGCGATGGTTAATATCATCTGTCGTTTGTAAATATCCCCGATACTATTTTTTGACATCGGTGTCATCATAAACTTGCTTTAAACATGGTTTACGTTCGTTTTTTAACAAAACGTTTTGTCATAATTGGCCAAGCTATTACTGGAATAAAGCAAGATTGAGATATCGTAATGAACGCCTACACAAAATGTAAATGTTTGTTGATACAATGATGCACAATGCAATCAATGACGTAAGGGACTTGATAAAATAAGGGATTATGACGTATAAGACGCCATCTTGTGTTATCTAATGAGTGTAGCTGTCATCAATATGGATGCTTCACAATTTGTGTGCATTTTCTATATCTTGAATAGTCTGCAATCAGACCTATAAATTAAGGCCATAAATAATCAATTATATTTATATAAACAGACGGTCCAGAACTCAATTTTATTGACTGGTTAAGAAAGCAGTCAATGGGAAACTTTGACAAGCTCATGACTACAACATCACTTGCCAAGCTAATTGTTTCAAGCCATGACCAGTCGTATTCATTAAATTGGTGATCTGTTATGTTAAAAACAGAAAATTATAGTTTATATATGTGTATGAACATAGCGTGTACTTGAAAAAAAAGAAAAAAAAAGAAATGAATATATTTGCTAGATCATTAAAAAAAAATTACCTTTTTGTTTGACCATAGTCTGTTTGTTTGTATGACCAAAAAGTAATATACAATTTTTCGTCCACAGGGTGATTTATAAACTGTTCGGAGAATCTTTTGAACAATTGTGTTTCTTTCCTCTTAAAAAATTTCTAACGACAAAAAATGAATCTCACACTTATATTTAGGGCTGCCAACATTGTTGCAGCAGCCTTCATGATCATCGGTGGTGTCATGACTTGTATCGCAGGAGGTATAATCAGATATATTGTAGTGTAATACCAAACTTTAATACTGTTTATGATAATTCTAGGTTTTCCCAACTTTATTCAGGGTATTTTCGTCATGTAAACAGCAAGAGAATATCGTCTTTTACTACATCGTGCATATGCTAAATATGTACTTTCTATAGATTGTTCGGTATTATGACAGCTATATTTGAATTTAGATTGCCAGCTATGATCACCCAATTTGCCTCCTTTATGTTCTCTTTCCTGGGCCGTGGTGTTTGTAAGTAGATATTTCTCTGAATCATTAGCAAGAAACTTACTCTGTTGTTTATTAGTTTATATTTTGTAAGATGACTATTTTTTATATTCCCATGTTTTACTAAGCGACATATGTAGCATTGGTTGTATCACACTCAATTATAATGGATTAGGGCTTGCCTCTGGAATTATAGTAAGTGTTATGCCAGATGTACCAAAAGCTTTTTTATTAATCAAATTGATTAAGGTTCTTGTGATTGGTGTTGGATTCGTAGTACTTCAATTTACGCATATTGAAGCCCCATCTAATATGCAAAAGCGTGCGTATGAAGACGCTGTTGGATATTCTACTCAAATCGGTGATGGCACTTCACCCACAGGAGCTGGCTTTGGTCAAGATAGTTTCTCTCCAACCAGTGCTGGAAATCCACAATATCCTACAGCCAATTATGCCAGCCCCGGTGCAGTTTAAACACAATTACAAAAAAAAACACTCTTTTATCACTTATAAATAAATTCCTCTACCTTTTTAATTGCTGTAAATCTACTGTTTTTTATTTCTAAATGGCGAGAATATCTAATCCTCGAGATTGTTACCATCACCACCGAAAACACCCTTACGATAATGCTCACGTTGTTTTCTTAACCAAGCTCTGTAGCCACGAACAGATTGAATTTTCTCACCATAGTAGTCGGGAACAGGGTTACGGATAGAATTAAGACGAGCATCGGCACGATTCTTTTTGATATGCTCAAAAAACTCCTTATCACGAACATCCATAGCATGAGCAACCTTACCGTTCATCAATTTAAAGAAAGTGTTGCCAACAATAGGACCTAATAAAAAGCCACCAAAACCCTAATTCAAAAAAAAAAAGGTAAGCCTTTTCATGTGCCAATGTCATTTTTTGTTCACTTACAGCACCAATGGTACTGGCTACAGCTGCCATGAGAGGATCCATGCCGAGAACTTTTGTCAAGGGATCAACTTGCATTTGAAGAAAATAAGCAAATGTACCGGCAGCAGGAGCGACTGTGGTAGGTAAATAGAAGGCAACTTCGTAAGCTCTTCTCTTCTTTCTTAACTTGAAATAATCATCCCAAGTAGGAATAACGGCTTGTGTTGAAGCAGTGCTATTCAAACGAACTTGGCTTGATAAAAAGGGTCTCAGTAATTGAGATCTGATTGGTGACAAGGCCATTTTTTATTTGGTGTGTATGTGTATATTTAAAGAAGAAAAAAGAAAAATAATTTTTTCAAGCTGCTAAAAGAATGACGTTGGCAGTGGTTTGGGGGAACTTGAATTGTGTTTTTTTTTTTTTTTGGTTTTTTCAATATTCTCTTTCTCTTTTCTTTCTCCATTGAACCTACTTGAAACAATAACCTTTTTTTATTGAAACAAAATGAATATGAAATAAAGAAAATAAAGAAGGGAAATGTCTACTTTTGTATTTGCACCAAGTTGGGTTACTTATCCAAACCATCCTAAAAGTAAGAGTGATATTTGTTGTTGTGTTATAGTCTGTTTAACTTATTTGAACAACAGGTCTAAAAGAAGAAGCTGACGAATTTCCTACATTGATCAGCCATTCTAAGAATATTAATACAAGCAACAAGAAAGAAAATAATGTATGGTCAAACCCTTCCTTGATCCAGAAAATCCATCACGAAGAGGAGGAAGAGGTTGATTATGAAGAAAATAAATATGAACTGGAAAGATTAAAAGCACTTGTGCCAAAGACAAGGAAATCAGTAATCAACTCTTCTTCAACTTCAATACCAAGGAGGAATATCAGAATAAAAAGAAAAATTGTTAAACCAAAAGAACCTCTGATCACTTCAAAATTGCCACCACCACCGCTATTACCATCGCCACCACTATTACCATCACTACCATCAGAGCCACCACTATTGCCACCACTATTATCAGAGCCGCCTCCGCCAGCTCAAGTTATCAAATCTCTGCCAAAATATTACATATCAGAACAAGAACAACAACATTTCATCTATTTTATCAAGGCATGGACCTCGACCGGAATTATATCCACTAATAATATTTACAATAGAGATTATTCTTATTTCAGTAATATCAGCAGTAATAGTAGCCACACAAGCAACAGCAGCGATACTAGCTTTCAAAGCGATGCAACTTTGTATACAAGTAATTCTTACTTTCATCACGACCCTTTTTAACATTTTATAAACACATACATTTTTATAAAGATAGGTTAGCCAATCTTTATTTCTTTACGTAAAAAAACGGACGAAACTGGGATAATTAATATGCCTGTATTCGTCTTAAAAGGAATGTACAATTTTACCTCTCTACTAGCAAACAAGTTCCTTTAAAATTGCATATTTTTACTGTGGCGTTGCTTTGCTCATCCCCCTTCTAGAAAATGCACCTTTTTAAACAAGTGGGCTGCTTTTTAAAAATAAAGACACGAATGTGTAACAAGAGAAGAAAAAAAAACCAGATGGCTAAAAAAAAACTTTTGTAGCTTGGAATAGATGTCACTAAGAGTGAGCATCTTTATTTTTTCTTTCTTCCTTTGGTGTTTACAAACATTGTAAAATAGCACTGATTTATCACAAAGAGAAAAACTAGTGCGTGCGTGCTAGGTTTACGAACATGAAGGTTTAACCGGATCCCATTTGTTGAATGGGAGGGGGGAACCGGACTGTGCACCGTTACTTATTGACAACACCATCAAAGTAGAGGGGGGGGGGGGGAGGGAATTGATTGCATTATTGTCCAATTGCATAAATGAAATAAAATTCTATTGTTCGTATGGAATAAATAAGAAGAAGGGCACTTGTCTTTTTACATTTGGTCTGTTTTTAAATAAATCATGATTTTGAGGATCGCCCCGTTATCAGTTGTACTAAAATCTATTGGCTCAATTTTCTGAAGTCTGAGAAACGCTACCCAAAAAATCCAGAAATTAAAAATAGGTGTCACCGTATCAGAATCGTGAATCCAACAGCTTTTATTTGTTTGAGTTGAAATGTTCTGTTTACATAAAACTACGGCTAGATAGAACATGATGTATTATTTCAACAATTGCAAATGATACGCTTATGTTTGTGGTATGTTGAGAGGTACGAGAATGTTTTAAGCTTTACACTAACCTTTTCAAAATCACAAAAAAAAAGTTGTCTCCCATTCTTTAAGTTTACATTTTTCTCCCAAACCAAAACAATAAATAATACTTCTCCGGCATTATTTTCCTTTTTCTTTCTTTCTTATTCCCCCATCCCCCCAAAAAAAAAGATGACTGTGTATTCATTACTTGAGGAAGTTGCTCCTCCAAAGAGACATCATACTAGACGATGGCAAATCGGATTTCTAATTCTAGGAAGTCTTGCGATTGTCGCCGGTGTTATTTTGGTACGACGTAATCAACAACAAGATGATACTCTTCTGGATAAAACTGACGACCAGAACATCACAGTTCCTGTTCGATCCATTAATTTCACTATACCCAATCAAGATAAGCTATATTACGTGGATCTCGATAAATACCCTGTTGAAGACAATATGATTAAGCTATTTGCTACATCACAAGCAACTTTACAATCTTTAATTATCGACAAGCTATCCCACAAAAAGCAAAATGGAAATTGGACCGATGACTGGTTAGCTCAACCCAATAGCAACACCAATTATGCTTGTGATAGTCAATTACTTCCTTACCCCATTTTACGTAAGATTGTTGCTGAATATACACCACTGAAAAATTCAGATGCACTCTATGATGTCGAGACAAACATCGATTTTTCAAAACCTTTTGTTGTCTTGCCATTTTCAAAGCAACCAAATTTAATTCAGGGGCAAAAGGTGTGCGTTCGTGTGGTGGTCCCTTATCAAAATATTGCGGGCAATGATACATATCACTTACTGTATAGACCTTATGATCACAACAATCAAAGATTGACCTCTCCGTGGTGGGATACCATGATGACAACCCTGGAAAATATTGATACAAACGCCACTTTACCCATTACTTTACAACCTTGGTCCGGACATGCTCTTCTCCGTAATAACGCCCGAGAATTAAATCATGTCAACAATCAAATACCTGAATGGAGTCGCTTACGTGAAGACGAAATCTATGAACGAGAAAAAATGCATGTGTATGAAGCTACCGTCACACTTCCTCCAAACGGTACATACCAATTACAGAGTTTATTAGAATTCGTGGAAGGAAGATACAATTTCGAGTTTGGTCCCGTATCACCTTATAAGCCCGTCAATTTACCCGTGTACCCTTCAGACAGTAAACAAATCATTATTGGATCACAAGACAAAGAATCCATTGAACAAAAGCAATTAAAAGAGCATTTGGCTTTGCCACTCTGTAAAGGTGCTGATAATGCCGGAAGGTGGTTACCCTGGCCTAGAATTAATTCAACCGACAGTGATTATGCATCCAAAGAAGATTTACATTTAATTGCAGGTCTAACTCGCAATGGAAAGTATTGGGCCCCTTATCAATGCAGATACCGACATATTTCTTATGAACAATTTAACCGATGCGCTGCAAATAAATACTCAAGAGGAATAGATCTTTATGGTGATTCAAACATAAGAAGATCCGTCAAGAAGTTTGTTAGTCATGGTCAATGGTGCAAAAATTGGGAACATCATATTGATACTCCATTACTACCTGAAGATCAAGCACCTATTGTCAATCAATCCTTAATAAAGCGTCAACAAGTAGGTTATGGTCGTCCGGAAGATTATCGTTATATCAATCCATCTCAAACACGCTCCTGTTACTGTGAGGATTACTCGGAAGAATTTTGGAAGCCAGAATGGTTTAATGGTAATGCCAGAAGATTCGATTTACAGTACACCAATTCTGTTCAACAATCTTTAGCGCTTGGTCTTACTGAATGGGATCAAAAAGGGACTGGAAACATCACCTATCTACGTACACATGATGTTGTACCCATCAGTTCTTATAAATGGGATGGCTTAACTTATTTAAATAATCCTGCGTGGGATACAGCGGTTCCTACCAGTACAAAACCTGTTGATATTGCCATTTTCTCTCTGGGTAACTGGGATGCTGCCTTTGCAAGGTTGGAACCTTTTTTGAACGATGTTGATCATCTGATCCGACAAATCAGGGAACATTATGACCTTTCCAAGACCCGTATTATTTACCGTACAGCACAATATTATTGTTGTCGTATCGATACTTCTGGTCGTACACGTCAAGTCAGTGGCCCCAGATTGGACGTGTTTGACAAAGAGGTTCAATTGCGCTTTAAACGTGAATTAAAAGCTGAAATATGGGATACTTATACTTTGGGTGAAAGTAAGCCATGGGATGAGAAAATCACTAGTATTACCTGTCCTTCCAATCATGTTCCAGCCGATCAAGTAGAGATTGAAAATCAAGTTCTCATGAATGGGCTATGTAATTTGTAATAATAAATAAAAATAATAATACATACAACCTTTCCTTTTTATTGCTTTGTGTAAAAAATATAATATATTCTATAATGCGAGCTCGCCTGTTTCAGTCAAATCCTGGTGACCAATATCAATGGATTTGTTGTCGGATAAACGAACTACCTTGAAATCTGTAGTGAACCATGACTTTGGTCCACTACGTCTAGAGGCAAAATGAACTCGTGCACGTTCACCTATTTTGTTATATTTAATCAGGTGTTATAATAATCCAACACTTTTTTTACTTTTGTACCTGTTGATCCCTTGACGTCAAATCCAATATCAATTTTACCCTTCAAGTGGTTCACAGTACCACTAATCCAAGGCCAAGAATCTGCATAATCGACTTGATCTCCCACTAGAGCAATGACTCGGGGATCGTAACGCACAGTAAACAAAGTACCGTGAACAACACTACTGGACAAACGTTGGTGGTTTAAAGCAGCTCCAAGACCGACACCCCAAACCACAGCACCGACACCGATACCTGTCCAAAGCCAACGTTTTTTAGAAGGTGGAGGAGGTTTGGGTAATTCACGCTCAACCACAACGGTCTTTGAGGCAAAACGACGTGCTGATAATCGAACTGAACTCGTCACTGAACGTGCTAATATACGGCTGGATAACATTTTTTTAAAGGTATGTGTATGGAAAAAGGGGCGGGAAATATATACCCATGAGAACACTCAAAGAGGTTATTTTATCACGTCACGTTTACAAAGTCCGTACGCACTGTCAAATTTATGCTACACATTCATCTAAAAAAATATGTATTTATTTAAGCTTGTCCTGTCAATTCTTTCGTTTCCTCCTCATTTTGCTTTAAATCCTCAGATACATATTTATCCAGTAACTGCTGCTTTCGCCTTTGCACTAGATATGCCTCTACTTCCTTTTGAGTTGGTACCGAACCAGCTTCTGCAGGCGCATCTTCGACTTGTCTTTCACCGGTAACTGGATCCACTTCCATTTTTCCTGGCTCATCAACGGATACTTTTTCCTCATCAGGAGCATCAAATAATTTAGCAATCAACTCCTTTTCAAGCGCTTTTTCGTATTCGAGTAAAATTGAATCCTCCTCATCACGATAGCCATAATAATCTGCATCAATATCACGATTAATTTCACTTCTGGAACGATTGGTGGATTCGGGAGCTATTTTGGGATGTGTTAATAACAATATGAGCCCACACTATTGCCCAAATTACTTGCCAGCTTTTTCAAATAATTCTCTTACACCAGGTAAATCCCTTGCACGTCCAAAATATCTAGATGAATGAAATAAGACGTTGAATATACTCGTTTATGCAGCCTTCCAATATTAAAATTTACTTGTATCCTCTTGTTCCAGGCACTTCTCTACCTTCGTAATTCAGCATTTTAGGTGCAGATCTCTATTGATGCTTGTGTTTAAATTATGTCCTCTTTCGTTAATGTCTTTGTAAATTCACTTACGGTATAATCAGCACCGCCGAGTTCTTGAATTCTCTTTTCCCAGTGGTATTTCTGACCCATCATTTTATTGATATCATCGTTAAGATCGCGAACTTGGTAATCAGATAAACTAACTGATTTGAACACACACAAAAAAAAGATTAGCTTAATGAAATTGGTAATGTGTCGTCCTTTTTACCATCCTGAATTTTAGAAATCTTTCGTGAAATTTCACTAAGAATATCTCTACGCCATTTCTCTGCTTCTGTCACCGTATTCACAACGCCGGCAAAGCCAGGTCTACGTTCTCTACGTTTTCCTAAACCCAACTCAGCCGCTTGGGCTTCACGGAAACGATACAACATAGACTGTGCTTTCTCTTCATTACGGGCCTTTTGTCAGAATGTTAATATCAATGATCCAGTACAAGCTGTTAATGTTTACCATTTTGATTGTTAAATTTAGAAAGAGAAAGTGCTGAAAAAAAAAAATACAGAAAAAAGTCGGAGGCAATTAAAATAAAAAGTGTCAACGTCACAGTGATATGAGCCATCGCACTTGAAAAGGGTAACTTTCAATTAATGTGTTTACTAGGATCTTACAAGCGCTAGTAATAGTTATACTGAACAGTTGTAGTAGCAACAAACTACTTGATTCTTTAAGGTAGATTTGTCTTCAGTTATACATTCAACAATAGAGTTGTATTCGTATGCAATACAAAACAAAGACGAAGAAAGTACTGACAAATGTTAAATTTTTCATGTAACGCGACTTTAATTTCTTTAAGTGCATGTACGTTAGGCTATACTATGTATTAATTGACAATATGGCACTTTGACTTTCATGCACTTTTGGGGTGTAAATGTCTCGGATATCGAAGGCAAATTGTCGATGACCATTGTGAAGGGTATTGCACACAACATCCGACTTTTTTTTTTTTTTGGCCGACAATCCCCGCAAAAAAAAAATCCGCTTGTCAACTAGAAAAAGAAATTCTTTCTTTTGCCATTTGCTTTTTCTTCATTTTCTTACATTATGCTTCGTCTGTCTCGTACTTTGGTACGCTTACCAAAGCCTGTACAAGTATTAGCTCGTCGCTCTTTGACGACAACCACAATGGCTCAAAAGGTTTACTTTTTAAATGGCACTTTACGTTTATAAAAACAAAAAAAACGTTAATCATTGCTTATAGACAACTGTAGGTAAAACTGTAGCCTGGACAACAGTAGGTACTTGCTTAATTACAGCTAGTTACTTGGGTTTAAAAGAACCTGCTTATTCTGAAGCACCTGCCTATGTTGGTACAGTTGAAGGTAAAACCCGGGACATAAATAAAAAAAATTGAGTCAAAAAAATTAAAAGTTGACGTATAAAATTAGACCCAGCAACACATCTAGCTTTCCCCGTGTTTTTAAACACGGATAATGAATGGAAAAGATTGGTAGGCTTAGGTGTTCGATTTGTCAGCTTTTTGAAAATCAATGTCTACGTTCTTGGTTTATATATGCGTAGTGAGGACATTGGAGCTTTAAGACAATTATGGAAGAATTTCGATAAAGCAAAGTTTTTGGAAAACAATGATTTGGCCGAACAGTTCTTGGAACAGCCCTACGATATCAGTATTCGCATTGGTAAGGAGCAAATACAATTGCCGTTTATTACATATCATTTACTTACTTCAAACCAGTTCCCGCTCGTGGAACAAACACACAGCATCCACAGTGTTAAAAACGCAAATTCGTGATATAACCAATATGCCGGAATAGCATCGTTTTTGTTTAAAAAGAACAATACCGACAAGTTTATTTGACTCACCGTCCAAAGCCAATTATATCAGCTCCTGAAAAACAAATGGTGGGTTTATGTTGCTTGAGTACGTAATTAATGCAGCAATGTATGTCATGTGTTTCCCAAAAGATGCGACATTGTTGAATATTTATGAAATGTTCCAAAGATTTTTGATATCAGTTATCATTAAAGATAAAATCTGAACATTGCTCAATTCATCAGAGCTTGATATACTCACAGAACAATAAGTAGAACGTGCAATAATAAAAAAAAACCAAGATAAAGTTTCTCACAAAAAATACAAACAAAAAAACTTTGGTTGAATTATTTTATACCTGATGGATATTGTGTATTTTATAGAGCATACATTTACACTCCATTTTTTTATCTGTAAAAGTAGTTTTTATTGCTTCAAGATTAGCATTAAAGCATAAAAAGAATATGTTATATGTAATAGTATCCTATGATTATTTTTCAGGTTGCACAATAAAGCATATCTGCTTGAGCTAAATAAAATGTACAAATAATGCCTAATACGATTGGACATAGAAAGTAATTTTTAAAGCGAAAACGTCGTTATGATGCATCAAAAATGTCGTGTGACATTATTTCTTCTGTCGTTTCATCATACATGAAAAAAAAAGAGGTGCGATGGGAGTTGTGTACCACTCTCAGCCTTTCAAACAGTTGCATTGACAACTAATCCGACTTAGTGTGACCATGTGTCAGTAAATTTTCTATTGGTATATTGGGCACGTCTTTGTTGCCCTGTATATAAAGTAAAAAAACCGGGTACAAATTCCATCATCTATCATAATGTCTTCTACAAAAAAAAGGACCAAGATTTGCCATTGCAACAAGTGTGGCGGTTGCTCAGTTCCAATCAATACTGCTACACGACATGCCGAAAAAAAAATGTACGAGGAGTCATGCCAAAAGGCGGCAGCTTCCAAAAGAAGTTTGGATGAACTAGAAGAAAGTGTGTAACCCTCATCAGATATTTACCTACAACAAACTGTAATCTATACTAACAGAAATTTTAATAGATGACGCCGTAGTAGACACCAGCTTAGAATTTTCACGTTTGAACGTATCTGTTATTGAAGCAGAGTTTGCACATGTTAATATCAGTTCGACTCAAGTTGATAACCATTTTCAGGATGAATGCTCTTCAGGTATGCATACAAAAAAATGATTTATAACATGATGCTGAGTAATGTTTCAAGATGATGAGCGCGATTATGAAGAAGGCTTTATCTTTGATCAATCCTATAGCATTGATGCAAATGATGATAATGAAAATCAGGTTATTGTCGAAAGCAGCAGTGAGATATATTGGACCGATGAAGTTCTCAAAATGCTAGATGATTTGGATGATCAAGGTGAAAAATTTATCATAAAAAAAGGTAGGCTTGAATTTCGGAATAAATATTTGCAACTTTATTGAAACAATCGTAGTCCAACAAAATAATCATCCCAGAATACCACAAGATCCCACTTACTTGTTTATTTGTTGTTTTGTACTTATATTCCAAATGGACTTCTTGACTATCATCGCTACACACAAATTACTTGATCTGTTCCGTATGCTATTCAGCAATTTTGAGTTTCCAAAATCGTTACCCACGATCAAGCTTCAAACTGGATTTATCGATCTTACCAAAGATATGACTGTCTACGCAACTTGTCCTAAATGCTATTCAGTTTATCTTTATGCTACAAGCAACGGGTTAACACAGCCTGGGCCTCCACAAATATGTACATTTATCAATATCCTCAAAAAAGTACCTTGTCAAACCCCATTATTTCAAAACGGTTCCGATACTCCAATCAAAAAGTTTGTATACCATTGTCTTATAAGTTCGATCCAAAAGTTGTATCTGAGAGAAGGATTCGAGGAGAAGTGTGAAGAATGGCGTAGTTTTGAAGAGGCTGTAAACCCAACTGATATGATGTACCATTGCTCCCAGGGAAAAATGTGGAGAAGCATTCTTTCTCCCAGTGGCGACCCTTTTGTAAACAGCAGTAGATCTTTATGTTTGACATTGAATGCAGGTTAGAATACAAAAAAAAAAAAAAAAAAAAAAAAAAAAAAAGGTAAAGACGAGATATACTTACAACCCAGTTAAACATAGATGGATTCCAACCATATGATACTACCTCCGCTTCTTGCGTCGCTTTTTATCTGCAAGTAAATAATTTACCAGTCGAGGAACGCATAAAGAAAGAAAACACGATACTGCTTGCATTAATCGAAGGACCGCATGAACCCAACACTTGTCAAACACAACGCCTATTATCCATTGTTACAAACCAACTTCGCTCCTTGTATTTTGGTGTTCAAATGTCTACATTCAACTCTGGAAAACATGGCCAAGATTACGGTGCTACTGTCAGAGCCTGTTTGTATCAAATCTTGTGCGATTTACCCATGCAACGAAAATTGAGCGGATTTACTGGATTTTCTTCTACGCGATCATGTTTCCGATGTGATAGATCGTTTAAAGTTTTTCCTGACACATCTAATTTGGATTATTCCGGCTTTGATGCTGTGCATTATCCTGCAAACGCCAATAAGAAGCTGAATGACATTCAATCCGACAAGTGGTTAAATAGCCATAATAACGCCGAAAGACATCGCCAAGACAGGGCCCACGGTATGAGATATAGCGTTTTAAGGAGTTTGAGGTACCTTGATCTTGTAAAAGCTACCACCCAGGATCATTTACATTGCATTTGGCTGGGTCTTGCAAAATCAATTATGTCAAAGTATGAAGAATTTGGATTTTTTAAACCACAACACTATCAGAGGTATTATAAATTTATGACACTATATATACGCAAATGTCATTACTAACCTTGTGTAAAAATGTTCCAGTATGGCCGCACTCGCTTCAAGTATCATCACGCCCAACGGTTGCAGCTCTATACATGCCAAAATAAAAGGAGGTTTTTCTTATATGAAGGGCATCGAATTCGAAATCTGGACCTTGCACTATTCCGAATATGTCTTAAAGTACATGATTGTTTCTGATAGATTAGTTGATGGATTTCATAAAAAGCATTATGCAAACTGGTTACAATTTGTGCAAGCTTGTAGAATTGTTGTACAACCCGCGATTACTACAGCCCAGGCATTCGAAGCACGAGAACTCTTCCGCTGTTTTTGCAAAGACTATGTGGTACTTTTCGGCCCTGAGGCAATCAAACCTAACTATCATTACGTCCTCCACCTGTCAGAAAATATTGAATACTATGGCAGTACATTCAACACTTCTTGTTTCTCTCTCGAAAGAATGAATGGTGTCCTAAAGCAGTCGACAGAGAATAGAAACCTTCGATCAATTCAAACTTCGTACATGACAAATTTTTTGGAAAGCATTCATATCTCGTCTCTCATTAAACAATTAACAAGCACCAATATCATTTCTAAAGATCAAGCCCACATTCTCCACAACACCAGCGCTATCAACCAATCCTTATACACAAGCTCCAGTCCTCAAGATCGCATTAATTTTTACAAATTGTCTTCCTATGAATATACCAATTCGGGAGGTGTGGTGACCGGATCAGAAATGCTATACTCTCATCCGAATATTATCCCTACTAACTTTGATGAAATTAAATCCACTCCGCTCGATCCTTCACACCATATGCTTCTTATTGAATATTACACTCTATGCTACCCAAATCGTTCATTCACCAATCTCTTTCATTTAACCACGACAAATCTATGCAACAACCATGGTAATTCACTTTCCAATAACATTCCTTCAATTTATGTTGGTGCCGACGCCAGAATATCCAAACAATTTCAATCTGATATTATGTACAAAAGCCGTATGGCAAGATCGATGAAAGGTGCGTATATTCAAACATTCTTTAAAAACAATCATTCGTCGGAGTCCGTTGCCTGCTTTTACGGCGAGATACAATATTTCTTTCAACACGTCGTAAATGTTAACGGCAGTGTTACCCCCCACACATTCGCTTTCGTACGGTGGTTTATCCCCGTCAACCCTGGTAACAACATTTTAGAAAATGAAACTATGGAAATATGCAAAGGCTATGAAAATACAAATGTTCATTCGATTTTACCTGTACATAGAATACACAACGCAATCACGGTTGCATGTAGTTCTGACAATTCTAGTAATCCACGAATTCAAAACGGCTGCATTGTAATAATTCCTCAAGAAAAAAAAATATATGTTTAAGCTAATTCACCTATGCCCTTTTTTAATTTCAATAAACCACTATGAATATGTAAAAAATTGTTGTTGGAAAAGGGGGAGCAGATTAAAAAAGAAGAAAAAAATTGTTTATTTACAATTCAGGAACTCGGGCCCAGTCGGGTGCCTGATTTAGAAATTCGGGCTTGATCACCACATGCTTGAAACGTCCCGTATCCTTTGTCTCCTTTTCTTTTTGGGCGTTTTTTCTCAAAATGAGATCATACTCATCGAAATGTTGAAAGGCGCGACGAGCCTAAAGACGAATTGATTTAGTATGTATTCTATTAATAGGAATACACTCATATTGTATACCTCATTTGTGCGCCAATGGGGCACCATAACCCGCAAGCGTGAGTTTTTTTCGGTCATCCCTATTTCCGAATCCGTGCTTTCCTCGTCACTTTGGAGTTGCTCTATCAAGAGCTTCTCTATGTCATCACCATAAGCATCTCTCATTTTTTTGCCATACTCCTCGTTGACCATCACGTTTTTTCTGTGCTTGCATTTCTACAATTATATTAAATATTAACCTTGGAAACGCCTTGCATATTCGTAACTTACAGAAATTCTTCTTCCCTTTCTTGTACTTTTCTTATTTTTAAAAGCTTTGCTGCGGGAGATTGCTTTTCGTTATCCTGCTTACGGCGAAAGACATTTCTGATCTTGTTTTGAAGATCGTTGTAGGTAATGGATTCCGTCCAGTTCTTTTTGGTTGACAATGTGATTTGAGCACCAACAAAATCGATAATATTTTTAGTTATACGGGTGTTCTCTACCGTCATAAATGCCTTAGATAGGTTCCACTCCAGATTACCAACCTTCTGGTTAGCAATGGACGTTTTAATCCAGGCCTATAATTACAAGGTAGATTAGATATATGAACGGTTCTCTATTCTTGGTGACATACCGACAAACTATTGTAAAGTGCACCCCCTATTTGGAAAGGAGGTACATTTCCATTAGTCAATGCGGGGGTAGCTGAAGAAACAGCAGCTTCACCGGAAAGAATAGACAATATTTTGTCAATTTTATCTTCCACCATGTCAAGTCGTGCCCTCAAAATTTCTCCGGTAACGATGGCTTCCTTGACCTCATTTTTTATACTGTTCAGATCATTTTTAATTCCTGTTATCTGAAAACATTTTACAAAGGCACCAACAGTTGCTGAATCATCTCTGCTGCTTAATTGCGACGTATTCATGGGAGCAATAGATACCATATCTTCTTGTTGAATATTGTCTGTCACCGACGAGACGGAGCTACTACGACTTCTAGTTGCTCTGTTAGGCAAAGAAGAATATCTTGAAGAGGGGTTGGTAGGTCTAGTCATATTTAGAATAAGTAATTTCTGGATGAAAAACGTGAAATAATCATATATACACAGATGAGCTCTCATTCAATATTATGTTTTTTTGTGATATTCCAATTGGGACCGAAACTGTGTATGACCTTTGGTACCTGACTAGTATAAATGGACTTTCAATTTTTAGGGTTTAACGTGATTTTTATTGACAAACATACTATCAAGTCTTTTAAGTATTATTCCACTCATGCATATTACGAAGCATCAGTTGCCTCCGGTGTAGAAGAAAATATAAAAGAAGGAAACAATTATTTCGGCTTTTTTAATATCTTTTCTTTCTTTTTGTTCAAACTTTCTAAAATGTAATGCTTTACTCCCATACTTGTCATGCCAAATTTTTTAACCATATATTGCTTTATTTTAGTTCTTTGAAATCCAAACATGCATATCTATTATAGGCTATCATTTGGACGTATTTCTTAGGTGCACTTTAAATGTTTTTTATATCAGCTTAACCACCTCTATTCCCGGACCATTAAGTCAGTTTAACAGTAGGTACACAAAAACAATATCTTATTAAGCATACCCGTATCTAATTTTTTTCAAAAGGTTATGCAAGCTGTAAAAATACAGGAACAACGCGACTGCTCTGCGTAATTAATTCTAATGCTTGGCCGTAGCGAATTGCGCTGGTTTACTCTACTGTGAGGTCTGATACGGGAAATACTTAGACAAAAAGATACATAGCGCTGTTTTTCTACTATTTCTATAATAAAATAAAATAAAATAGAATATACTTTCCTCATAATATTCCCTTATACATCGAATAATTTGCTATATGCAACGAGTAACGTTTATGAAACCTTACCCTTTTGTGTATGTGTGTATATGTGTGTATATGTGTGTGTATGTGTGTGTTTTTGTGTGTTTTTGTGCGAGTAGTGTAGGATCAACCCTGACAATTCCCGAAGCGTTAAATACAAATGTTTATAAAGACCTCAAAAGTAATAATAGATTAAGCTTTTAGTTTCAGATACATGAGATCATTCAGTAATTAAGTTATTTGTTTAGCCACGATTTGCATCGTTTGTTTATTTGATGAATTGCATAATGTACAAAGTTTGAAGTTCCACAAAAAAAAATAACAATTGTCATCGGAGAACGTGATGTTTGCATAACTTTAAATAGTTGCTTGCAGCTTACATCACAAAATGTGTTACTACAAGATTTAAAGTCAACCCATCCCCCCACTATATTCAAGTTAAGCAAATTCGATTGTCAATCTTTGCATGGTATTGTTCCACCCGACAGAAATCACTTTGTCGGATTAATGTCAATTGTTTGGTTGGTATTGACCCAACCGATACCAAAACTGAGACATAATTGACTGCACGAAATTAATCTTTTAACTATGTGATCTTCGCGATGGATTTCTTCGTTTATTGATGCAACGTATGAAGGAACAAAATTTGACAGAAGAGGAAGAACGAAATGTATTAGAAGGCATCCAAGACTTCAAAAAAATTTTGTGAGTATGAAGGTAAAGAAGGATACCGAATTCGTCTTTACAAAGACAAAAGAAGGCGGTCTAAAAATGGTTTACGAGGTAAATGTCCCGAACACACGTGAAATCAATAGTGGTTAAAAGCTCAACTATTACATAGGATAAGGATTGGGGAACCGTCAATAATAAATGGATCGCCAAAAACTTCATTATGAGTTACTTAGATCCCAAAGCACCATCTAGTGAAGCTGCTTTGATTGATATTGCTGATGGTCTTGAGAGGCTTTTAAATGAATCCAAATAAACCTCTTTTACTTTTCGCGTGTAGACAAACTATAGCTTTTAAAATTATTTGAAGCCAAAATTCTCAAAGTTTGAAATGTTTAATGCTCTTTAAAATAAAAATCAAGCAGTTCTTTAGGTCTCTTAAGGTCTTCGATTCGAAATTTACTCTTAATTGATATGGTCATAATTATCGGATTTGGTAGTATCACCAAAAATAATGCACAGAAAATTGCGGCTAATTCGTTTTTTTTTTACGTATTTAATTTTTGGATAGAAATTCAATTAATATTAAGTTCTTAAAGGCCTTTATATCTTGTTTCAGTAACCCATTCCTCATTAAAACACTATAGCTTTATGTGACAAACAAGTGCTAAAGTACCAATTTTGTATTTGTAACAAAATTCAGACGATATAATCTATCTATTTAAAACACTATCAGATCTTCTACAGGTTTCCTACCTTCTCATCAAGTCACAGTAGAGAGAACATACAATTATTGCTTTATCATCTTTCAATTTCACCAAGTTGTTGCTATATATTCCAGGGTTAAACCAAAAGAAGGTTTACACTTAAACGCAAAATCAGAAAGCATAGGAAACCAAGCTTAGCAGAATTAGGCAGGGACATAACAGAAGTATAAAAAATATGGACCGAAACTTGATGCACATTTGATCTTGGCAGAAAGCGCTTAGAATTTTATCGGGTATAAAAAAACTAGAACTGGATTTGCACCAGAGCTTTCTATAATTTACGCCTGCGCCAACCTATCCCCTTCCAGAACAGATTGTGCGTTACTTCTGGAAAGTGGCCTGCTACATATTGTTCCAGGCAAGTTGAAGTTAAAAGCTGAAAGACAAAAAGTAAAATAAAAGGTCTTAATGAGTACACACCAGATTATAAATTGGCAGCAAAGAAATATAAAATATA